GAGCTTGTAGAAATCTTTCATCAATCCTTGTGCCGGGTACAAATCAATTGATTGAGCATCGGTTAAATTTTCCATCACGCGCACTTCGCTTTCATGCTGATCAGCAAAGGGCAAATAGAAAAATATTCTCGCTGTAAAATACAATTGGAAAAGTATATTCTTGAGAGAAAATGGAAACTCTAAATTTGGCAGTGAAAGATATACAGCTATGCAATTTTTTGTTTTATTATAACACGCACGAAAATTGCCAACCGATTTGGGTCGAACTTCAGGTTCGTAATTTTCAATTCTTTTTCAAAGATCAATTGGTTCACCGTTCATGTTTGTATGAGATTGCTTTACTCCGTTTCCTATGAGCCTTCCTTTTTGTCCGCTATCCGCGCGTCCGTTCTAACATCCATCCGCCATCAATTTTGCGGGAACAAGGCGAAGACATGTCTTACATTGTCTAGCACATGTTACATGACAAAATTCATACGGCAAGTGACATGGCTCTGCTTTTGAACATGTCTAGCACCGCAGGTATTGAATGCAAGTCCCGCTGCGAAAACATCATTCATGGGAACATCGTTTATTGTGCTGATTAATGACATGACATGACTGGGGCCCGCTGTACAGGCATGCATAATGTTTCCATAAGTTTCTATAACGAGGTCAAAGGTTTGCGTCGGTGGAAATTTCCAGCAAAGAAGGCTGTCTTCTCAGACGTATCTTACAGTGTTTCCCAGCCGCAAAAACTGTATTTTCACGTTTTCTTCGCCTGATTGCTTAACCGATTAAACTATGCAGATTTACTAGAATTGGTATGCTCTCTTTCTGAGAATTCTTCTCCCATATTCGGAAGTATTGTTCACTGAAGGTGGTTTTTCACGATGCGGAATTTTTTGAACGAAAGAAATTTTTTTGTTCATTTTTTTCCCTGTGAGAAGTCGTTTGAAGCGGATCCACTTGGGCGATCTAAGCTCAGCAGAAAATCGGACGGAAATTTGTTTAGTAAAAATCGAAGCGAGCGAGTAGTTTGGAATAGCCGACGGATTTCCTCTTTTTATAATCATTAAGGTTATTGAAATGTAAATTAGTGAAGATGATCTAGTCCCATAATGATACTTACACAGGCTCTCAAGATATGAAGCTGGAACTAGCCTGGCCTTACTAGGGCGGCTTTATTGAAAGTGTATGTATGTATTTAATTTATTTTAATACGCGAACCTTATCAGCTGTTATAGCTGGTTTTCGTTAGGGGCGACTATTTAGCTATTTACAGGTAAAAAAAAGAATCCAAAAAGGAAACAAAACAACTAATTAGCACACAAACAAAACGACTATCAGGGGGGCCTCTGCCCTTCAATGCCATTTCCCAGCTTTTTCTAAACTTTTTCTAAACCCATTTCCTGATGTTTGAAATTAAGAAATATCTTCTGCCCGTTTCCTGTTAAGAAATATCAAAAAATGTCCAAATCCATGCAATAAGTACAAACAGACGTTCACGTTCTCACAAATCATCGAAGATGTTTTCATAAAATGATTTAATCACCGAAGTCTTTTCCTGAAGTGATCTCTCTATTACTTTAATGTTTTTAACATCTAGAATAATGAAAATATTCAGTCCAACGATTTGAAATTACTTGTTAATTTCCTGGGTTATTTTTTTTATTCAAATTAAAGTGGTAATATGCCTTAAAGCATCTTTCAAAAGGCTGAACTTTGCCTTTACGATTCGTTTCTCAAACGAAACGCCACTAATAAGGCAAAAATTAGATGCTAGCTAAGAATTTTTTTACCTGAATCGTATCTATACTCTGTTGACTAGAAATTAGTCTTCAGGGGCGGTCGAGAGTATCTACAAACATTGTTAAATGAACATTGTTAGTAGGGGAGGGGGTGTGAGTATCGAATTTGCCGACAAAATGGGCGTGATCAATGGGCGTGGTTTTTCTAAATTGACTACATTATTATACGTGAATTAAAATTTTTGAAATTCGACATCTCTACTTTACGTGTATATTGATGAATTCAAAATTTAATGTTGGGTTTAAACTAGTTAAAATGTCAAAAAACTAAACGGTAACGTAAGGTCCTGCGAGGGTTAAAAATCGTTGATTTGCCGACAACTAGTTTTCAGGAGGGGTGTCACACCCCCACACATTCCCACGCACCCCCCCTAGCGACGGCCCTGTCTATCAGTCACTTGTTTGATTGTCATAAGGACATATAATAGATGCACCCAGCACCTATTCATTAAATAAAATTGATGAAATGCTTTAAATTAAGTAGATCCCTTACTTCCAAAATTTAAGCAATTCAGGATAGATGCAACGTGTGCACCAATACAGATACGACGGGGCGAAATCAGCACTCTAACTCTTTCAGCAAACCTAAGAACTTTTATGTTCTGGTACAGCTTGCAAAAATTATACGCATGCGAAAACACAATTCAAACTGAATTAAAATATAGTCTGAGAATTTTGTTGAGTAAGCTTTACTTCTCTTTGAGTAAATCTTGCAAGAAAGGGAACTGGGTTTGATTTTTCAATTTTAAGAAAAACGATAATAATGGTTTGCATGTATTCATAAACAGTATTATTAAACACAGCGTAAAACCCAAAATTATAAATTTTTAGTTTAGTTCTCGCTCGTTGTATATTTCTAAGAGAAAAAAAATCTAGGATCGATTAGGAAGATTTTATGTCTTATTTTTTTATCATAGAATAAATCGTATAAAATTTTAGGCAGGCTTTGTCTCCCAGTGCCCTGCGTCATTATCCTATGTTGTCGTTTTAGTTTGATTTTGTGACAACTTTTTAGAGTTTCAATCGTTCTAAGGGTTTTCATCGTTCGCAGCAAGGGTTGCAAACATTGTAACCAAGTGAATGACTCGACAAATTCATTTTTGGTACAAATAACTGCGAAACTAATAGCAAAAGATACGACAATCCTTATCAAAGTTTATTATTAATCTTATTGTTCGAAGGTTTAGAAATATAGTCAAATTACTCAAATATCAAATGTACAAAAGTCAAAAGAATGGAAAAGAAAGAATAGAACAATAATAGTTCAATAATAGGGGATTATAACAAATGACGTCATACTGCAGGCGCAAGTAAACTCCAACAATGGCAACAAACTGCGGATGAATCGAATTTTATGATAAAAATGTTGCAATATTTCTGTTTTCTTCATCAAAAACGTCGGTGATATCATGTCTGCGGGAACATTTCAGGTAGGCAGAACAATTATGACATTGTGACTTGTGAATACTTGCGAATTTAGCAGGGAATTGTACCCTAACGAATGTCATACTGGGTGTTTAGTGATGTTTAATTTGGTCTTTTTGGGTTGCCATTGTGTCAATTTTCACCGCTGTTGTAGAAAGCAATCGAGATCCTCACTAAAGTGACAGAGGAGGATAAAGCTGGTAATTTTGAGGAAGCCTTAAAGCTGTATGAACATGGTGTCGAGTATTTTTTACATGCAATCAAATGTAAGTTGCTGCATATTTTCTCAGTAAACAAAATTATTACAATTATGATAGTTTACATCCTTCGAAATTGCTGATGTTCTGCCGGTAATGGTCAAATGCTTGTCCTATGTAAAGTTTCTAGCATGTTTGGCGCTCATATACAAACAATAAACAATATAACCATGCTTTGGTTATGATGTCAAATTTTTTGAAATGGATAACCACGCTGTTTTAATGGTCAAATGCTTGTCCAATGTTAAGTTTCCAGCATGTTTGGCGCTAATATACAAACATTAAACAATATAACCATGCTTTGGTTATTATGTCAAATTTTTTGAAATGGATAACCACGCTGTTTTAATGGTCAAATGCTTGTCCTATGTAAAGTTTCCAGCATGTTTGGCGCTCATATACAAACATTAAACAATGTAACCATACTTTGGTTATGATGTCAAATATTTTGACATGGATAACCACGCTGTTTTAATGGTCAAATGCTTGTCCTATGTAAAGTTTCCAGCATGTTTGGCGCTAATATACAAACATTAAACAATATAACCATGCTTTGGTTATGATGTCAAATTTTTTGAAATGGATAACCACGCTGTTTTAATGGTCAAATGCTTGTCCTATGTAAAGTTTCCAGCATGTTTGGCGCTTATATACAAACATTAAACAATATAACCATGCTTTGGTTATGATGTCAAATATTTTAACCTGGATAACCACGCTGTTTTAATGTTCAAATGCTTGTCCTATGTAAAGTTTCCAGCATGTTTGGCGCTAATATACAAACATTAAACAATATAACCATGCTTTGGTTATGATGTCAAATTTTTTGAAATGGATAACCACGCTGTTTTAATGGTCAAATGCTTGTCCTATGTAAAGTTTCCAGCATGTTTGGCGCTTATATACAAACATTAAACAATATAACCATGCTTTGGTTATGATGTCAAATATTTTGAAATGCATGGATAACCACGCTGTTTTAATGGTCAAATGCTTGCCCTATGTATAGTTTCCAGCATTTTGGCGCTTGTATTGCTTGTAAATTTGAGCGAACTAAAAAATATTCGAAATTAAAGACTAATTACGGAAAAATTATTGGTTGGGCTAAAGCCCAGCGAGCCACCCTGCTCCGCGGTCCCTGAAAAATCCTTGTCTCCCTGTGCCTTACGTCATTATCCTATGTTGTCGTTTTAGTTTGATTTTGTGACAGCTTTTTCAGAGTTTCAATCGTTCGAAGGGTTGTAAACATTGTAACTACCCAACCATCCCACACACGTTAAATAAATGACTCGACAAATTCAATATTTTTGGTACAAATAACTGCGAAACTAATAGCAAAAGATCTAACAATCCTTATTAAAGTTTATTATTAATAAGATTCGAAGGTTTAGAAATATAGCCCAATATGAAATGTACAAAAGTCAAAATAAAAAAATTAAAAAAATAATACAAACAATAAAAAGATTATAACAAATGACGTCATTGTTTTTGTCAGACACTGACTCAGCATACTGCAGGCGCAGGTAAACTTCAACAACTTCATCCGCCATCGAATTTTATGACAAAAATGTTGTAATATTTCTGTTTTCTTCATCAAAAACGTCGGTGATATCATGTCTGGGGGAACATTTCAGGTAGGCAGAACGATTATGACATTAAACTTGTGAATACTTGTGAATTTAGCCAGGAATTGTACCCGAACCAATGTTATACTGGGTGTTTGGTGATGTTTAATTTGGTCTTTTTGGGTTGCATTTGTGTCAATTTTCACCGCTGTTGTAGAAAGCAATCGAGATCGTCACTAAAGCGACAGAGGAGGATAAAGCTGGTAATTTTGAGGAAGCCTTAAAGCTGTATGAACATGGTGTCGAGTATTTTTTACATGCAATCAAATGTAAGTTGCTGCATATTTTCTCAGGAAGCAAAATTATAACAAAATTTATGATAGTTTACATCTTTGAAATTGCTGATGTTCTGCCGGTAAACATTCTGTTAGATTGAGCTGTAGCTTAGGCTGTAATGTGTGCTAACCCATAGCATTTCATACAGTGGTTTTGACTGTACGATCTGTACTGTCTCGAAAATTTTACTATTAAGTGGCAAGGCTTGGCACTGTTCTGGTAGTAAAATCTGATCTCTTCCCCCCTGGGATGAAAATGCACAGAAGATAACAAAATGAAAGAAAAGTTCTTGTTAAAACTATCCAGACAGATTTGAAACTTGTATTGTAAAACTTTGGCTAATATTATGTTTGATTGTGAAAGAGTAGGTATCATTAGTGAAACAGTGACCACTGACCGGTAGGGATCTTCCGCTAAGACAGTGCAATGGACGATCTGGATTAAACCAAATTTAAAACTTGGAAAATTCATTAGTACAGCTGCAAAGAGCATTCCAAACTTAGTAAAAAAAAGTATTTTGTTTGCAAAGTATTGTAGTGTGAAAAATATAGCTGTGCAAAGTTGGCAAATTTTGTATGAAGTAGTATAACAGGTAAAAAAAAATTACCACTCTTGGAAAAGTGTTAAAGCTTTTTCCAAACTTGCTAACTCACATGGTAATATTTCTTATATTTTTCAAAATTTTCTTTTAATAACTGGCTTATATTGAAAAAGGTGTGCCCCAATTTTCATTCCTGAAAAATTGGGCTTTTCATAAAAGTTCAGCCTTTGGCAATGAAAAATAACAACAATGCATTAATTTTTCTTGCGACTTGCACTTCAATTCTTTTGAGAGATGTAAATTTGGCACCTACTGAACTTTTGTCTTTATTACAATCTATGGCGTTTCTTACACTTAAATTTTGAAGACTCTTCACTACTTTACATCTCTCAAAATTACATCACTAATTTACATCTCTCTTAATTGCATTGCAAGTTGCAAGAAAAATTGCACCGTGTAACATGGCCTTTAGGTGTGGTAAAATGTTGCTTGACGTTCGTTTTCTGTTTTCAGATGAAGCTCAGGGGGACAAATCAAAGGAAAGCATAAGGGCCAAATGTATGCAATACTTAGAAAGAGCTGAGAAATTAAAAACTTATGTGAAAAAAGGAAAGAAAAAACCAATGGCATCCAGCTCGGGTGGTAAAACGTGAGTCATGAATTAGAATGGTACAAATGTGGAATTTTAAAATGATCTTAAGTTGACTGTCATTGACAGAGTGTTTTTGTGAACCTCTGACACCATAGAACTATAGCTTGGTGTTAATGGAAGCCACTAACAGCAAACTGTAAATTGTAGTTACCAATCAAACAATCATTTAAACACATAATGCCTAGAAAAACAAGGATGTGTAAAAATGCATATATGTGTACTTATCCAGACAATAAATATTATAATATATACAGCTGAATAGAATTATAGAGTTAGGTATAATATAGCTGCAGTAAAGTGTCATTTGGTGCAGGATTCTGACAATAGAAAATAGTACTATCAAGAAATTAGCCATTAAAGTCATAAGACAAACTTTACATTATCACTGAAGCATGAAGTAATTATCTAGCTGGAATTGGATTATCTAGCTGGATTTGTTGTTTATCAGATGGTTTGTGTAAAGCCCTGAACTTAAACCGCAACCAATTAAACCTGTCCATATCCTTTTGCTTCAGCTATCCTTTTGCAAAAATATTTTTTGTTTTGCATTATCAGAAATAATGATAGTAAAGATTCGGACAAGGAATCGGATGAAGAGGATGATCAATCAAAGAAATTGAAAAGCCAATTGCACAGTTGAGTCTCAACATCATATATCTGTCAGTCCAGGTTTGCAGAATAATTGTCAAGCTGTCAGTTGATGGTAACAAGTTGAGATCTTTGTTTTCAGGTGCTATTGTTATGGAAAGGCCAAATGTGAAATGGGATGATGTTGCTGGCTTAGAATATGCAAAGGAATCACTAAAAGAAGCAGTTATATTACCTATTAAATTTCCACATCTCTTCACAGGTAAATTTCTTTGCTGTGTATGCTTCAATCTTAAACCCTATTTTTGTCTCTCCCTTTTCATGCAACTCATTTGACACTTTACTTAGGCAATTCACTTCACTATATGTATCAGCATATAAGGCTTATGATTCATTGGCGCTCATAAATTAAAGGTTTTCGCCAGGGATTTTAACCTATTAGTTTGCAATGCACTTTCTCTAGATTTGGCCTGCTACTGGCTTATGTGGTATTTTACTCTGTATATTGCCAGATGATTTTACTTGTCAATAGTAGAGTATTGCCAGTTATTATAAAAATTGTCCCTGAGATTGCGTTATGCATAGAATTCAGTTTCCAAATACCTGGGTTATTAATGTTCACAGTGTTTTACAGTAAATCTTTATTTCTTGCAGGCAAGAGGACACCTTGGCGGGGGATATTGTTATATGGGGTATGTTGACAAAGTGTCATGTACTGCTATTACTGTTTACATAAAATACTATGCAGCAACCCCCTTTCTCAAGCTCTGAGGGGGTTGGACCCCTTCCTACGTTCTTAAAAAATGATTACTTCTTATGAACACTTGTTTATTTATCAGCCCCCAGGGACAGGAAAATCATATTTAGCAAAAGCTGTGGCAACAGAAGCAAATAATTCTACATTTCTGTCCGTTGCATCCTCGGATTTAGTTTCAAAATGGCTTGGAGAAAGCGAAAGGTAATTCATGTGTAATTTATCCCGGTATTTACACGGACTATTATTAATACCGATCGAAATGACGACTGCATTATCATTTAAAACCCACCAAATGCCATGAATTTACAACCGATTACAGTATTATTAATTTGCAGAAATATGTATAGCTCGATGTCACTTCGTACAGTATATACATAAAATTTCATAGGATTATATTAATTTAAATCCTATTTTAGTCGATTATAAAAAGTCGATCATTTACCCGATGCTAAACCAATCGATTTTAGACTCGTCAAGCAACTATTTACGTTGGCAAGAGATCAAAAACCAGCAATCATATTCATCGATGAAGTTGACTCGCTCTGTGCGTCGCGAAGCGAAAACGAAAGCGAATCAGCGCGGAGAATCAAAACAGAATTTCTGGTCCAAATGCAGGGTAGCTATATACAAACTTAAGGCTGCTTTCCAGTTACGCGTTTTTTACACGCACGTAAAATCCTAAATCCTTATGTATATCTTTGAAAAAACTAAGTAAATAAATCGAAAGAACTTAAAGTTAAATGAAAAAAATTTAGAAGTTTTTCAAATTTTCCGTGCGTGTACGTTCGTATAAAAAACGTGTAACTGGAAAGCAGCCCTTTTATATTTACTCAACCCCTCCCCTCCACGGGTTTTTTATTTTCGTACAATAAGGGGAAACCATTGTGGGAACTAACCTAGGTCTGACTACAAGAATGAGGCAGGAGACTTAAATGTAGTCACTAGTCATCTACAAAATCTTTGTTTCTTGCGATTATATGTAGTTTTACTTTCATGTTTTAAAATAGTTTTTTGAATGCTGAGAAAATTCAGGGTGGGGGGCACGGGTCAATAAGAGACCTCATAAAGTTAGTTACGAGAAAGCGTGAATGCCACGTGGTTAAATGAATTTTCTGCTCAATTCTCAAGGTGTCGGCGTGGATAACGACAAAGTTTTAGTATTGGGAGCGACGAATTTACCTTGGATATTGGACTCGGCTATTCGTCGAAGGTTGGTCCAAAAAAATCACTATACTGTAGATATTTTAGTCGACGTTACGACGAACTCTTGATGACGTTATGATGAGCTGCTGAAATATTTGCTATCTGGGATAATGAAAACTCTTTATTCAACCAATTCCTACTAACTTCGAACCGTTCACAGTTTTTGCTAAAACAACAGACAACATATTACGCCACAGTATCAAAATCTAATTCCATTGTTGTTTGTTTTTAATAGCGTAATGTATCCTTATTTGTCACAAAAATAACGGGAAAATACAGTAGAAGTACTTTGAGGTTTTTCGTTAGTAAAAGTAGATTAATTCTCTTTGTTGTTGTTATTTTTAAAAGATTTGAGAAAAGGATATACATTCCCCTGCCGGAGGTCTCGGCAAGAGTAAAAATGTTTGAACTCCATATTGGTAAAAGTGGTCATCAGTTGAGCGCAAACGATTTCAAGGAGTTGGCGAAACGAACTGAGGGGTGAGAAAAATGCTTATTGAAACTGGGTTGGATAAATATTGATAATACAGAATTATACCTTTTAACTGAAATTTCACCATGCTTTAAAAGAAAACGTTTCTTTTACCAGATACTCTGGTGCAGATATTGGTATTGTCTGCCGCGATGCTCTCATGCAACCAGTAAGGAAGGTACAGCAGGCAACCCATTTTAAAAGGGTGAGTACACTTACCAGGAGAAATCGATTACTAAGTATCTAATGTCTATATTAAAATTCCTTACTGAACAATTTCGTACTCTTCAGAAATAGAGTGCAGTTGAACAGAGTGGGGGTTTACTACAAAAAGCAAGAGCATGTCGTGCAGATTTTCTTTTAAATTTTCGTCACAGCAAAAGTGATCTTGATTATTCATTTTTGTAGGCCCGAGGTCCCGCTATTGGTGATCCAAACACTATCGTAGACGACTTACTCACACCGTGTTCCCCAGGTAAGAAAAACAGTCGTTGAATTATCGTTATTAAATATTTGAGAACACCCATACCCCTGTCATTCCACATTAGCCTCTATCCCCTCCCTTCTCTATCTTCACCTGTTGTATGTACCCACCTATCTTTGTCTCACATGCCCTTCCCCCCCAAACCTATCCCCCTTCGCCTACCAGCTCCCCCCCCATTTCGTTTCAGCTCCCCCCCCCCATTTCGTTTCTAATTAGTAACTGGCTAACTGCTTTTTTCTACGTTTCAGGTGATATGGGTGCAACACCTATGAGCTGGATGGATGTCCCTGGTGACAAACTTTTAGAACCCGTTGTCGATATGGTAAGATCAGTTTGTTTTTAAAGTGCTATTCATTTCAGAACCTTGTGAAAAAGTTAAGCCAAATATATTTTACCTTAGTAGGTACCTGTACGTGTAGTATTCCGCAATGATCCGCGTCGTGATTTGTGTCAGAACTGTGCGAAAAATAATTTTTGAATTTAAAGACATATTTCGCTTAAATCTATGTAGGGTGATATGTGTCGTTCTCTGGCGACGACCAGACCGACAGTTAACCAAGACGACCTCAAGAAATATGAAAAGTTCACGGAGGATTTTGGTCAGGAAGGATAGTGTAAGTACATACGTGACTCACCTTAAATGGAATAACAATATTTTCTCTTCGAACGAGAAAGCGAAGCAGTTACCTTTTGCACGAACTTATAATTTTGAACTTGTAGAAAATAATTGCGAATTTTCAACCTGTAAATGTATAAAGCATGCGCGTGACACAAATATAAAAAAATAAGATCATTCCGAAATGGGAAATTTCTCATGAACATGTTTTCCAATAATCACACAACCAGCATAACTTAACAAGTACTGATCTGAAACAAAAAACTGGATTTTGTTTCTGTGCACGTTAGAACAACTTGAAGTATCTCATTGGTTGGAACCGCTGATCTAATAAAACGCTGAATATATCAATGAAACCTATTCATAACGAACCCAATTAAATTGTCTTTATGAATAAATTATGTCTTTTATGGAATTTCATTTTGCGTAAGATTTCATTTGCGTAAGTCTTTCCTTAATAAAAGTTTTTTTCTGCGAAAAGGCTGTAAATTGAAAAACTGAAAAAAATTCTCGCGTTCAAAAGTACTTGGAAATTGAAAAAAAGCACAAGTAAAAAAATATTAAAAACTTGTGTCTTTTAAAAAGACAGACAATTGAAAAAAGTCAGAAAAAAACTTTTAAAATTTCCCGCTTTTAAAAAAATTATGTTTACTTACCTTAATTTTTTTCACGAAAATTTGAAAGGGTGATTTTCACAGACACAGTAGCCCAAGACAAAATACTTCTTCGTCAAAAAAAAATCTCGGAGAATTTCAAAAAAGTCTCGAAAAAATCACCCTGTCAAATTTTCGTGAAAAACTATTATTAAGGTGAGTAAACATTAGCATTAAAGGCGGGAAATTTTTTAAGTTTTAGTCGGACATTTTTTAATTTCGAGTCTTTAAGAGACACATGTTTTTAAATTTTTTTTTACTTCCGTTTTTTTGTCAATTTTTACGTACTTTTATGAAGCGAAAATTGTTCAAATGTTTCCATAGGCAGCCCAATTATGTATGCATGTTTATATACTATATATTTATATATATAAGGTTGGCAACTTTACGAGCTCTGACGAAGTATACGATGTAAACAATTGAAAAATATACGCACAAACGCTGATGAAAACTAAAAAAAATGTTAAAAAACAAAACAATGATAGTTTTCCTCAATTCTCATCAAAAAATTTTGTTCAAATAGAGTGGATAAGTGCGAAAATATAGGCAATTTTTAAAGCATTTGCTGCCAAAATTTCTTGTCTCGATGCGGGATGTCAAGGGTGCCAGTATTCGTCATTTTTTTTAAATACAACACGCAATATGATTGGGCAGAAAAGTATAGAAAAACATTCTGCCCAATCATATTGCGTGTTGTATTTAAAAAAATGACGAATACTGGCACCCTTGGCATCCATTCTCAGTGCTAAAAATGGCTTCCTAAGACTAATGTCTTTCATTTTAGAGCATATTTGGAACATTGAAAAAGTCGTCAAAATTGACCAAAATGGTAAGGTTTACCCCATTTACCAATGGTAAGGCCCTTACTAATTTGGTCAATTTTGACGACTTTTTCAACTGTTCAAAAACTGTCTTAAAATGCTAAAAATGGCTTCCTAAGACTAATATCTTTCATTTTAGAGCATACTTGGAACATTGAAAAAGTCGTCCAAATTGACCAAAATTGTAAGGCTTACCCCTTACCATTTTGGTCAATTTTGACGACTTTTTCAACTGTTCAAAAACTGTCTTAAAATGCTAAAAATGGCTTCCTAACACTAATATCTTTCATTTTAGAGCATATTTGGAACATTGAAAAAGTCGTCAAAATTGACCAAAATGGTAAGGCTTACCCCTTACCATTTTGGTCAATTTTGACGACTTTTTCAACTGTTCAAAAACTGTCTTAAAATGCTAAAAATGGCTTCCTAAGACTAATATCTTTCATTTTAGAGCATATTTGGAACATTGTAAAAGTCGTCAAAATTGACCAGAATGGTAAGGCTTACCCCTTACCATTTTGGTGAATTTTGACGACTTTTTCAATTGTTCGAAAACTGTCTTAAAATGCGAAAAATGGCTTCCTAAGACTAATATCCTTCATTTTCGAGCATATTTGGAACATTGAAAAAGTCGCTAAAATTGACCAAAATGGTAGGCTTACCCCTTACCATTTTGGTCAATTTTGACGACTTTTTTTCAACTGTTCAAAACTGTCTTAAAATGCTAAAAATGGCTTCCTAAGACTAATATCTTTCATTTTAGAGCATATTTGGAACATTGTAAAAGTCGTCAAAATTGACCAGAATGGTAAGGCTTACCCCTTACCATTTTGGTGAATTTTGACGACTTTTTCAATTGTTCGAAAACTGTCTTAAAATGCGAAAAATGGCTTCCTAAGACTAATATCCTTCATTTTCGAGCATATTTGGAACATTGAAAAAGTCGCTAAAATTGACCAAAATGGTAAGGCTTACCCCTTACCATTTTGGTCAATTTTGACGACTTTTTCAACTGTTCAAAAACTGTCTTAAAATGCTAAAAATGGCTTCCTAAGACTAATATCTTTCATTTTAGAGCATATTTGGAACATTGTAAAAGTCGTCAAAATTGACCAGAATGGTAAGGCTTACCCCTTACCATTTTGGTGAATTTTGACGACTTTTTCAATTGTTCGAAAACTGTCTTAAAATGCGAAAAATGGCTTCATGAGACTAATATCTTTCAAAAAACTAAATCGCTATTTAGTTTAAAATTCTGCAAATAGGATTAACTAAATAAAGAACAAGGGCTTTTAATAGGTGTTGCTGTGGCCCAGTTGTTAAGGCTACGGACTACCAGGTTGTAAGCCTAGGTTCAAATCCTGCATGGGAAAGGTGCGATTCTTCCCATCGAAATTATTCTTTAATTTAAACTTCATCGAAAAGGATTAGGTCAAATAAAGAACAATAGCTTTCGACAAATGACGCAGTGGTCTAGTGGTTAAGACCCTGGTCTTTCAGGACAAGGGTTCAAGTCCTGGCAATGCAAAAAAATTAGCCTGGAAAATTTCGGTTTGATTTGTAAGCTTGAAAAAGTTAAGACTCTCAGCTTTCATAAAGGCTGTAAATTTGAAAGAATTTGGAAGTAAAAAAAATTGAGAAACATTTGAACAATTCTCGCTTCATAAAAGTACGTGAAATTGACAAAAAAACGCAAGTCAAAAAAAAAATTAAAAACATGTGGCTTCTAAAAACACTGAAAATTAAAAAATGTCCGAATAAAACTTTAAAAAAAGTTTAAAAATTTCCCGCCTTTAATGCTAATGTTTACTTACCTCGATAATTTTTTTTCACGAAAATTTGACAGGGTGATTTTCACGAGACTGAAAAAATTTACATTTTTTCACTTTTTTGAAATTCTCTTAGATATTTTTTTTAACAAGAAGTATTATGTCTTGGGCTACCTGTGTCAAGCCAGACACAGGTAGCCCAAGACAGACACAGGTAGCCCAAGACATAATACTTCCTCTAAAAAGAAATTTTCGGAGAATTTTAAAAAAGTGAAAAAATCTTTTTGAGGACGAAAATTTCTTTTTAGAGGAAGTATTATGTCTTGGGCTACCTGTGTCTGTCTTGGGCTACCTGTGTCTGGCTTGACACAGGTAGCCCAAGACATAATACTTCTTGTTAAAAAATATCTAAGAGAATTTCAAAAAAGTGAAAAAATGTAAATTTTTTCAGTCTCGTGAAAATCACCCTGTCAAATTTTCGTGAAAAAAAATTATTGAGGTAAGTAAACATTAGCATTAAAGGCGGGAAATTTTTAAACTTTTTTTAAAGTTTTATTCGGACATTTTTTAATTTTCAGTGTTTTTAGAAGCCACATGTTTTTAATTTTTTTTTTGACTTGCGTTTTTTTGTCAATTTCACGTACTTTTATGAAGCGAGAATTGTTCAAATGTTTCTCAATTTTTTTTTACTTCCAAATTCTTTCAAATTTACAGCCTTTATGAAAGCTGAGAGTCTTAACTTTTTCAAGCTTACAAATCAAACCGAAATTTTCCAGGCTAATTTTTTTGCATTGCCAGGACTTGAACCCTTGTCCTGGGATTGAAAGACCAGGGTCTTAACCATTAGACCACTGCGTCATTTGTCGAAAGCTATTGTTCTTTATTTGACCTAATCCTTTTTGATGAAGTTTAAATTAAAGAATAATTTTGGTGGGAAAAATCGAACCTTTCCCACGCCGGATTCGAACCTAGGTTTATAACCTGGTAGCCGTAGCCTTGACCACTGGGCCACAGCATCATTTATATATGAAAAGCACTTGTTCTTTATTTACTTAATCCTATTCGCAGAATTTTAAATTAAATAGCAATTTAGGTGGGAAAAATTTCACTTTCCCTGGGAGGATTCGAGCCTATGCTCAGAACCTGGTAGGGCGGTAACCTTAACCACTAGGCCATCGTAGTGAGTTGATACTTAACATAAAATAATACATTTTAAAACTTGAACGCAAAATTACCGACTTCTCCATGTTCCAAAAACCAACCAAATATGCTCTAAGATGAAGGTATTAGTCTTAGGAAGCCATTTTTAGCATTTTGAACAGTTCAAAAAGTCTTCAAAATTGACCAAAATGGTAAGGGGTAAGCCTTACCATTTTGGTCAATTTTGGCGACTTTTTCAACATTTCAACATTTCAAAAAGTGTCTCAAAATGCTCTAAGATGAAAGGTATTAGTCTTAGGAAGCCATTTTTAGCATTTTAAGACAGTTTTTGAACAGTTCAAAAAGTCTTCAAAATTGACCAAAATGGTAAGGGGTAAGCCTTACCATTTTGGTCAATTTTGGCGACTTTTTCAACTTTTCAAAAAGTGTCTCAAAATGCTCTAAGATGAAAGGTATTAGTCTTAGGAAGCCATTTTTAGCACTTTAAGACAGTTTTTAAATAGTTGAAAAAGTCGTCAAAATTGACCAAAATGGTAAGAGGTAAGCCTTACCATTTTAGTCAATTTTGACGACTTTTTCAGTGTTTCAAAAACCAACTAAATATGCTCTAAAATGAAAGATATTAGTCTTAAAAAGAAATTTTTAGCATTTAAGACAGTTTTTGAATAGTTGAAAAAGTCGTCAAAATTGACCAAAATGTAAGGGGTAAGCCTTACCATTTTGGTCAAAATTGACGACTTTTTCAATGTTCCAAAAACCAACCAAATATGCTCTAAAATGAAAGATATTAGTCTTAGGAAGCTATTTTTAGTATTTTAAGTCAGTTTTTGAACAGTTCAAAAAGTCGTCAAAATTGACCAAAATGTCAAGTCATGTCATCTGCCCGTGTGAAGACCCCACATAGACGAATAAGTCTGGAAAATGAGGCAGTGATAAAGAAAACCAAAAATGTAATCTATTCGTGCGTGTTTCCATCGACTTATTCGTCGGATTAGTTGTCCCGTCTTTACACTAGACAAAAAATGATGAAGTGTGAAAACGGCCAATAACACGGAAACCAAAGAATGTAGTGGGTATTACCATTACCATTGGTTTGCTGGCGTAAACCGAAATCTAAGGGCGCTTTCCTTTATACGGAAAAAACCGGACCGGTCCTGTTGTATTTCGGTACAGCTAGATTACAGGTATTTTTTAGTGTTTCAAGAACTCTTCATTCGAATATATCTTTTTTTACATCTGCCTAGCACGGGAAATGCAATTTTCCCGCTATATTTTTAAGGAAATACTCTATTTCAATTCAAAATATGATCGGTTTGACCCAGGCATTATAATACGGAATTTTTACAAGGACACACGTTGTCTTTAGGTTCAATAATCACTTATTAATCTTAGAAATTACAACGTGAAATTACAACGTAAGCATATAAAAAAGAGCATAGCCATGCAAAGCAAACTTTATAATAGAAACAATAATTATTTTAAATAGTCAAATTAAAATTATATTAGACATTTTTGTCCATGAGGCATGATTTTTAACTACACACTTTTCCATTTACAAGGACACATTCGCCTTTCACAAGGACACAAAGTGTGTCAAAAACACGCGTATTATAATGCCTGGTTTGACCATTTTAGACGCTTAATAAAAAAAAGCGCCCTAAAATCCCAGCAATACTTCTGGCACAGAGCATACAGAGTTTGACTTGGCATTAATTATGCGTTCCTAGCGGCCATGTTGTTAGCCAGTGCGCTAAAGAGAGACCCTATCCCCCCCGAACATTATAAATATCCATATATTCCACATTTTCACTTTATTTAAACAATCGCTCCCACTTCTATACTCTTCTAAAGGATAAGAACTAACAAAATCTGGTTTTGAGAAAAAAATTGAGCAACGTTTTTGTCAAAAATACGATTTCTCCAGATAGTTCTGTCTCGGCTGTTTATATTCAAGCCGCCGCCATATGCATGATTTCCCGGGGGGAGAAGGTCTCTCTTGAGCGCACTGGCTAAGCCAAGGGGTACGCAAAATTAACGGCAGTCAAACCTCTGTATGCTCTGTGCTTCTGGCCTGTGCTCGAGGTGGCGTGATATCCGAGGAACTTCATGTAGGAAAAATTGTGTAACACCTCGAACCCTCGATTAGAAACGCAAATAAATTTGTAAGTTGATAGGTAAAATTTTCATATTCACGGCATTAATGGCGTTAAACCAAACCTATCGGTTCATAACTCGAGGATTTTGCAAGAATATTCTACACCGCAACAATACAAGTTTTTATACACAAATGCAACGCCACACGCGATATTTATCAGCGATGAGTGAACAATTCAACCAAGCCAAGGAGAAAGTCCCCACGTTAACTAAGGATCCTGGCAATGAAGTTAAACTGAAAATGTATGCACTTTTTAAACAGGTGAGGCGGGAGAGGGAGATAACGCTGTGGAATAGAGAGGGGGTAATGCCAGGGCTGATACTGTGGGAGTCAGTATGGAATGTAAACTATAATATTATTATAGTAAAAGGAATGCCTGATGTGCATAATAGACAGTTGTATATCCTAGTCTTTTTACAGGAAAGCTACCCATAGATATAAGCTGAGTAATATTTTTTGCCCTTGCTAAATTAGTTGAATTTGCAAGAAACTTTTCAACTCAAAGTAACAAATGTTTCCGAAGTCTGAAAATATGGAAGAAAGTGATCTAAAAATGTCACTTTTTGTCTTGTGCCAACCACTAATGCCTGCCTGCCTCATGTAATATAAAAATATGTAAATTATTAAATGTGTTAACTTCTTATGTTAGGGATCTGTTGGAGCGTGCAATGCTCCAAAACCTGGTGCTCTCGATTTTGTTGGAAAAGCAAAATGGAATGCATGGAATGATCTTGGTAACCTTTCTCAGGTAGGTCGGCATTTTTACTTCCTGGCATTAAAGAGCAAACTATTTGGACTGGCAGTATTCTAACCCCAAAGTAAAAGTCTGATAATTTTGTAAAAACTGAATAGGCACATTCTAAATTAGTGGTTGAGAACTAAGGTCATTGACAAAGAGAACCTTGGCAAGAATTTGTAGATAATCTCTCCTTACTAAATAGATTAGGAAAATAGATTAATTATAATTTAGCTTTTCTTACAGGAGGATGCTCAAAAGCAATATATAGCACTTGTGGAATCTTTGTTAGGTAACACTTAAATCGTGAAGTCTGAAATTGTATACATTAGCTACAAATGCCAGCCATTGAGTTGCAAATTGCAATTTTTGACTAATAGTAATTTTTAACTTGACTTGCCCTAACAAGGGGGTTTTAATCAGCAAAATTGTTGTGCCTACTGCTGGAATTTTAAATTGTTCTGCACAAATTATATTAATGTAGGTCTTCAATATGTTTGTTAGCACAAGAGCCATCATCTAGTAACAAAGCAGAGAAGGCAAACGAAGCAGAATCTGGTGATTTTGAACACATATTAGTTACACAAGATGGTGGACTTACAACAATTACGCTAAACAGACCCACCAAATATAATGCTTTAAACCCCAAGGTGAATGCAAAACTGTGTGTGGATCAGAAAACAGACTATCAAGTGTACCATACTAAATTCTATTTTTGGTTAACTCATATGTCAAGTTCAATACTCTAAATGTGCAAAAACCTTCAACACTGTATGAAAACAAGATTGCCTCCTTTTCTATAGATGTATCTGGAAATAATTCAAGCGCTAAAACAAGCTGGTGAAGACAACTCTGTTGTGACGTTAATTACCGGTGCTGGGCAATATTTTTGCAGTGGAAACGATCTTACTAACTTTTTAAATATCCCACCAGAGGGGCCAGAAAAAATGGCCGCTGATGGAAGAGAGTTGTTGAGGTTGGCTAGGAGTTTGAGTAATTCCGCTACCCTGACTTTATTTCTAAGTTAACATTGGTTTTGTCCAAACTTGCCAATTTTAATGATTTTGGAATGTTTTTTCCAGCTGTGAAACCCAGTCAGATGAACCTCTCCTAAATTTCACTTTAACTTGGCTAATCAATCCAACCCTTGATATTATTATTTAGGGAATTTGTTAAGACATTTATTGACTTCCCAAAACCAATTGTGGCTGCAGTCAATGGTCCTGCTGTTGGAATATCTGTCACGTTACTGGGATTACTAGATATGGTGTATGCCTCAGATAAAGCTACATTTCACACACCATTCATGACACTTGGGCAAAGTCCTGAGGCCTGCTCATCCTATCTCTTTCCGAAAATTATGGGGCAGGCGAAGGTGAGAGTTACAGAAAATCAACATATCATACCTCACTGTCTTCCTGCAAGCTCTGAATGTACTGTTTTGAAAAAAATAGGACCAAAATGCCGATCTCAAAATTCATACAAAAATTTGTAAAATCAATCTCTGTTTACTACGGAGAAATACAATTCACTGCAAAATCCATCATTTTTATTGATTAGAATTTGAAAGTGAAATATAATTACTGTATAAACAATGCCTGTTGCTCTAAAAGGTTTTGGAGTAAAGCTCCCACACTCCCATCCTAGTTTGGCATTAAATAACGGTTTCAGGATATGCTGCATGTACAATAAATGTGAAAATATGCATGTAGTTATTTCAAGTAAGGTGTTAATTGCACAAAGTTAGATTGCCCGAAACTAGTTTGGTTAAGTACTTTTTGTAAACTGTGATGTAGGCTCACGAAGTCTTGCTGGCAGGAAAAAAGCTGAATGCTGTTGAAGCTTGCAACTACGGTTTGGTTACAGAAGTCATTCCTCAAGCAGAATTCGAGAGAGAAGTGAATAAAAAAATGAAATATATGGCTGGGTTGCCTCCACAGGTATCATTTCACCGCAGTCACCGGGAACGCGTAACATATTAAAGAAAGACACACGCTACTATTAAACAATTTAAATGCTATATTCTATACAAAAATTACTTAAAACAAAAAAAAACTGAAAAAACTTTATACATTTTAGTAGATTTTCTCTTATTGCATATTGTTTTTTCAATGTTTTTTTTTTTCTTCTCAATTTTCAGTCTCTAGCCTTATCCAAACAACTCTGTCGCTCCGCTGAGAAAGATAAACTCCACGATGTGAATAATAAAGAATGTGAACTTCTTGCTAAAAGATGGCTCTCTGATGAATGCGCCAAAGCCGTCATGGCGTTTATGCAAAGAAAGGCGAAAATGTGAACCGAGATCCCATCAATATGTTAAGACTGTGAAGAACTATGTTGAGATGTTGAATCTCGCAAGAATTATCGATTGATGTTATTATATGAACTAGGTTTATTCAATAAAAAATTATGTTTAAAATGACTATTTTTCAACACGTATGTATAATTAATGCAAATTTCTAGCAAATTGCTACAAATTAAATACGCGGGAAAGTTCAAATGTACTAAAATGTACCCTATTACATTTACACGAGGATACACCAAATGTACCCTAACATACCTACAGTACTTTTAAGGTTCCGAAAGCTACATGTGCTAGAAAATTTCATCCATAAATTACAAACTTGATTTTGTTTAAAATATTACTTTTCACAAAAAAATCGCGAGTGAAGCCTCATTTACATCATGCACAATCTTAGGTAGGGGTACCAAGTCTTCCTTTAAGGAAGATTTTGACAATTGCTGGTGGCGACACTTTGGTGTCAAAAAATCTGCCAATTGGTCATAAAGCAGGTGAACTTAACAAGATATATCGCCATTGTTCATTATGAAATGCGATATAAATTATTATTACGCGATATTTTTGCTCATCGCCTGCTACACTTCTTACATTTCAAGAAGCTTGTCTCACAAAAGGAACTTTGTGCGTCGGACAAGATTCTTGAAATTATGTACCAGGTTACCTCCTCGCATGCCTAACGCTGACCACAAGTTAACAGCATACCTGGACTATCATAATCATTCCCGTATGCTGACCCGCCATCTTGAAAGAATATTCTTCAATGTGAAATCGTTAACAACATACTTTTGGAAAAAGTCACATTCTTCGTGATTCGTATTCTCGAGATCCTGAACTTTCCCGCCATATACAAGTGTCTTTGTGTCACGCAAGCACTACAATCGAAAAAAACTTCATTATTTTACACCTGTAAACCTAAGATTGCTCTATTTTCATACTTATACTGTATTCACGATAAAATAGCAAGAAAATAACAAGAAACAAGTTTTGTGCACGTCCAGCAAAACAAAATCGAGGATTTTTAAACGACTTCATATATGAATTGAATGAATCAATATGACAATAATGTTCAAGGACTTTTTCCGACGCTGTTGTCAGAGAGAAAACGATTAGTCTGCCCAGGAAATAATCCTTTTGTGTGGTTAAATATCACCAGACCATGTTATCTTTAAACGTTCGTGTGGTTCCCAAGGACGTTTGAAAAGTTCAAGCACTATTCAAGTCTCAAGAGTTTCAAGCACCCGCATGGAGCTGGAGCACATGTGGCTTTTTTTTTTACTTCGAAAATTTATTCGGTGTCAGAAAATAAAGCCATCAGTGACACTACCCTATATACATTAACTGGAATAATATCTCCAATTGTCAAGCAAGATGGCTGCTAATTACTCAAACTTTGAGCATAGTTTTCATGGTACTTTTTCCACTATGCTGTAATTATGTTAATATACTGTAGGTAATATATGAAAATGTTGTTTAAATTAGGTAAAAATACGGAATTTTGGCATTTTGCTGCTTACTGTATTTCTGCCCAAAACAATTGGAATGGACTGGGACTAGTTCATAATATCCGGAGAATTCTAAAAGTAACTCTACCTCAGTACTTTAAGCGATGTTTACCTGCAAGGGAACGGATAGGAGTCTCTGTATATTTGATTTTAACTCCTTTTCAAACTGATCTGTCTTTAGAATTTCGCTAACAAGACCGTAGTGCTTTGCATTCGAGGCAGAAATTTCGGTGTTGAACAATATCACTGACATTGCCTAAAATCAGAATGACAAAATTTCACTTAGAATGTATATACGTATACCATACAAAAAAACTATATTATAAGAAAAATCATGCTGGGAAAAACAACATTTTGAAAACTCAATAAAGGAGTTACATAAAACAAACAAAAATGTTGCGGTGATGTTTAGACTTCATTTCAACAAGTCAGTTCAAGTTTTGCGGAATAAATATGTGTTATTTTTGAACAACCATTTCTTAAAAGCCTATACAACAGTAGCTGTACCTGTGATGTTCCAAGAAGATCCTGTAAGGTATATGAACAACAGCCAACTGGTGGATGACCCCATTCAGCAAACTTCGTTTGAAATGTCGCCTAAAGTGGAATTAGGTAAAGTTATACTCACAGACAATGTATGCTACATGCTAAATGAAGTCCATTACACACAATTCATCTAAATTTTCTAAAGAAAACATTTCATGGAATATTTCAAGTTTTTTGGTCCAACCTATTTACACACTTCACATAAACTAGATTGGCTAACGAGAATGAAACTAAAGACAAGACACGGAACAAAACAAACGAAAGTACAAAATTGAAGGGAGTACAAAAAGAGTTAAGAGTTATACTGAAAAAATTCAGTAAAAAATGACATCATTTAGTAATATATAAATAAGCACGTTATGTGATCAACACACCTGATCAGCAGCAAAAACAAAGTCACAAAGAGCGACTAGAGAAACACCAAAGCCAGCAGCAGATCCGTTTACGGCGGCAATCAATGGTTTGGGACACGTGATAAGCATTCTAGTTAAAAGTCTATAAGAAAAGCAATTCAATCTTCGTTTAAAATATGAGCCGGTATTCTATAAATATTTCTCGTCCAACATTTCACTAACATGTCCAACATTGCTAGCCGTTAATTTTAATAAAATTCTAGGTGAATTTCATGCATTCTGATTAGAACGAAAAGTCGCTTTAGGCGCTTGGTGAATACCTGTATTTTTGTAAAATTTCTCGTCTCTCGGTATGAGAGATGGATTGGAATTGATCGAGATCCCAGCCATAGCTGAATACACTGCCTGATCCGGATATCACAACCAGAGACACGTCGTCTTTACCAGCGTCGCGCAAAGCAGCGATTATGTCTTCACAAATCTTTATTGTATAAATGAGAGAAGAATGAGAGAGGAATTAGAGAGATGAAAGAGGAATTAGAGAAATGAAAGAGGAATTAGAGAGATTAAAGAGGGATTAGACAGATGAAAGAGGAATTAGAGAGATGAAAGAGGAATTAGAGAGATGAAAGAGGAATTAGAGAGATGAAAGAGGAACGAGGGAGTGGCAAGAGAGGAACAGGGAGGAATGAAAGAGAATGAGCAAGGCATTAGAGAAAAATGAGATAGGAATTAGAGGAAAATTAATTAGAATGAGAGAGGAATTAGAGAGGTGAAGGAGGAATCAAAGTGGAAAAAAAGTGATGAAAAAAGAATTAGAAAGGGATGAAAAAAGTATGAAAGAGGAATGAGGGAGAGACAGGAGAAGAATGAGGGATGAATGAAAGAGGAATAAAATGACAAAATATTATTATTGATGTCATATTACCTGTCGATTGATGACATTTTTCTTTGCTTTGTTGCATATTTTGATGTACAAACAACCATCCCTATTTGTGACGACCAATTCATCTTCCAGAATGCACTGTGTGGAACAGCCTGGCAGAGTCTGCCTCGTCAAACGTGATGGTAAAGTCAATGATGGACTGTCAATAACAACACGATTCTTTTGAGCAGACAAAATCATTCCATTTCGCCTTTTTTTCATTTTTTTCCCTGATAAAAAACACAATGCAGAGTTATTAATGCTACTTTGTCTAGTTTGGTGAATCAATGCAAATACAATTTTCATTAACCAAATAAATTTCTATCAAAAATCCATCAAGAAATTTAAGACAATGGAGTGCTTTGGATAGGTTAGAGTGTTAGAGATAGGAACTCAATTCAAGAGAATAGGACACAGGGACCAGTTGTTCAAAGCTGGGTTAGCGCTAATCCTAGGTTAAATTTTAATCCAGTGTTTTGGTTTAAGTGCTTCTGTGCACTGTTCGTTTTGAAACTTTAAAAAATATTACTTCTATCAGTACAGAAATATAATAATATACTTCTGCTGTATATTTCGGGTATAGATCCTGTATTTATTGCCTAGTGTAACTGCAGCTTCACCTTTCAGGCTCTTGGCTTTTGTTTGAAGTATTTCATGGGACTGGTCGTATTCTTGCTTTATGGAAAGAACAAATTGTTCATCAGGAATGTCCAAGTCAGAATTTACATTGAGTGATTTTTGTTTTGGAGGTCGACCAACTTTGGAATGTTTGGCAAGTTTTGAAACTTTGCCAGGCTTCAAAGGTCGACTAAGCTTCCGCTTCACTGGGTTTTTTACAACACGATTGTCATTTTGGACAGTTCTGCTTCGAAGGCTTCTGTTATAGCTCTCTGGCAATGTGTCATTGAACTTCACCATTGTATCCTGATCTGAAAATTTGGAAAAAAATATTAGGGATTAACCCTTTGGCAAGCAACAATTTCCTGCCTTAGCTTGACAAAAAATTGGAAGAAAATGTTTGTTTGAAGTGACTATACATTATTCATGGGGTGGAATGAAAAACAATGGGTGGGGGGATTGACAGGGAGGGGACAAACACATTTTTTTGGAATAAGATGCTGTTATGCTGTGGCCATTATTGTTTATTTCACAAAATGTTTCCTTAAATAGTTTGAAGAAAGTGAACAAAACTTGCAGCTGATCATTCTCATGCAAGAAAGCAAAGAAAATTAAACTAATTACCTAACACCAAAGGCAAATTAAGTCCGTTGCAAACACTTTTCGTCAAAGACTTCTCTTCCACTTGACGACGAAGAATTTCGTCTTTCAGGTCTTGTCGAACACCACGTAAGAGCTTCTTTTGCTTCTTTAGAGGCAACGCTTGCAGCGTTACCAATTCTTTCTTTTTCTTAGAGAAATTTGGTTTTTCAGCCAGGTGTTCAACAACTGTAGTTTGACTACCTGATAAAATGTAAGATACCTAAATTATACCAGTTGAACTGATAATCACTTGCAGGGCCTCCAAGAGAAATTGTGGGGCCTAAGGCAAAATTTTTTTCTGGGGCCCTATGACATCATGGTTTTAAATATCTACAAGGCATAAATACTTCAAAGAGATGTGAAAAAGTTTAAACAACAAACAAACTTTTTTACAAACAATATCAAAGTATATTGTTGCTGTCACTCATACTTTCGATTAGTGTGCGAAGAATACACCAAGCCCAACATATTTTAAGGTGCTTTAATTTAGGTTATTTTTTCTTAAGCGAGGGGCCCCTTCAGGTTGGGGGCCCATGGCAAAATGCCCGCCCCCCTCTCGGTAGGCCCTGATCACTTCCAGGGGTTATGTGGATGTGACACACCAGCTATAAGCAAAGTCAAAACAGCAAAGTCTTAAAACAGCATGTTTGGGTCTCCTAACCATGTATATTCAATTAACTGAGGTATCACAAGACCCAAGCAGGAAGTCAAGATGCATGGCCACCCACATATTTGATATTTTAGGAATGAATCCTCCTTTTCTCTTGCAATAATACTCGAAGATGCACCCAAAGTTTGGTTCAATGAGGGCATTCACAATTCAACAACAGGGAAGGGGTGGATGGGTTTTTTAATTTCATCCAAAAAATGGCACAGTGAAGCATGACACCAAACACTTGCATTTTGGTAACAACTCTAATAGTCATTGTTATACTTTGTAATTTGCATGTGTATGAGGTTTTTTTTGCTTATTTTTACGTCAAGATGTTTTGCCTTATTCATTCACTAATTTAATCGCTTACTCTGGCCTTCTCGTAAACTATTTTAGAAAGGTTAAGTGCACCGGAAGACGGAACGATGCTGTTTAACTTTGCACAAAGTTACGAAAAAAAATTGTACTTAGCAAATTACCAACCTAGCACTTTCCTCGGTTTCAAAACAACATGAATTGCAACTTAATTCAGGTCATTTGGGTTGCAGAGGAAAATGCCACGTAGTTTCATTTTCAACTTTTCACGAAGTTGGATTATACATATATATGAAATTCAAATACCTGGCAATCGCTCAAATCTAACACAAACACCGCGAGAATTTGCAAAAGTCGACGTTCGTGCATCAAACCGTACCTGGAATAGGCCAGTGCTTCGTGAAGTATTCCTGAACGGCTTCCTGACAATTCGCGAAGTTATGAAGCGGTTCCCAAGTCGTCAACAATGGCGGATAGTTCTTCCAGCGAACCAAATAGTCTTCGTTTCCCTCTTTTGTCGTTCGTCTGCCAACAATCTCGTCCACCTACGTTGCAAAGGAGATGTATTAGGTTGAAATAAAAGCATAAATACAATACGGGAAGTCTTAAATCACGCGCCTTGCGGCCTTACCTCATACGTATCTCCCGAAGCCATCACCCATTTCTGGAGATATTGTTGTTTGTTCGAAAAATTGCGCGCGAAAATCACAAGTGGACCGCGTGGAGCGTGCAGGCAAGTGTGTCCAAATTACTCCCCCTCCCCCCTCTCCCCCTTGAAAATTGTAGTTGATATATTACCCAATTTTTTATCCCAAGATATGCAGGTAATGCACCCCCGGCAAAGACTCTAGAAAGATAATTCTCCCTAATCTGAGGGAGGAGGGGGGAGGTAGAGGCCTCACTCTCTATTAGAACGCCTATGCCTGGAAAATTCTGTTACAATATAGTAGTGGATCGGAAATTCGATGAAAAGTTTACGACTTACTGTTCAAAATGTAATATTAATTTTGTTGATTGGTCAGTTCTTAATCTTTTCAAAACTTTGATTTCTTCCGCAAATTGATGAAATTAAAATGCAGGAAGCTAGCAAATTAACCAAGCCTTTACACATTGTGCTTGTAAATTTTAAAAAAGTTCGAAATCTGCTTAAAAGTTTCAAAGGTTACCCAAACGTGGCAAGAACTGAAAATTGAAAAAGCACCAATTCATACACCTTTTGTGGCTTCTGCCCCACTTCTGCCCGTATTTGACTCACTATTGTAACATGAAGTATTTATGCAAGAGACGTTTAGAAATACGCGCCAAATCTCTCAGCTTCGCGCGCAATTATTAATTAAATTATATTTTGTTACAGTTTCAGTTTGAAAATCGAAATATCAAAAAATACAAAGTTTATCACTTGGATTCTTTATAAACATGCCTCATATTGATAATAATATCAAACTTGACTTTAAAGATGTTCTTATTCGACCTAAACGAAGTACCATACGAAGCCGTGCTGATGTAAGTTTATGTTTGCATGATAGAATATGCATATTGCAGGTTTAATATTTATACGATTGGTAACCCGTCTTATTTAAGTATTTTCACCGCATTTAAGAGTTGCGACGTCCACGAATAAGACCCCACGTGTATATTTTGTCCATAGAAAATTTGTGATTTTATTTTCTTGTAAAGACTGAAATCTTAGGATGACCTATTATATTGAATATACCTTAAATATGGCTTTGACTATATAAAAGAGTTGACAGGCTAGAAGCACAGGACCCCACCCTTTCAGTTCCCCGACGATCTGACTTTGGATAATCACATTCAGTGTCTATCATACACATCACACATGCCAATATATCTTCTTTATTTGAAACAAATTTTTTGCATGGTAATATCAAAATATAAGTAAATAAGCACAACCAGGTTATAGACATTTAACATTCTGTATTTCACATCAGGTCGACCTTTCATGGCATGTGATTCACCGACATTCAAAGAAAACATTTCCAGAGGATGTAGTTCCAATCATAGTTTCCAATATGGACACAACAGGCACATTTACGATGGCCAAGGAAATCGCAAAGGTGAACAGGGCAATGTGGCAATCGAACTTTTAAATTTTCATGAATAACAAATCAACACGAGCTTTGTAAAACGAACATCAATCATTTTATAGTATCAAGCCATACCAGCAGTGCTCTTATACCCAGACAAATAAAATTACCTTGCAGAAAATGGAGTTAAATTCTAAAATAGGCTCTTATGGGTCTATTGCTAATTTTATCAATGGAAATTTTAAATATTTTCTTTGAAACAATTAGGCCTAGGGAATTATTATAATAACATTCCAGTTTCGATTTTCTTAGTAACACTGTTTTGTTCCTTTTTATTTAGCATAAGATGTTGACTGCCGTACACAAGCATTATTCGCTTGAGGAGTGGAAACAATTTGCCTCTGAAAATCCTGATGTTCTTCCGGTATCATTCATTCCTTTGCATTTATGTTTTGCTAATAATTCAAGATTAATTGTTGTTGCTTTCTTATTCTTGAGCTATTTTTCTCAGTATACTATAGCAAGCTGTGGTATGATGAGCAAAGATGTTGAAAAAATCACCAGCATTTTGAGTGGTATCCCCGACATCAGAGCAATTTGCCTTGATGTTGCTAACGGATACTCCGAACATTTTGTTGAATTTGTGAAAGAGATCAGAGAGAAGTTCCCAGAACATATTGTTATTGTAAGTTGACATGGAGTTTAGGGAGAAGATGATGATCTTTATTACAGCAGCCTCTTCTGTATTTAACATGGTATATTTAAAATGGCCCACAGTGTAGCTTTTATAGAAAAATATATTGGAACCTTTTTATTACAGGAGCTTCCATTTAATGTACATGAACACCTCTCTCATATGGACACCTTCCTTGTATAACATGTGTCCAGCAGGGATGCCTCTACTATGAGTAACTATGAATCTCTCTATGGGCTCTAATTTTAGGACCCCTATGATATATGTTACCTTACTAATATAGACAACTCTCTAATATGCACACCTTCTAAAATGGGCACCTCTCCAATATGAGCACCTCTCTAATATGGGCCCCTTTCTAATATGGTCCCTCTCCTATATGGGCACATCTCTAATATGGGCCCCTCTCCAATATGAGCACCTCTCTAATATGGTCACCTCTCCTATATGGGCACATCTCTATTATGGGCACCTCTCCAAAATGGGCACCTCTCTAATACAGACACCTCTCTAATACAGACACCTCTCTAATACAGACACCTCTCTAATACAGATACCTCTCTAATACAGACACCTCTCTAATACGCATCTCTCAACGGTCGTTAATACGGACACATCTCAAATACAGGCACCTCCCTAAAATTGTTACCATTCTATCACTGTCACTTTCTGTACCCAATAACACGATCAATTCCATGATTTTCTTTTGAACAGGCTGGCAACGTTGTCACAGGCGAAATGGTGGAACAACTCATTCTAAACGGAGCTGACATAGTTAAAGTTGGTATTGGACCGGGTAAGGGATGGTCCCTTATTTAAAACTCTCTCACGCTCTCTAAAAGCTGGTGTGAGAACTTTCATGAAAAACGAACAACTTCACTCGGACATTGCTTACAAAATTGATCCAAAAAAATTCCTTTTCTCGATCAGAGATATTTGGTTGTGCAAAAATTTGTTTGGTATATTTGCCAACTGCGTGCATTTGACGTTGTCCACAGGTTCGGTTTGCACCACGCGAAAACAAACCGGAGTTGGATACCCACAAATCAGCGCGGTGTTGGAATCAGCCGATGCCGCCCACGGGCTGAAGGGACATGTTATCTCGGTAATAAAATACTTGTGAAAATATGTAAAAACAAAAAGGTTTCCTTGCAAGCACTCCACTGACAATTTGTCTTTCGACTTTTAAAACAGGATGGCGGCTGCACTTGCCCCGGTGATATTGCAAAGGCATTTGGTAAGACTGTTCCAACATCCAATACTTCTCTTCATAGGCGTACCAGGGGTGCCACACCCCTCTCCTTCCTCACAGACTTTATATTCCGACCATCCGCACCCATCCTACAAAGTTTAGACGGAATTTTAACCCACATTCATTTGCTAGGAGCTGGTGCTGATTTTGTTATGTTGGGTGGCATGTTTGCGGGCCACGATCAATCAGGTACATCTCCTTAAAAGATTATTCCCCCATCTCTCCTTTTCTTGACACACCCATGCATCAGTAGGTAGGGCCTTGGCAAAGCAATATATCATGTGCCTTTCAGGTGGTGACCTGATCGAGCGAGATGGAAAGAAATATAAGATTTTCTATGGAATGAGTTCTTCAACAGCCATGCAGAAACACGCCGGAGGAATCGCTGAGTACAGGTGATGTGCTCCGTCAAGATTTCTACGGTCGTTATAAAGACGAACGGAAGACTTGTAATCAAACTTGATAGTCTAAGTTTTTCCTAAACACACCTCGATTTCGTTGTCCAACGCAAGTTCCTCAGCCTTTGGAAGTTAATTTAGGTGGCTTTAGTTTTCTAAATTTTCAGTGAGATTTATCTCAACAGTCTAAAGTCCAGTTTATTTCAATTTCTAGATCTTCTGAGGGCAAAACGGTCGAAGTACCATACAGAGGGAATGTCAAAGACACTGTACTTGATATGTTAGGTGGATTGAGGTCTGCCTGCACTTACGTTGGAGCATCCAGACTTAAAGAGTTGAGCAGGCGAACAACTTTTATTAGAGTGACCCAACAGCTGAATACAGTATTTAAGTAACTAATGTTTGGTCATAGAACAGTGTGTGACCTTTAAAGTTGCCAACCCATAGTAAGGAATGATGTTAATGTGTAGGCTAAATATATATTTAATGGTTGTGAACTTTTGACAATGTTAGTCATTGTTAGTCATTGCGCTAACATATTTAACAATAAACTTTATCAAACACAATCCATGTTACATTTTAATGAAATGTAAGAAAGAGCATTATCATTCCGAAGAAGAAAACGATGTCCAGCGTCTCTGGTATTAGTCAGACAATTTTGCTGGTTAAATTTTAAAAAGCTATCAATTTAGCAAACCTGCACGTGGGCGTGATAGTTGCAATGCTTTGCGCGGAGTCCTACGATACAAATATAACCATGCATCAAAGTCAGTGAACTCCAACTATACTCCAGGAAATGAGAAAAAGCAAAGACCATTTCAATGGCACTGACAAATGACAATGCTTGCCTTTGGTTTTTTGATGATCTTGCATGAATTTGTGATCTTGATGACGTCACTTCCTGTTCGCAAAAAGCCCCATCTCGAAAAGCCCTATCCGTCCACGTCAAAATTACATTAATGATAAGCCGATCAATCAAGCAGATCAACATACAGCGACGCATTTTTTAAACTATAAAAAATTCCGATTAAGATTATCGCAGCCCTGACCATTCCTAGCCGATTTGGGCGTCTCTTAGGGTGATTTCCAATTCTCTTTCCTGAAAATATTACCGGTGTCCCTTTCTTACCCAAAGCCAGCACACGCTATAGTGACTAAAGTGATGGGAGACGAGGCTTTTCAGCAAGATGTCTGCTAAATATCATTGTTACAAACTAATATAATACCAGATTCATATTACATTGCTTGCGTGCCAGCATACACCATTTGACACCATATCGGTGTTGTTCAAAAAACATGGCCACCGTATCCCGTAAGATAGATTGGACGATCCGTTTATCAGCGCTGGCAACCTTAATTCTTGGAACTCTGATGATATCTTCTTCATTCAGAATTAAGTATTACAATGAAGCATTGGATTCCAATTCAGACTGGTGGGAAAAAAAGAATTACAAACTATTTACCAAAAAGCTGATGGGATTGTATTGTTCGACGAATCTATTTGCAAGCTGGATCATCTATTGGCCAGGCATCGTGGTTTGTATTCAAATATTTTGCGTGCAGTTGTCTAGTTCCTTTTACGAAGATGTGGTGGCATGGCTGAAGCCATGAAAACATAGTCTACCATACACGTACCATCAAAATTTAGCGAAAAATTCGAAAGGAAATTAAATCTTTTAGAAGAGCCTTAACTCGTTCAACAAAGCCGATTTGCGATCATAATTTCATGCGGGCAATTCGCGTCTCTTAAATCACCGCATCTTCGCAAAGAATCTATCATGCAATACGGTTTTAGTTTCAAATGCAGTCGAGTCGCGAGCAAGCACGAAGCAATGAATGATAAGAATAACCCGCATCGATACATGTGTTTATAAAATACCCGGCAAGGTTACTAATGACAACCATTTATCGCGAAAATTGAGTGCGTGTCATTACTGATTGAGATGGTTCTTTCTTAATAAATGGAAAGATTTAAGGTAGAGCATTGAAAATCAAGCTCTTATTAACGCTGACTGTTTTTTATTAATTTTTATAGGTCGTGTTAACAAGCCTCGTTATTCTCTTTCCCAACGTATGTCGCCACAGGGTATGAATCTTTTGTGTGATATTTGCTACTACATGGGACTCCGAGGGTGGTTGGGGGTATCCGCAGGTATCGCAGGGATATCACTAGCTTTGTCCACGCCCCACAACGCCACTGCAGGCTTGCGTTCCTCGTCAAGTTCAATGTTTTGAAATCTGAGATCATGTTTCCTTTCCCTCCAACTGTAGAGAGCAATTTGTAACAATTCGTCTTTCTGATTCCAAGTTTTTTTCCCATCCAAATGTAGAGAGTAATTTGTAACATATTCGTCTTCCTGACTTCACGTTTTTCCCATCCAAATGTAGAGAACAATTTGTAACATTTTCGTTTTTCTCTCATTGACGGCGACGTTCGTTCTGATAACACGAGAGGCAAGCACGATCGACAAAATTCGAAGTTACGATGTTTGGACTTGCCATCCTCACGTTTCCAACTTCTATCGACTACGTTGGTGGTATTACGCACTTTATATTTCATCATATGCCGTCCTCTGTCTTTGCATTGGTCAATTCGTTGCTTTCGGAGCGAAATGGATCTTGGAATTGAAATCGGTATGTTAATAAGATTCAAAACGGGAAAACGTTCAAAACATGAAATCTTTTCGACGTACCACTCAAAATCAATTTATTTTAGCTTTATTCTTTATATTAGGTAATGAATGAAGTCTTGCATGAATGGTAGTTATAGTGGTTACAAAACACCAAGCGACGAGAGTTTTTTTAAAAATATAAATTGCAACTCAAATTTGGGAAAAATATTTCGCAAAAAAGAAGATGAGGAGGATTTGCAGGATCAAAACCTTTTCCCGCCCTCATCAACCGCCATAAACAATGCTCGGTCCTAATGTTTAAACCTTGAGACAGGCACGATCTCAGTCAGTAATGCAATCAAAAATCAAAAATGGATCCAGCAAAGCTGATGAAATAATTTCATTTCTACAATCATAGAGTTTCGAAGATTTAATCATCAAGAATAATCATTCTGCACATGGACGGCACCATACCGAGCAAAGTGGTGAAGTTGAGGAAGAACAGGAACCACCATCTTATGTTGGTATGAGAGTTCTACCAACGAACCAACCCGGACCACCTTTTCCCTACCAACAACCAGAGAGTTGCTGTCCGTACCATACCCCACAACCATCATCGTGTCACCATTGCGATATCCATGAATGCTACCCACCAGTACCCGGGGTACCACACTATAATTCAATCAGACGAGGTCGGAATTGCAAAGTTATGCCATACTAGTGCGGCCATATGAGAAATTGAGCCAGCACATTCAGCATTTCAACTATGTTATTCTCAGTGGAAAGTCTTACCGGAACTCTTAACTAACATACGCAATACTCTATGATTGAATAAAGGCGTGTGTGCGTAGCGTGGTATATAGTTCTGGCATTGTTATTGTAAATACTATTTGAAAATATATACTGAAAAGCAACAAATATTTTTTAACATTAAACATTTAGTAATTTATATCAATTGTCATTTTCGTTTGCCGTTATTTATAACAGGGAGCTTTTTTTAGAGAATTCTTTGTGGTTAGACAGATCTGGTATGATCATTCATTTTGTCCCTGATATTAAAAGTCCTCACAGTCTTTCAATAGTTGCATAATTTGACCCGTCTCGATAGGAATCTGGTTCGGTGTATCCATCCAAGGCCTCAGATTACATGTAACGCCTCTCCAAAACTTAGTACATTGCATGGTCTGAATGTACCAGTTTTGAACTCATGGCTTCCACATTGAAGATTATTGATGTGGCGATCGTATTCATGGCATTTACATTAACCATTTTGGGAGCACTGATGATGAGTGCTTCTTTCAGGATTAAACATCACAGTAACGTTTTAGATACGGAAGAAACCTCGGTTGATTGTTCGGGGAATTCGTTCTCAACCTGGGAAACATTATGGCCAGGAATCGTGGTCTGTATCCATGCATATATTTAATGCATGTTTCGTTTTTTTGTTCAAAGATGCGGTGGAATGGTTGATAAGACTAAGTCTATAATCCAGCATAGAAAATGCAGCAGGAACTTCGATATCACGAACAATAGCCTTTCGGCATCGTTTAAGAATTTTCTGGATGGCAGACTTAGTTTTCAGCCTTCAGACGTACTATCTTATCAACCATTACCTCGGAATGATTCGCACAGAGTCTGCTGTAGTATGCAAGTATCTATAGTTTTGAGTCGCGATGTTGGACGAGAGAGCGAAATACGACTGCCACATATTTTCAGTTCACAATGACGATGTAAACAAAGGCAATTATCGAACTGAAAAAAATAGGTTCAGATTCATGCCGTTAATAGCTATTAATATCTCTCAGAAAGGCATCGATTGTAGCTACAGTAGCCCAAAAGTAGTGTATAGATCGTCATTACTTACATCTTCATGCAATTTAATGATACTTGATCTTCAGACAAGGCAACTATAGTAGGCCCGAAAAATGTGGCTAAAATCTTCGGCATCACCCTTTCAGACTAAACCACTTCATTAAATCATTAAATTACTTTTATAGAAGTGTCGCATAACACATTTGCGCCACTGCTGATCATGACTCTTATTTTTTATGTAATTTTCCTTTTTTTCCCGTCCATTTGCCTAGATTACTTTGACAAGTATCGTCGTTCTTTTTCCGAGAACTTATCGCCACCGGGTATGATTTACTTTCTCATAATTGCAACTGAAATTGCTTCATATAATGTTAAATCACATAACAGTATAATTAAATAATTCGATACGGTTCTTAAATATGATAATAATTATGTTCCCAAATTACATTAACGAAGCTTAGGTCTTGCTTTATAATAAAAAAGATTAATTTTTGCATCGTAAACACAAAGGGTGGATTTCGTACAATCTACATTCATTTCGGAATGATACTCGACCTTTGATATGAAAAACAATAGGATGTGACAGATTTTGGCGTTAAGTTGAATTATTCGGATTCCAGTCTATAGTATAGCGGCGAATGTCGGGTCTGAATAAAAAAAAACCCAGTGGACTGACGTTTTCTGGAGAAACCGTTGACGAAAAAGAAAAACATAAATTCGTACACGTTCTTCCTACCACTCATTTACTTTTCCATTTTTTCCCCTTTTCATTCAATTTCAGACGACAGTTTGTAACGTATCCATCTTTCTCTCAATGGTCTCCGCATTTTATATCGTCACGAAAGAGGCGAACGCGATGGACAGGATTCGAAATTACGATGTTTGCACATGCCATCCGAATATTTACCACTTTGAACGATTACGTTTGTGGTTTTACGCTCTAATTGCCTCCTCGTACGTCGTCCTCTGCTTCTGCGTCTTACAACACGTTGCTTTTGCTGTGATTTGGATCTTGCAAATGAAATCGGTAACGTTAATCGAACTAAGATCTACTACATTGTATATTGGACCATACCAAGAAAATGGTATACTCGACCATGCTGGAATATATAACGGAATATGGTATACTCGAACCTGAAATTGGACATGTATACTCGACCCTGGCCGAATATACTGGAATATGGCGGTATACTCGACCCTGGTCGAATATAACGGAATATTGTATACTCGATTCTGGTCGAATATACTGGAATATGGCGGTATACTCGACCCTGGTCGAATATAACGGAATATTGTATACTCGACCTTGGCCGAATATACTGGAATATGGCGGTATACTCGACCATGCTCGAATATAACGGAATATTGTATACTCGACCCTGGTCGAATATACTGGAATATGGCGGTTTACTCGACCCTGGTCGAATATAACGGAATATTGTATAGTCGACCATGGTCGAATATACTGGAATATGGCGGTATACTCGACTATGCTCGAATATAACGAAATATGGTATACTCGACCATGGTCAAATATACCGAAAAACGGTTGAAAATACCATATTCAGGTATATTAGATCATCATTATATTTTTATCCAGTCTTAATTTCGACTAGTCTTAATTTACTCCAAGTTCGTATTTAATTTTTTGTGTTTATGAAATTTTGACTAATGCAATCGCATGAGTCGCATCAGTCTGGACCGCTCCTGTTTCATTTCTATCCCATATTCATTTCTTTTCATTTTGGTAGAGGTTTGAGAATTTGATCATCTCGAATACTGCTGCACTTGAAAACTCGCAGCAAAGAAGAAGGGCTGGCGCATCGGATGCCGTGGACCAGGAATCACCATCTTATATTGAGATGAATGTTTTATCGATAAACCAACCACCTTTTCCATACCAACAACCAGCAAGCTGTGCCTGCCCTTACCACACTAACCTGACTCCACAACCACCGCCGTGTCACCATTGCGACAAACACGTATGTCAGCGGCCACAGGTAGCCTGTGTTCCACACTTCAATTCAAACAGATGTCAAAACTGCAAACACATCACATATTAACACAACCATGCCAAAAACATCGACACTTAGACGCGTTGCTATATTTTCAGTCAACTTTAATAAAACTGAAAAGCGAACTTCATACACAATTAATGTCTTCGGCAATTTGAATTATATCATTGATAATATTGTCTTCGTACACAATGTCTTCGGCAATTTGAATTATATCATTGATTTGTCTTTGCCTGCACGGTGCCCGCAACAAAATACTTGTTTAAAAGAACTGGTGACATCAAATATAGGATGTGTGGGTCTAAAGTCTGTTATTTCAATGTTTGTTAGTAACAGTTAGTTTTGCGATTAGTTCTCTTTATTTGCCCCAAAGGGTTATTTATAGATATCTCAGCATAAAAAGACACGCGGCTGCAGCTTTTACGGGCTAAAATGGACTCTAATTTAGATCAGGATGTCATTTCGTGCAAGAATTCAAGATAACTCGCGCTATATATAAAAAATACTCTTTAATCAGTTTAGTTTGCATGTGCAAATGCTACAGACCCAAAAACATTGCAGGGCCTTGTAAATTTCAACTTCCTGTGAGCTTAACTGCGTTTTTTGTTCGCCATTTCCTTGCAAATTTACATAAAACCATAGAAGAAAAACAAATATGTTAAACCCCGAATCAAAACAGTTTTGTAAGTTACTAAGGAAGTCAATAAGTAATGAATGCTGCCCTATTTGAGTTCACATGCAGACAATCTTAATTACTCGATTGTAGCTGCATGCGAATCTGAACTTTACATTAATTCAATGCTTGAAAATCTTGTTATTATAAATGGTTTCGACCTTTTTTGGGGGGACTATTGTGATAGAGCATGCAGGTGTAACACTCAGTGTATACCTTTTTTCAAAGTAGACAAATAACATGTGGAATAGAAGTATAACCAGAAATGTTAAAAAATTGTTGCCATTTTAGAGCTGTTTCGCTATTTCGGTCGTGTACGCGGTTTCATGCATTCATGAGCTAACCATAAACTGACAGATATTGGATGGTAGACCGAATAAAATATCTCATGTTCATATATAAAGCCACTATTTCAGCGAGATGCTCTTAAAATTTAAACCTTTTTAATCATTAATTCAAAGTTCGCCCCTTTTGTAAAGCTATTTTTCATACGCGCGATGCAGATAGACATGGACGTCTAAACTTAGCAGCACTGTCTGCTTGTATGTATCTGGTTGCCGTCTATCATTCTCGAAGTCATGGCTTCTGCATTTGAGAAAATAGATTTCGCAACAAGTTTAATGGCGCTAACAATGCTTATTTTTGAAACGCTGATGATTGCTGCCCCATTCGGAACCAACCTGGTTGAGAAGTGAAAATGATAGAGGGCTGAGCAAAGCATTTAACGTCCAGCTTTAATGTCCAGAGCGAAGAGGTTAAGAATAAAGACGATATATATAAGCAATGGAAGCAACCAACTCCATAGTTCCAATACTTGAGAAACATTTTTATGCTATTTTTTTTATTATTTCGTTATTTTAAATAATAGTTTTTTAAAAAGTTTATATAAAATTTCATATAAAATTTAAAACTGACTGTACTATATTGTGGATAGTTTGCTATAAATTGTAAAACATCGTGGAAAATTCAAAGTCGATTGCGTTTATAATTATCGAAATTTGACGTCAAGGCAATGAGGTTATTTTAATCAACCAACCCTAAACAATCAAAAATTCATAATTTAATGAGAAATGATGACTATGATTGTGTATAGGTTTCATATTCAGTAGTATAGATATATATATTGTATTTCCAACATTCTAACACCTTATTTTACTGACAGAAGATATAAATGCCGGACAAAAATAAAAACCCTGTTACCATAGAGCTACCATTTCAGGGAGAAAACCTAAATCTTGATTAATTAAACGCTGTTCCTTTTGTAAACACGAACGTTTATATATATACGCATGATGTTGACATTCTCGACTCAGATTACATGGGCTTTTTGAATCGTGTGTTGCTGAATTAGCTAACACATGGCTTCCATACTCAAGAAAATAGACTGGGCGATTAATGCAATTCCGTTAGGAATGCTTATTTTTGGAGCCATGATGATTACCGCTCCATTCATAATCAAATATCATGGAAATCGGTTAAATCCAGAACCAGGTTGGTCGGGCTATGGAAAACTGGGCGAAACGTTGATGGATTTGTACTGTTCGACGGAACAGTTTTCCAGCTGGGACACATTTTGGCAAGGCATCGTGGTTTGTAGTTATGCATATATATAATTATACATCATGTCTAATCGCTCGGGTCTCTTTGAAAAGATTATGCGAAGTGGTTAAAACGACGAATTTGCATGCCATGAATATAATTTATATATAATATACTTTCTGGAGAGAGATTTGAATCGAAACAAAGGATTTCACTCTTCGTTCCGATTGCCAAGCAGGGATCTAACGATATATGAGGTTCGGGTACGAGTTCCACTCGTAACATGATGGTGTAGTAGTTGACCTAGACAATTGCATGTGTTTGTTTGATTTCATGAAGCTTGACTTATTTTAATATATCAAAAACATTTCATGCCTCGTTTGATCTCAGCCAAGCAGGTTCCAAAGTGGATTGTTACGAACCGTATATTTACCGGGAAAATCTATTTCGCGCATGCAGTTTTTCGTTTTCAATTCCAGCATTGAAATCTAACACAAGCGCCGTTTACGAATTTCTAAAGAACGTCCTGGGCCGATTCTTAACAACGCTGTAACCAAGGGCAACTACGCGTCTTGAAAAATTATGTTGTGTTCAATTGCTAAATTTTCAAAGTGTTCATCCCCTTTTTAATAGAGACAATGACAGGAAATAAGAAAAGATTTCTTTTTAGTTACGACATATTACTTATTTTATAGTGTATTAGTACTTTCAGTGCATTTTATATAAGCCAACCTTCGTTGAATGTTAATAATTTCACTATTATCATCGATCAAATACAAGAAAAAATATTTTGCATGTTATTTTGAATTCAGACCATTGATTTAAAAATTTGCCCTCCTGGGTAAAGTAGCCCCCTCGGCCACGACAAACAGAGAGGCCCCTTTGTGTAGAAACACTCGAAATTTCTTAGTGAAAGAGGCCCGGCTGTTGCATGTACATGTATCGTATTCATTCTAATATACCTCTGGCAAAGCATGTTATTCCCACATTTTGTTTACTCAAAGTGCATTGACGTTTATTCATTTCCTAGGTTGTGTTGACCAGTTTCTTTCTTTTCACCCCGGATACTTGTCCGTACTGGGTATGATTTTGATATTTCTCTGATTTTGGCGATGGATTCTGTTTCATTATGCATATTATTAGATCAGCAAAGTTTTTAAATGATTGAATTTTCATACAACGCAAAATACTGCACGAGATTATAAATTAAAGAGAAAGCCTTAGGGTCAGTTTACATGAAGCGAGTTATCTCGGCTAGGCAAGGTGAAAACTGCATATAATGAAAGACCAATCAGGTTAAGCCTTTGATGTGATGCACTTTTTACCTCGCCTGGCCGGGATAACTCGCTCTTTGTCAACAGGCCCTTAGTCTCTCATGTGAAGAAGGAATGCATCTATATTATGATACTTAATAACAAGTAAATTCGTAAGGACCAGGTACTCCGCGGTTTGGAAATGCCGAAAAGAGTTTAATTACGTGTATAAGAAAAGATAATATAAAATAGAAACAGTTAATCGACTAAAAATTGATACACATGCAGACATTACTTCATGTTGTAAGATTTCTAGTATCGTGTGTAAGGAAGTATTTAAACACTCGTTATTCTGGACATTTCGTCCCACCACCGTCTGGTGGCCAAATTTTAGATTATTCGAGAAATGTTCTAAGAATTTCCATTTTTTTCACTTTTGTTAAGATTATATATTTTGAGCGCAACAATTTTCCTTTCTTCCAATTCCAGAAAACATTTTGTTCCATATTTGTCTTTCTCTCGATGGTATCAGCGTTCACTATTGTGACTGAGCACGCAAACACGATGCAAAGAATTCGACATTACGACATTTGGACGTGCAGTTCAGACTCTTATCATTACCATCGACTGCGTTCGTGGTCCTACGTTCTAATTAGTTCCTCGTACATTGTCCTCTGTCTGTGCATTGTTCAACTTGTTGCCTCAGCCGTGAGATGGATCTTGGAATTGACATCGGTATGTTATTTGAACGGTGTTTGTCGATAAAACGGAAAGAGTATCGATCATTGAAAGCGCCGTTACACTATGCGACTTTTCCTTGCGACTTTTCCTTGCGACTTGCAATGCAATTATAATTTTGAGGGATGTTCAGTGGTTAAAACGAGGGTGTTCATTCGAAATGCTAAGAAAACGCAGTGAGAAAACGTTACCAGATCGCAGGAAATGTTCGTATTTGACAACTTCAGATGCCTCAGGAGTAGAATTGCAAGGAAAATTGCATAATTGCGGTGTTACATGAGCCCGGTTACCCGAGATTCAACCAAGCGTGAGATAAAGTGAAACTTTTTAAAACCAAACCAAACATACTGTTGCCGGCAGTAGCGTAGCCAGCCTGACGATTTGTTCCGCTATGCTAATATTTTAGTGCTCACTGATTGTGAAAAAAATAGATTTCTAAATACATTAATAATTATAATGACTCGAAATTTACATAGCGGTATTGGTTGACTACATTATTTCCATGATTATGTTATCTACTCATTTCAGTACCTCAAAGCCATTTCACGCTTCCTCTAACCTCGGGTTTCATTGCGTTTGTTTTTGCCTCTGTTCTCCCCCAAAACCTTCAACATTTAATTTATATTCGAACAGAAGTCTAGGATTTCAAAATCTTAAAATCGAGCAGGGGAACGCCTGCACCAAACAGTTTCGAGTCAACGAGGCACGTGTGCAAGTGTCCTTTGGGTAAAGAAAACCATTTTTTAAAAATATTTTTAGAGATTCGAACATTTAATCATCGCGAATAACGCCGGACAGACCGTACAGCAAAGCAATGATGCCGCACAAACCTCACAGCAAAGTAGTACGGCGCGTCCATCAAGTCCAGAACTGCCATCTTATATAGGCATGAGAGTCTTACAGCCAATCTCATATCAACATTCACTGGGCGGTGCTTGCCCCTACCATAGCCATCAACCACCACCCACCTGTCACCAATGCGACAGTGAAGCATGGTACTCGTCAAGAGGTTCGAGCAGACGATGTCACAAAATAATGCCATACTAGCGCGGGCTTTTCAGTAGCGTTTAGCAGATTAAATTAGCGTTTAGCAGACACTAGCCCAATATCTATATGTATACGTTATGATTTCTAAAAGATCAGTCGAATAGACCTTTTCAGATTGTATGCAAATAAACTCATTTCAAATCACATGGTCTGAAATGGTAAAGTTTTATTGGCTATTCCATGCATGATCACACAACATCTGAAATGGGTTAATCTGCATGCAAGCTGAAAAGGTCTGTAGGGTGTAAATATTAAATTTGTGATAAGATAAATCGTCTGATAAAACCAAGCAGAAAACTAGAACTTACAGTGAATCTGAGAATTTCGACGTTTCTAAATAATGGCAGGATATTTCTTAGAAAAACAAAACCGCAACATTACCCATGGATATGTCTAAAACATATACCGCAGTGTCCATCTGCAAAGCTGTCTATAGCAAACAGGGCGTGAAATCGTTTGTAAACTAGCCATTCTATCATTGCAATAAAAAGTTATTTAATGGTTCCGTGTCTGGATGGCCTAAATCAAATGCGCGGGAATATTGCGACAGCGCGAAAGAAAAGCGCGCGAATTAACACATGTTGTTTTATAAAATAACGGCAAGGAGCCGTGGGTGCTCTAAGTTTGATTTCAAAAAGCGAATTAAATTTTCGTGTTTGAATGGCCTCACCAAACACGAGCTTCGACCAATCAGAACACTTATTATTTTATAATACTAATTTCATACTCGAACGTGCCCACCAAGATACAATAAAAATCAAGCAACTATAAGCGAACACTGTTACAATATAGTTGTAAAAAATATTATATCCATCCTGTTAATATGTGTGAACTTTGTACCATCATAAATCTATTGTAAAACTACCGGATATACTTATCATTTAAACAAATTTAGGGAATTGTATGCGCAGGAATATGTAAATATTTTGCAATAATGACATTTATCCATGTTACACTTGCTCCAAATACACGAGTGTCATATCAACTTATCAACATATCAATCATACATTTATACATGCTTATAAAGTTATAACTACATCTGGATTAAAAGAAATAAGATGAAATATAAAGCATGCAGTCAAATATTTTTTGAAATGTGTGTATTTAGACATGCTAAGACAGCGCACAGCTTTACTAATTTTCCCTAAAAATCATCTGACTGTCACGCTTTAAACATATCATCAGTCTGTGAAAATTTGATCAATATTATATATATAAACTACGAAGATGCAAGTAAACACATAAAATTTTAGAAAGCTAAAGAAGCGATCTTAATCACTATAAATTAGCACGTTGTGCACATACAGTAAATGACTGTAAAAAGTCTAGAGTAGAGTAGTTACGTCGTAATCAACACAAAAATACAACTGATTCAGTGTGGCAAATTCTTTCATGCTCTAACCACAATTAAAAGTCAACTTTTCATAGAACAGGGCCTATGATTTTCGCGTCTGTTGCATGGAAGTCTAAGAAAATTTATATTATACTTTGTTAAAGCGGTAAGATCTCCCTCTCCCCATGCAATACGGACAGTAAGGCGAGTAAACTTAAGTCGGTGGAGACTCAGTATCTTGGTTGGCCTCGTCTTCTACCATGATACGTGCATCTTCCTCGTCGTTACACCGAGAAAATCCATAGTTGGTTGCGGAAGTGCGGCTGTTTGCTCTCGATAAAACAATGCCACTCTTTGAGCTTTTCGTCGAACGATTCGCCATCATGTCATTGTGACGTTCAGCAGTTTTATAGGATCGGCGTTTGCGACGTTTTCTCAAGTAGCACATTGAGGACAAACATAAAACATATACTACACCAATCGCGATAAGGATATATGGGCCAGCTCCCTTAAGGTGTTCGTGAGATGCGATCGATTCGGTGATTTTGGGTACATCAGCATACCAAAATAATGCAACGATTAGGAAACAAATTGAAAATAATATGGTCAGCACGACAAACGACCAAGTTATCTTGAAGCTAAACTTTCTGCATTCAACTGTCATGCACGGACAGTCGAGTGTACAACAGATAGCCGTAGTTGACTTTGAAGTTTCATGTCTATCGTTGGATGGTTTAAAGGACAGGACACTCGTTGTAGAGTTTCTACCAAGGCTGTCGGTTTGCGTGGACGATCCACTCTCGAACTTTTCAATCAGCCCGACTAGATCTCGTCGTTTGGGATTTAAATTTTTCAGCATCTTTTTAAGTTCGTCGAGTTTGTGTTCACTTATTATGCCTCTTTTTAAAAGATTTTCAAACAAAACCATTCCATTTGTAATATTTGCGCGCAGTGCTTCAGGAATGTTACACATATGCACTAAACTATTAACTTCGAGAACACTTAGATTAATACTGATCTTGTTCAACAATATTCGAAAAGCGTCCGCCATTGCCAGAACTTGAATTATATTTAATTCGATTTTGATCTTTCGAGGCAGAACGAAATCGTTTAGTCATTGACGAAGACAGGAAGACGATAATAAATTGCTCGGTATACGTAAGGGTAATCCCAGTCGACTGACCACTATATAGAAATAAACAATAGGACTACTCAAAAATTTTTATGTGACACATATCGTATTACGCATGGCATGCTAATTCAATTGCATATTCCAGCCAATCAGAACTTCGAGCTCAGTGGCTAACTATGCTGTTGAATTGACCCCATCGCTTTCGATCGAACCGTTCGAATCTATCATATTGTAAAACTTGCAACTGACTTAAACTCGCAGCTATAACAAAGGACACTCGATCAAAAATCAGAATTCTGACCCATTTTATGTGATTCCTCGAATTCACGTGAATTCCTCGTGATCTCATTATGAAGTAGCCTCTATGAGTAGCCTCCTCCGCAGGCAACTCTGTGCATAGTAAATATAAAGTATAATAATTAAGACAATTAATTAAGGCTTGAGACTGTTGTGAGAGTTTTGTTGACAAATAAACGCACGTGCTGACCATACAATGAACGATAAATTTCAATATTGCAACAAGAAACCACGTGATTGATTTTGACCAATCGCGTGAATAGATTTAGGCCAATGCACGAAGATTGTATATTAAATTGTAATAAATCACAATGGCACAGGCGACCTATGCATAAAATTATTACACAGAATAAAATTATCATAAATTTGTGAGTAGTGAGTAGACAATTTATCATTTTTGTATAGATGATATTTCTAGTTGAGAGCGAAGTGTTTTTTTTGCCTGTTGGTACGCCGGTTTTTACAGTTAGATGATGCAGATTACTTAAATGGGGTAAATTCGTTATTTAAAGCTGAAGTCGTTAATTGAGAAATGCACCTTTCTGGCAAAATAAAAAGTATAAAGTTATTTTGAGATCAATGGTTTAATAAATATTCAGTGTCTTATAAGATCAGTCACCTGAAGATCAGTGGAAAAAAACCACGAAAAAACCAGAAAAAACACGAAATTCACGTGCCACAAGGTTTGCGATTAGAAACATAAAAAAACACGTACAAATGACAAAATTATTGAGAATATGAAAAGTAATTTTAATACTATATATTTTTGAAAATTCTAATTAGTGCACTTTGTACTTCTATAAATCTATAATACCAGCTATATATATTATATATCAACTATAATTATATGTACAACCTATACTCCCAAATTGAGAAAGTTAAAATACCGAGATACCAGTATTTTTAATACTATAACTACATATAGAATAAAAGAGATACAATGAAATATGTAACAGTACAGGGATTTTCTTGAATTATGTCCAAGGTTGGTCGAACCGAGTCTAAGAGGGGGCTTCCAGGCACACCAAAACTTGGGGCAGGGGGGGGCAGCTGCCAGCAGGGGCAAGGGGGGAAATACACCTTTTTATTTGAAAGGTTGCACTTGGTTGCACTGCATGCCGTTAATTAATCTGCTTTAGACAATGAAGCCAACGAAAACACAAGAAGAATTTCAACTGCCGATGTTTTACAAAAACTCTAGTGTGCTACTCCTTGCCTTCGGTCCCGCGTGCCTGGAGACTTTCCGCGTTCACAAACACTAATCGAGTATAAATATAAACTGACCATTCCAACATCTTCTCCAACCCGAGCATATGTAACGAATCACCTGAATTTTTTTCATAAAATATCTAAAATAATTGAAATAATCAATTTTTTAAAGCATCTTGAGTAGTTTTACTATTCATGATGTCCAGCTTCGCTTTCTTTCCAACCGGTTGCCCCAAAGTGTCTTCGTTCGATTTGTCTGTATTTTCAAATGAAGAACTTTTCTTCCCCCCCAATTCCGGCGCAGTTTTACTGCCGGTTTGCCCTTCAATAAGTGCTTCTTTACCGTTGGCACTTTGTGAAGTCAAAAACTTGTTTTGTTCTCCGAAATTCAGCTGCTTTCTTCCCGCCACGTCGTCCACAGACGTTTTTATTTCAAGGCCAGTTGGCCTGTCCGATCTATTGTCGATCCTATCCGAAAGGAATAAGCACAGGTCACCAACCTTTAGCAGTTGGCATGACAACCCATACTGCGCCAAAGTTACATCAGGCTTGCAGGAAGCCCAGCCTTGGTCGTAGACATAAAACGGATGATCTGATGGCTTTTCTACCAAAACCTGTTTTTAGATTGAAATGAAATATTTTCAAATTTAAACATTGTAAATTTAATACAATTACAATTACCGGCTATGGTATTACAAAAAAGTGACGCCATTTTGTTTTTGAAAAAAGGATTCTTTTTGCATGATTTAATTGATGAGGATTTGCTATGATTTTTTCAGTGCCAATCAATGCCTGAGGCAGTGCCAAAAGATGGACCAAAAAATGAGATTTCAAACCCTGATTGTACACACTTACCTCCTTCTCATAACTTTCTACAGCAAAACCAATAAGAGTAATTGGGCTATTTGGTACATCCTGAATTTTAGCAATCTTACAGGTTTCCAAACTAAGCTGTTTTGACACTTTAGCACTTTCGATAAAGTCTGCGGTTTTAAGGTCTTCAATGGGTTTCAATCCACCAGTAGGGAGCATGATAAGCGAACCCTTTGTGAAGGGTGGAAAATAATATGACTTAGGGAAACTTGTTTTCTGCTCAGGTAATGCTTGGTACATGAATCCAGTTTGAAACATTCCCGGCATGTTTCCAGGTACTTGCATGGGCTGCTGAACCAACATTGGTGGAATAATTGATCCGGGGAATGCAGAGCCACCATTTGCAAAACCAGATGTAGAAAACATGGGCTGTTGTAGGTTAGCATAGCTTTGCAAATAGTCTTTAGCCATTTCTTGGTTAAAACTTGGATGGCTAATCATTTGCTGCTGTTGCAACTGACCGTCGTTTACAGGTTTTCTACCATCTGCAGATTTGGAGAATTGAGTTGGCCCCTTTGTAGGTAGACCTGTATTAAATTTGAATGCTTTTAAAAAACCTTGATTTACTTTTTCCCTGCCAGAAGCTTTAAATGGTATTTTCAAAAATGAGATGTCCAATTATCAAAGCCAAGTATGTTTATTCCATGTTGGGTTCAAACCAACAGTGAAAGCATACTTTGGCATATATTTTAAAAATGTATATTTTGATGTAATGCTTAAATACAGCAATGCTAAATTGATTAAAGATTCATTGAAAACTAAATTTAGCCATAAAACACTGACCTATATATCTATCCTAATGAACTGTGTCTTCTATGTCATATTAAACAACTTTCTCATATTACTATAAACAGTCTAGGGGTCCTAAACCTTGAAGACTTTTGATCTCTACTATCAAAAATATCAATTTTATTATTAAATATTTGAAAATTTAGGTGAATGAAAAATAAATAATAATTGATAGTATATGAGATGCCAACCAGATTTTGGGCAACATTAAGAATATCAAAATAATTCGTAAGTATATATAGCCAAGTATAAAAATTAATCTAATGGTGCCAAAATAGCTAATTTAGTAAATATTTGTTTTATAAAGATATTTGATGTTTAGATTTTCAAAACATAAGGTATGGAGTCATGGGATCCAAGATACCTACTCCCACTGAATTTTGCTAAGCCAAGGGTAGAAAGAACCATAGAAATTGTGCAAATTGAAATTTAAACTTGTATGACATTAATTAATAATTATAATAACTTGTAGGTACACCACGTAAGTATTAAATACTGCAAAGCTTATAATAATTATAATAATAAGTTATATTAGTTTTTATTAAGTTATTATAATTACTAAAGTCGCCATGCAATCATACAAGAAAATTATTGTATGACATTCTTGGCCATACTAGAAAGTGATAATTTCCTTCAACCACAAGTGAATAAATCCCTGAATTTTATAAATGATTATAATGCACACAAACGTAGAGCACGGCCACCACTTACCTGCCAAATATCTGGTGCGCCATTTACTAGTTATTAGCAATGTATTGTGACAGCTTCTTTAGCGCTATCATATATCTGGATTATTTAACCGAATATGAGATGAAGTTTCAAATTTCAGCTAATTCCTTTCGGATTTTCCCCGAAATACACGCGATAGACGTACTTGAAGTATTGAATCACAATATATTTTTAAAAATCGACTATTAAACCCCATTCAGCAACAAAAGTAAGCGCTGATTTAAAGGAAAGAGCGGCAAAATATAGAGGTATTCCTGTTAGGCAGCGATGGAACTCGCACAAGGCCATATTTACACTAATACAATCTCATACCTGCGATAGTACGCTCTTGAACACGTTTTGCCTCGCTGCTTTCGGCGTGAACCGAACTTGTATCGCATTCAGTGAGATTCATGCTCTCTTTATTCCCCATTTCTTTCAACAAATTGCTCGCCATGATGTTACATTAACGCTAGATTAAAATAGCCACATTCCCAGCGATATTCAAGGGCAACATAACTGTATGAACGAAGCTCGAACCGTGGTGTATCCAGTTAAGTGGTATATCATTATAGCGAAATATGGAGAAAGATTCCGCTGATCTATATACTGACTGTGTTTTATGCTCCAGTATTTATATAGACGTCAGGGAAAAAACGAAGCAATTTCTGGAAAAACACAACCGAAACGGCGAGTCGACGACATCTGGTGTCATGTTATCAATTACAACACCAATATGGTGATACGAGATGTTCATAGATCTAAAGATTCTATTGTAAGCGTTTCCAGTTTTTTACAAAAAAAAGCGTAATTTCAAAGATGCGGCATCTTCAAAATTCAAAAGTCCGAACAAATGGCTTCGACTGTCTAGACACGCTGGCGCCAACGTGGACGATGGCTTCAAAAAAATGTAACAAAAGAGCATAATTATAATAGCTTGTTGTTTAAAGCGTTGTTACATTTTCTACGCTTGACATAATTCCCTCTTGTGGCAAACTATTAGACTTAAAAAATCTACCGAATTTATCTCATTTTAATATGTTCGCAAGCCCATAATAATTTGGCCGAATTCAGGGGCGTAACTAGAACGATAATTGGGGGGTGGGTGAATATTCATATATTCAGTTCTGCCCGACGGATTTCTATTGTAAGCTATTGTAATTACAAAAGAAATCCGTAGGGCAGAACTGGATATATGAATATTCACCCCCCCCAATTATCCTTCTAGTTACGCCACTGGCCGAATTACCTTTTTTGGTCTTTTCTAAATTAGTTTTATTATTTTAGTTTTACTTTGTCCCTACTCCCTACTTATTATTTACTGGATTTAAACTTAATTTAGCCCATTCAGTATAACAAAAAAAGCATCTTTTACCACAAACCATCAGAAAAATCAATTAATTTTAGTCATCCGAGGTAAATCTGAAACAGAAACTCAAAGCTAAGCAAAACCCCAAATATTAATTTCCGTTTGCGTTTTTACAAATATCGAAAATTCTGAGTAAATTTTGCAATCATAGAGGCAAAAAGGAAGGGAAGAGTTTTATGCTCTTAGAGCTTCCAAAAAATTTACGCCAAAATAAATTGCGGGATTTAGCTTTACGGATTAGATTAAACATGATATTTTGATAGCTGAATTTAATGGTCAAAAACATTTAAAATTTCATTTTCCAATAAGATTATATATTGCAATTACTATGTACTTTATATATATTTTGTATATTTGTATCAGCTAATATAATATTACATTCGAAAAAATCGCCAAAAAGCAAGAGATATCGTTGTTAATGATAGAACACTACCTGTAATTAAATGAAGAAGAAAATATAAAAAAGGAAATATTGGAATATCAGATACGCCATAGGCTAGGCATGGTCGTGGTTTATGATCATTTAACAGTCAGCAAAGAACATGGAAAGAATAAATGGTTTTGTGGTTAGACTGATAATGATAGACTGTACGTAATGTAAGTTTATGTAAGTTTTATGCCAAGAACCAATCCTTGCTTTTTATGTTATGAACACATCACTTACCAACAAGGTATTTTAAAAGATCTAATTTCTGAGCTTCTAATTTTGTCTCCACTCTAGCGACCTAAAGAAGTTTGACTTTTGAAACCAATAAAGTAGATCATCCAGAAATTACAGATTTATTGTCATGGAAAAGTATTCAATCAGTTATATCCATATAAACAAAGAGGGATGCTAGCTAATAGTCATGATGATCATCTTACTTCAGTATCGATGCGATTGTTATTGTCTTTGATTTTCTGATCCCGAAATTGGAACTAAAGAAGATGACGGTAAGTTTATAATTTGATTTGAAAAGGATTTAGATGAAATTTTTTTTAAAGATCAAGTACATTATCAAATCAAAATTTTACAGGATGAAAAGGTTTGGCAAAGAGCTGAAATGGAATTTACCTCCTCTTTTACTCGGCTTCTCTCCAAGCTAGTATCCAAAGCTTGACTTGACTTTAACTTCACTACCTCTTCCTGGAGTTATCATAGTTTACCTTATTCCAATTGTGCTTGGATCATTAAACAAAATATACAATGATGTATTATACCTGTAGTAGCAGTTTAAGGGATGCCACTTCACTTTTCAACTTCTTTATTGAAAGAAAGACAACATTACGTGGTATTTTATAGTAATTTTTATAAATATATTTAAACGTCATAAGAGAAAGTACATACAACATACCCCACACTCATCTTTCATTCGAACAAATTCCGTTTTCTCTAAGATAATCATATCATTCCTAATGCGGAAAAATGTACACATATGTAAGAATCCAATGACGTTATGTATAATGGTAATTTTCAGTGGCAAATTCATTTTAGTTACACTTGCAGTTTAGGTGGTTTTGAATAATCTATAATCGTTCAATAAATCCTATAATTTAACTGATTCTTTTTAAAAACAGAAACAATAAAAAAATTTAAAATTTTACTATTCATAGTACCTTACTTTTTCTATTAATGATTTCAATCTCACTTCAAGTTGTTCCTATGTAAACAGTAAATAATTACATATGTAAAGATATAAATTTGACTTGAATTGCATTTATGCATGGGAAAATATTTTGTGATTGTGAGTTCATGCATTGTCAACCTAGCCATCAGCAGTCCACTACCGTAACATTCCTTATGACACAATAAAAGGCAGAAGTGCAGAACAGCTACCATGTGACATGAGCACTTTTACAGACCTGTTCAACTCTTGAGACAGAATCACCCTTGACATTCCCGACAGCCGAGTGAACAACATCGTTGATTGCAGACGTTATAACTTCTGATTGCTCCAATGAGAATCCTTAACAGTGAAACAAAGGTTCGACATCTAATACATATGAAGAAACTTTATTGTTTATCTATAATACCAGCTATAAATAGCTGAAAAAATTTGACAGCTTAATGACTTGTTACACTCAAGTATTTGAAATAAAGTACTATTGTATTAATAAGATCCATTATACTTACACTACTAAAATGAGATCAATCTGAATGTAATACGTAAAAAATGAGCTGCATGAACAACCTACCACATTTTTGAATGTCAGTGACCATGAGATGCGTATCAAAGTAGATGGAATTCTTGTTTTGATTAACATATTTGGATAGACCTCTTTTGATTAGAACATTTCCACAGACAAATCCAGACGCTGTATGGATTGTACAATATTAAAATAGATATCACAAGTAGTTTTAACCAAGGCTTGTTAATTTTTTATACTGTAGTCTTGATTGCATGATTTCAAAGCAAATGACTCAAGTACAGGCACCTTAAAGGTTTTGGGCTTTTAAAAGAACCATTTTTGCCTTAATGTAAATTGGGTGTTTTCATTTTATTCCTACAAAGTAAGAAGTCTGTTGCAAGCACTAGGCAGGTGAAATTGAATATTGTTGTTGCTTGCAAGAGACCGAATGGTTTTATAACATTACATTTGCAGTTTGTACATTACATAATTTTATACAGTTAGTATTACCACTAGTATATTTAGTACAAAGTAACTATGAATCTGAACAGAATATATTGAAATATAGTCTTACCGACATTATATTGGCTCATTTGGTTGGGCCAAAGGGAGCTCCGCGAAAAGTGCCCTTGACATGACAGTTTATCAATACTGTTTCTCATAACAGAACTACATAATGAATCTGCATATTGCCTGTTCAATGCATGCAATCTTCGTGTTAAAGTACGATCAGTTTGCCATTTTAAATAGGAAAAACAACAGGAAAATTTCATTATTTTCAAAAAAAGATGGCCTTATTTTGAAACTTTGATCGAGCAAAGGTCAAGAACGAGCCTGCAATGGCGATTACAAAAAATAGTCACAGGTACTTCATGTGATCGCAATGAACTATATATATAGAAATGATATAACTATATAGCATTCACCAATTTTTTGTAATATTAGGTTTCTTCAAGTTTTCCTTCAAACTTTTCAAATTCCTTCTTGTTGATTTCATCAACTTCATCTTCAACCTAAATATTTGAAATGGAAAGAATAATCAGCCTGCAGATGGTGCAGCACAATACCAAACACTAACAACTCAGCGACCCAGTTTTGAAGTCACAGCAAAGATAAAGGAAGTTGCATATAATCATACAAACCTGTTCAACCGAGTTGACTTCAGGAACGTAAAACTGTAGCATGTTTTCTATTCCATTCTTTAGAGTGACAATTGAACTTGGGCATGTGGAACAAGCTCCCTGCGATTTGAAACAATGCATAATTTTTACTAACAGTCAAGAACACAAAATTTCTTTTTAGGATGTGCACACATTAACATCCCTAATAATGAAATTTTGAATTCTTGGAACAACAAATTATCATCTGGTCTTATTGCCTCCCCCTAAACTTCACACCTTGGCTACACTACATAATTTCATAATTCATATGATGGGATGGATAGGAATGATAGATAGAGCTAGTATTATACCTAAGATGATTGAATCGTAATTAAAACATATATTCACATGTGCATTGACATAGAGACCTTACTTGCATTTTAAGCTTCACAACTCCATTATCAAATCCCTAAAACCAACAATATATTGTAAGAGATTAATTACTTTATACACGAAACATATCCACTGTTCATACCTTAAATATTATGTCTCCACCATCTTCTTGAACTGTGGGCCTGCAGAAGGCATAATATGATGTTTACTGGTACTTTAATTTGCCTGCTTATTGGGTCTCAAACTTGTTTGCAGTCACTTTCTGCAAATAGCATCAATGGGATTACGTATTTGTTCAACTTATACCTTATCCTTGTATCAATAAGCTCCTTAATCATAGCTACTGTTTCATCATCATCATCCAAGACCTCTAAAAATATGATAATCAGTGAATTTTTCTGGTGAACAAATTTCCTAGAAATCCTTGTACATACTGTACAAATGTGGTTGCTTTCACATACACTTTTTCATATAATTAACATCTATAACATTGCATACTGTAAATACCTGTATCAGACCGTGGTTGTTCATCTGTAAAGATTGGCATATTGCTGGCAAAGAAATCCATAACTGTAGCAAATATATTAGGTTTTATTTGAGCCCAATCCACATCATCTTCACTCGACTAAAGAAAATGAAAAATAGCTGGAACTGCTGGACTATTGTATAGTTCCGAAGATTCATTTTTAGGTCAGGTCTAAATAACTACAGTTGCAATGATCATAATTATATATAAGGTGCAACTCTTCTGTGTGACTTAAATACCTTGGTTATTGTGATAAAATCAGTACCAAACATTATGCCTGTTACTCCCTCGATGGTAAAAAGCTGTCTAAATATTGGAGCAAAAAAGGAAATTAAATTTGGAATTTAACCTTTTAGCCACAAATGACCACTGTGACCATCCATTGCATCCACCCATAGGCTATACAAGTTTGTTAGTAACAAAATGCATATGTATTTAAAGCTAATGGTTTTTAAATCTGAACAATTTCAACCCATCATTAGTACCTGGCTAAAGGTGATCTAACTGCTGATTGTGGATTTTCAAAATTGACGGTCCCAGACTCAGTTATTTGAACACCAGGAACGAATTTCAGGCTGTTGGGGTTTGGTGTTTCTTGTACCTGAATGAACATCCCACGGACTGTGGGAATAGAAACTTACAACAATGTACCCAACTCAAGAATGATCTTAGAACATATTCAAGAGGCAAGAATAACTAGTTGAGGGCAAATCTGGCAGCAAGTGGCTGTGGGAAAGTTTAGTACTAAACTCTGTGCTTAAAATTTGCACATACTGACATAATAATATACATATTGATCTTTTGCAAGGTTTTTTAAATAAACATAATATAACGACATACAATAAACTTGTTTTCGTATGTTTTTATACCTGTCAGCACCTGAAATGGAAAACCGGGCCTTTGTCTCAACAAAACACCACGCATTGGAAACATAATACGTTGAGCCGCGAAACAACTTGCATTTCGTCTGAATGGTCTTGGGCAGCTCCATTTGAACCTTGTATTTCTAGCGAAATTGCAGCACCGCGATATAGTCGATCTGGCCGCCATATTTTTTACTTGAAAGGTGAAAAACCCCGGGTCTCCGGCCTTTATCGGGTTTCCTGAATTTTCGTATTTGATATCCTTGAAAATCGGATTTCAGAATGATGCGAAAATCGGATTTCAGAATGATGCGAAAATCGGATTTCAAACCGTGTGAAAAGGTAAAAACATGTAACTATGCTTTAACTATATCTTTTTAAAAGTTTTATAAAAAAATATATCGGACAAAAAAGACCTTTTAATTTTACAATAATCCAAATGAACCAGCACCAGATGAGAAGGAAATTCAAGGAATCTCAGAATTTGTGCAGGAATTATCCCCGGTGAAATAACTCGTATAGGGATTTGTTTTTCTTTTCAACATGGCGGCCGCGTGGCTATAACTTTTTCGAGTTATATTTTATTAAAATTTGCTTTCTTCCATTATTTCAAAGCAAGAAAGCACGATGAAAGTAGTAGTCTCGTCAAGAGCTTATTCTAAAATACTTTTACATGCTAGTAAATACCCTCACAGGGCCATTTGTGGCGTGTTAATAGCGCATGAAAATTGTGATATAAATAAAATTGATGTATTGGACGCTGTTCCGTTGTTTCACCTTAGTCTGGGCTTGGCACCCATGATGGAAGTTGCACTAATACAGGTTTGCTGACCTTCTTTGGAACAGCATTGATGTACCATTGCTCAAACGATGTGCAGACGCAATGTTAAAAAGCAATAGATTATGCATAATTTGTAGCTGTAGCTATTGTATTCATTTATTTTATCCGTGCTTATGAAAACGTCTGTGGACAAGGATGCGATTCTTTGTCAATCCCGGAAAGGATCTGCATTAAATCTTTTTAATCACTGTTTAGGTTGACGCATATTGTAAAAGCAATAAACTGCAAGTTGTTGGTTATTATCAGGCTAACCAATCACTTGACAATAACAGGTATAGCAAAATAAATTCTGTCATGAGTCTCATGACCATACAACTGATGTGGTTATTCGTACAATGAATGATTATTCAGTAATATATCTAAGACTAGATGGAAGTACAGTAGAAATCATACTTGTTATTCTTACTTTCTAATTTATCACTACCCGATCTTACCAATTGCTTGTGTCTCATGTAAGATATTTCTGTTAACTTTTAGTCCTGATGTATATGCATACAAAATAGCAGAAAAATTACAGGAAAACTTTAGCTCAGCATTTATTTTAATGGTAAGTGGTTACCTGCCTGCACAGCTGGAAAATGTTGAGAAATTTAAAATAGAAGAAATACACACTTGAAGAAACTTGCATTGCAATTTGCACAACCAACATTGATTAAACATTACAGGTTGATAACAAGAAGATGGGTTTTGAATGTGAGGTGCAAGCTTGCAAGGTTTGTAATAATGTTGCGGGGATCTAGCTGGGTACCTACTGGTTATATATATATATTTGGTTGTTAATTCTTATGTATTTAATATTATACATTTCAAGTTATATCACCTTCAAGAGAATAAATGGAAATACAATGAAAAAGATCTGTAAGTTGCTACAATGTGAAGACCAATTTAATATACTCAGATAAGGCCCAACGAGGCTAGGCGAGGCGTAGCGAATACTATACCTATAGTAACCTAACTAGTTATGCCCGCTGCGGATCGGTAGGGATGGAGACGGCAGCACGGCGAAGCGAACGAGCTCGGCGAAGCGAACGAGGTTGGCGATGCGTAGTCTTTACTGTCATTTTCAATCATGCGTACGTCCATCAGATATGGAACCTAAACGGTACCCTCTCCATCCCGTGATCACACTGTCACACGGAATCACAGAAGTGAAAGCCGTGGAAGGAAAACAAGAACACACACGATGCACACATAGTAATAATACGATACATACCGTAGGAATCTTTGCAAACCAACTGAACCTAGAGAAACTAAACTAAAACAATAAATGGAAACCATCCCCCCAAGGGTGGAATGTCAGGGGAGGAAGGCGGGGCGAACGAAGCGATAATAAGCAAATAAACAACAAGGCAAGCCATATAAATACTAAGGCCCGGGGAAATACCCCCGTGTCAAACACCCGACTATGAACCCATGCGAGGGCCAACTCTTCGATATTAACTTCTTTTATTATACTAATAAATACATTTAACAATGACAAAAACTATCAAATTCTTTAAATATTCTGTGTTGCCAATTTGCCTGATTAGTCTGTAATTTGACTTTTATGTAGTTGTCTAGCTGATGATGAAACTCTGAACATTGTCTCACAGTTGATGATTGGGAAAGCCTACCCTAGCCTAGTGGATTTTGATAATCATTTAGATGACCTTAGCTTGGACTGGTTAAATCCTGAAATAAATAAAGTTGTTGATAATGCAACAGTTCAAATTCAAGAATGAAATAATGAAAAAAAGAATCTAAATTCTGTTGCAATCTAAATATACACCATATCCCAAATTGACATCACCTTCATTGATTCATAATAAATTATTTACTAAATAGTATGTAATATGTGCATGAACCAGTGATATCCAGATACTGAAGTATATATTTGATAAAAAGTTACATTGAGATTTAGAGAATACTTGCTATCTGTAATATTTAAAAAACTAATAACATATCAAATGTATTTTACCCATTAAAAATAATAACACATATATTTTATCCATACAGACATAAATTTTACCCATTTTATACATTAGTGACTCTTTGGATTTTCTCAACTAAGCTTATTCATAGATCATATTAACTTTTAAATTACTTTTTACTTACTCAATTTGCATACTTTGTAAAAAAAATCCTCTATTTCTCTGTATTTCCTCCTAAATAAGTAATAATATTTTGTGAGTTTATTGTTATAAATATAAGTTATAATTTGAATGGTGAGCAGGAAGCTGAGCTCAAGCACTTGTAAATCAAATTCCCAATTTACTTCATAGGGTATAAAACAATGGAAAGATCAATTTCCAAAGGTGTTGGGGTTGATCATTGCCGTTTAAAATTGATGAAAGATTTTTCAACTAAAGCTAACTTACTGTAAGGCCTTTTCACCTAGAAAATTTACTTATTTACCTCCCCAAAATTTCAGCAATTCTTCTTTTGTTTGAGCTTCCTGGAAAAATATATGAATGTAAATCTGCACGTTATTCAAATAACCTAACAATTTGCAATGCAACCATTATCACATTACATGCTGAAACCAACCTTCAAAACAACAAAATTCACTTCGTCATTTTGCAATTTTCGGTAACCTGAAGTTATAAAAAAGTGAAACCTCACAAATCGTTTTAAAAGTAAAAAATGGCGGGGCCGACATTTTTTTAATACAAACTTCTAAATTCTAACTGTAGCTTCATAATAAAAATCCTTTGAAGTTTGAAGGCCCCACGGTATCGAAAATCGATATTTGTTGTGTTTTCACTTCGTTTCTCCCCGCGCAAAGTTATTAATATGGTTTTAAGACGTAGAAATTCACAGTGGAGAAGCCATTTGCAATTTGTATTTTGTAAACATCAATTTTTCCCGCCCTTTTTATGTCAAGCTTTTAAATGCTTTAGTTCTCACTACTGCCGCAAAAACAGAATAGAGCTTTAAACCGTAATGAAGCAGGGAGAATTCATAAACGTACCAAAAACAGAAGGAGCGAATCGACTGCAATGTTTGCTTGCAAGTGACAGCGAATTTGAACCACAATCGAACAAAATAATGTAATCTCCTCTTTCGACCTGGAAATAGAAAGTGTAAATTCGTTTTCGCATAAAATAGTATACACAAATCAATTTACAGCTTCAAACCTCCGGTAAAAGCTCGTCATACTTCAACACATCACCCGAAAAACACAAAGGACCAGCAATGTTGTAACGTTTTTTCTGAAATAAACAATTAATATGTTACACAAAGTCAAAAAAATTTAATTCGTTTGGATTATTCTAATACCCTAAAAGAAGTTTTGCAAAAATTTCAAACTAGGGTCTGTACGTCAAAAGCAAGTTGGGTTAAAAATTGTATATCTATATTTAATATATTAATTTCTTTTCCGCAACAAACTCTTTAACTTCACATGCATTGAATTATTTTAAAGTTAAAACATTTAGCAAATTCATTTTGCCCAACCTCTCCATTCTTTGGTCGGCCATCTTTATCAAAGACTTTAACTCTTCGCTAAAATGCAAGACATCACAAAACAATGGTTAAACCATGCCTTTAATTCAGGGGCCTAGCTATTTTCACTTGTGGAAACCAGAACTAAATTGCTAAGTGATTATCTCAACTTACTTGGTACTTCTTCTGCTTGGGAACGTAGCAACTTCGCATACACAAATCCTGGAATGCAAGAGCACTTTGTAAGTGATGCAAAATGTGCAAATGATGTGAAATGTGCAAACTGTGCCAGAAACTACCTCAAGCAAACTGCATGAGCATCACTGTGGAGTCATTTTAACTTACAGCTCCAACATGGGTTGAAACAATATTAAGTTCGTCATCTCCAGATTTTTTCACATACTCAACTCTGCTTGCCAACCATCCTGCCTGGAAATTAAAAAAACAAGTAAATATGCATGCATTGCGGAGGTTTCAAAATGCAGAGTGGAACACGGGTAATTTTTGTTGAAATTATAATTAGAACAAATATATGTATTGAAAACATCGCACATAAGCATAAATTTGCAACTGACCCTTTACGTTCTAAACAATTAAGTAATTAAACAAATTGTTACCTTTGCATGTAAAGATACCCCGAATTCCGTAATGACCTTTTTGAAAGTTCCATATTCCGGAAATAATTCTGGTATGATTTCCTTCATAAAAGAAACATTTCTATAGTTCCTTTTCGTAACCATTTGGCAATCATGTCGCAATATTTACACCTTTTGCGTTATGAAGCATTTAAATTGTTAAATCAAAATTAATTTACTCTCAAATTTTGGGCATATTCGTAAAATGTAGGCTTGACGGTATCATCATCTCGATTTACCTATAAAGTTAAAGACAAGATAAGGGATTCAAAGACAAAATCAACCTGCTTTCATTGAGACTTAAAAACTTCAGGTCAAAATTCAAATCAAACTGCTTTATTGTCGATTTCATATTACCTTTCAGCGCGTAAACCGGAAGTTCATTGCGAACCTGACAATTACGTTTCCAACTTCGGAAGCAAAGAGCGCAAACACAAGCAAATAACAAAGAGCGAAATCCTGCGTTGTTTTCGCGAGGGATTGAATTCACCCACCAATGAAGTTTTGTATATATTTATCGTTTTTCTGATAATACAATGGCGATCTATATAACTCACTGGATATCCTCCACCAATGTCGAAGACGCATATTTGATTTTGACCAATTTTTTTATTGATATCCTACATAAACATGTAGCAAAAATGATAAGCCTACAAATCTAAGATATGCTAATCTATATTCCAATACAATGGTAATCCTCATCTCGTACTTCTTATTCCGGAAGAAATAATACACTTACCAGAGCAAGTACAACAGCTTTTCTCAATCCTGTTGCTAATTCTTTTCCATTATATGACTAATTTGAAACAAGTAGGAACTAATTAACAAATGCTTGTATTGAATAAAGCACATAGCAACGAAAATGGAACATAACTACCTAATTACAGTTATAGAGATTAAGACTTTCTTCCACTGTTAGTTTTATTTAATAGTCTCAAACTTTAAAAGAAATATGATTTTACATGAATATAAAACCCAAATAACACGACGTTGGTAAAACGAGAACGTTGTTTTCAATGTTTTAGGTTAGAAGTAGAAGATATTTTTAAAAAACATCTTAATTAAAGTGAGGTGATGTTATAACCTGTGATCCAATGTGAACATGTAGAGCAGTCAACCAAGAATGTTGCATAAAATATTTTGTAATTTCTTTCTTAAATTCCTCGGTCATCTGGGAAAGTTGATAAAAGCATATATTAGATGAAACGTGACATAAATAGCCCGTTTGGTGTTTGCCAGTGATTGCTCAAATGTATTGCATCAGCTTAGAGATCTATATACACGACTACATTCTAAAAAACAAGAGAAATCGCCACTGGATATCAATCACATTGTTATCTTTTTACCACGTCCACGGTAACAAACGCCAGAATTGAAATAAACTAGGGTTATAGTCATCTGCAAGCTTATATGCATGACGGTTAAAATCTTGAATTGTTTGAGATTTTATAGTTAGTGTGTGACTAAACGATGAAAAGAAGTTATAGTACTTACTGGGACACCGAATTTCGAACTTTCTGATGAGCAGCTATAAAAAACAATTTAGATTTAAAATCTAAGATTTTAAGTTTCCCATACTAGCATGTATACACGCAATAGAATAAATCTGAAATGACAAGCTATCAAGCTATTATAACAACAAAAACACACGAAAACCTTAGTTCCTTTACACCGCCATCAGCATTGCCAATGAGGGGATTGACACGTAAACCGATTGTTGGTGGAGTTTTACTACAAAAAAATCATTTACGACTTCATATTACATAAGGAGTTACAAACATTTGCAATACTATTTTGTTTACTTTGCTGAAAACAAGCAATGAAAATATACGGTATTCACTGATAAGGTATTTGCATGAGTAGTGTAGATCATTGGTGTAGATATATCGATCACGTGAATATTTCCCACCAAAACCATCGTATCGAAAACTCATGAAAGATGGCGTGTTTTGCAAAGCGAATGAAGGCGTTTTAAAATCAGTTTCTGCAACCTTGATTGAAACAATAATAATGTGCTGTGAGTGTTATTTTTTCAGTTGTCAGTTTTTTAATTGTTGAATATAACTTGTAAGGTTTTATGAGTTGTTTTCCACCAACTGAAGGTAAAATTCATATTTTTATGCCATTGTAAAGTATTTTCTAAAATACTATACATGGTCTAAACAGAACTGAATATGTGCACTGAAAAGTCTTCACACACGTCATTATATTTACATTGAAATAAATAAAAAAATATTCCCAGATATAGTTGCTATACTGGTATGTTTGAGATGTGTATATTAATAATGGTAATTATAAAACGAATAGGAGTGCTATTAATGGCAAAATCATATGATCGAGTGATCACAAAATCAACTGACCGCAAAGCAGGAGGTTGATTTGTTAATCACGAGTATGATTTTGCCATTGATTGTACAACTTAATTTGCCATTGATTGTATACAACTTCCAAAACACAATTTGTTGAAGTTCATTAATTAATATATTAAATTTGTGTATTCCACTATTTTGAGTCTTTACAGCACAAAATAAAACAAAATTCATATTTTGTGTCCTGAATGCTAATTGGCTAGTTGTAAGAAATAGAGTGAATTTCATTGGCTTAGAGATGGGGGCGATTACAGCTCACGAAAGGATGCAATTAATGATTAATTGCACTCCTCTTAACCAAGAAATCGCAGTATTTGCCCCTGATTACAGAAGGTATATAATTAATGCAGCATTGGGTTTTATTATGTAAAACACTACATTGTAAGTTGCAACTAACCAATTCATCCTCTTCAACTGCTTAGCAATGATGTCAATTTCACAAAAATTATCTGCATTGATATGTATTCCTTTTTCCAAAGCAAATACTGGATGAACAAAGATAGCAAAACATGTAATTTGTTCAATGGCTAAAGCAGTAATGAAACATTACATATTTTCCCCCTGAGATATCAAACTCCATTTGGCACTCAAGCTAGAATGTCTAGATAAATTCAACAAGTCATTAGGCACACTATATTGTTTCTTACTTATTTCAGGTTCTGTTTTCATGGGAGAATCATATACAATCTTATCACCAGTAAATCCTGCATCAAGGCAGTTTAATATTTCACCAATTGATGCACATTCTGCTCCAAGACCCTGCAATTTTGTTGGAATCGACTACATTAAACTGATGAAGTAGAAATGGTGTATAGGAGCTAGCTAGGATCCTAGCTGCTATTCTTGCCTGAGTGAGCTTTCTATGTTTTACTGATCCCTTTATACTTCATTGAGCTCCCCATGCCCCACTTTAGCTCCAGCTTATGTCTTGCCAGGCTCTCCATGCATGCTCCACCATAGCTAACAATATTGTCACAATCATTGAGCTCTCCATGCCCTACTGAACTCGTCATGCCTGAACTCCCCCTACCTACCGTACTGAGCTCTTCCAGCCTCATTGTATTCTCCCTGCCTCACTTAATCTTCCCCTCCCCCACTAAGCTTCCCATTCAGCACTGATATCCCTGTGCCATGTTTTACAATTCGAAACAACAAGGACTACAATGATAATCAGGGTTGGGATTTAAAGTAGTTATAATACCTCTTTGCAAATGAGCTTGAGTATGCCATTAACTGGATTAGTCTTCACAGCCGAGGCATGGAAAAAACCTGTTAGTGAAAGAATATGGTCACTACAGTTGAACCAATTTTGGTAGCATTAAGCAATATGCATCAGATGTACAAATGCACCACTAACGAATTACTAGTACTTTCAGTTTGTAAAACTAAAACCTTAAATCAGCTATAACAAAATGACTTGATTAGTTCTCCAGAATGGAAAATCTCTGATGTTTTGAAATGTGGGTCAACATGAGAATTCAACAAACCGAACAGACTTGAGGCTATGAAATTTACCTGCGCCAAATGCATTCTGGACGTCCTTTAGGGCCTTGTCAAACACATCTAAGTCATAATACAATCCTAATGGCTGTGGCTGGCCTGCTATTATTTCTTTCGAAGGGGAAGGCCCAAGAATTCCTTTTTCGATGGCTTTTTCTAGTGCTACTTGTGCGGTTGTTCCAGCCATTTTGTAACCTGGCTCCTACCTGGTCATACACATCATACGATACTCATACCATCCGCGTTCATTTCCTTCATTTGTCATTTTATATTTCACTTTTGTTTATTTTGTCTAACATGACGTTTCCATAGTTTCCTGCGCTTTTTCGAAATATTTCCCGGCTTTGGCAAGTGAGCATGAAAAAAAAGGGCTGAAACCGCCCTTGAACAATGCACTTTAAAAAATATGTAATTTTGAAATATGTAATGTCAGAAAATACATCAGTCTGGTTCATTCTGAAAACCTTAATATATTGTTATGAACAGAACAAAACTAAAAGACTGAAAAATTATTTGAAAAATACTCATTTAATTAATATTTAACATATTTGATTTATTAATATTTTTATAACAGCGGTTCGAGTGCACCTTCGTTTAACGGCAAAACACTTCAACTTCTGTTGGCTGGAAATACTCACTGCCCGCCAGCAAAGCTTTGGTTTGCACAGTGCCTTGCTGAAATCCAGGTGGCAGTTGGTACGCCTGACCAAGGTTGCTGTAGGAAGCTTGGCTCTTATTCGCATCACCACAAATGAACAGATCTCGATTACCAAAGCAAATACCACCAAAAATTGCTCCGCAGTCAGCTTTGCATACGATAGCTCCTTCAATTTGACGTTCATAGATTTGACACTTGAAAGGCGGTAACTTCGGCTCTTTGTTTGTGTTTCGAAGTGAAAATATAAATGAAACTTCCGAGCGTTTAAAGCCAAAAAATCCGGCTGAAAAGACAGGAAAAAAGATTGTTACTTACTTCAAGCTTATCAAGGTTAGTTAAACAATAACAGTGAGTTCTAGACTGTATCACTACGGAACTCAGACAATCTGGAATTTAACGTTCATTTGTAGTTCATTAGAATAATATTGACTTGCAGGTTAATGATATACAGGTTGTAACGATTGTATGCCCACAAGGCCATAGCCAGGGGAGTAATTCTTCCCCAGGGGGTAGTTCTCCCCCAAGCGTACCTTCAGGCTTCCAGCTTTGGTCAGTATAGCCACCAAAAACGTTGATCCCACATTTCACCAAGGTCACTGTAGGCCCAACATCGTCACACTTTCTATGAAAATCTTCTCCCCTCCAGCCATCTCGTGAAGCTCGATAACAAAGTTGCCAACCAAAGTACTTATCTTCCATCCAATGTGAAAGTGGCTGTGCCAGGGAGCTGTCGCCGTCCAAAATGATCGATCTTTCCAGTAACGACTGTAGTGATTGAACTAAAATAATTATGACTATGTTCGTTAACAGTCCAGTTAAAATCAAGGCTGTCATAATTTTGCGCGCAGAGAGGAAATTTGTGAGCACTCATGCAAAACCAAATTGAAAAAGACAAGGAAAATCCTTCTTCACCTAGTGGAAACCAGGTAAAATGCTAATGTTTGACATTTGGCAACAAAAATGAATGAAAATACTGAGAATACAAACCAATAGAAACAATCAGTGCACCTTATATAATTCTAGCAATTATAATAGGTGCATTGAGCATCTAATGAAGTAATGGATGGTTTAAGTAGAGACATCCAATATGGCTGTATATTATTTTATTTAACAATATTTTTTTAGTGCATTCACAGTTGTGCGATCTGGTTTAATGTCAAAAGACACTCACCGACTTTGCCTAAACTGTTCAAGTCCACGGGGTCAAGAATGCTCTTCGTGAAATTAGGCAGATATTGAAAACAGCCACGATGGACAGGCAACATCATTTCGGGTTTTTCCCTGTCGATAGCGCCGGTGTTTGCTTCGATTTCCTTTTCGAGCAAAAGAATTTCTTCAATGTTCCCTTTCTCGACGATGCTCTTTGCGAATTCCAGGGAGCCATTGACTTTCTTCACGTAGGCTTTCATGTCGCCGTGTTGCTTCAAGAGCCTCTCGTTCACTTCGTCGTAATTTTCGACTTGGCTAAGCAAGACAGCTGTGCTTTGTTTCAGCTTCTTGGTAAATTGTTCGACGATTTCTTTTTCTTGTTGCATGATGGCATCTTTTGCTCTTTTAGAGTTCGCTCGTAAATTTACAATCGCCTTCTCTATATCCTGCAAAGCAGTCCGTCCTTCGTTGGACTTCGTCTCTAACGATGCTGAAATAGTCTGCAAGGATTGCCTGTGCTCCTTTGCCACAACATCAATAGGTTGATAATCGTGACCATCTTTCGAATGAACTAGTATACCACAAGTCATGCAGGCCAATTCTTGACATGTATTACAGAAATATTCGTGAGGTTTATTTCCATGACCTGGTTTCGTGCATCGTGGCTTTCCCTCGACTTTGGCTTGGTTCTCAGGCTTTGCCAGTTCTTCTAAATTCATCACAACATGTTGTTTGAAGTCGGGCCATTTGCTGTGAGTTGACAAGCAATTCCTGCACAGATAACGTTCGCATTCAATGCATCTGCACATAGCCGACACGTCGGCTTCGCAAGATCCGCAAGGAAGCTTTGGTGTTTGTTGCTGTGCTTCAAAAATGTCGATCATGTTGTTGATAAAATGGGCAGATGGAAGTTGTTCTACGCTCTCGCCTTGTCTGAGTTCAAACGGGGTTCTGCATTGAGGACAGTTGAACGTTTGCTTTGTCCTACTACGTTTTCCTTTGCGTTGAATTTCGACATACTGGTCGAGACAATGTTGACAAAAGGAATGAAAGCAAGCCAGCGTTCTCGGTTTAGTCAGGGTCTCCATACATATCGAACATGTCAGAAGACTCTCCATTCGCTCGACGGTGTTTGCATCCGAAGCAAAGGCCATTTTCTACCTTGTATTACTACATTCGTGCTATGGTAATACAAACAAAGCAAGAATCCTTGGAATGCATTAGTTTAGCAAAACACCGAAGTCGCATCAATTATGATGCGCAGCCGGACAAAAATAAATTATTCAATACCTGTCCTGTTTCTAAGGAAGTCAGTCATGATTTCTCCGTATTAACAAATTTTATTGTCACGTGCAAGCTCATCTGCTCTTACATAGTTTTGTTCAAAAACTTGTGACTTGTGTCACATTTCACGGATATACTCGATATACTAATATTACTAACGCTCAAATAATGTGTTTTTGCTGTTTAGCAGTCTAAAATAATTTCTAATATTGACAATAGACTGATAGAAGACGATACAAACGATATTTTTGACTTGTTAGCTAAAGTGGAGGTTTTAGCATAATAAAGTGGTAACTACTGGTACGTTTAAGTCATTTAGAAATTAATTTGGCGGTTTTGTTTTCAATCCCGGTCCCTTGCGACCGCAGGAAATTTAGTCCCTACTCACGCGAAGAGGATGTTAATTATCAACCAAGCTGGGTTGCACATGATACATCAGCAAGCATGACTTGCGATCTGGGAAGAGCAATTCCGAGTATTTGCGAATGCATTTCTTTCATGTAGACGTGTGTATGCTTACTGCATGCGGTAGTCAAACTTTGATTGAATATATCACTGCATAATACAGTGTATATTTATAAAGAAATTATTCCAAACTAAGTTCAATTCACTTCGCGTACCGTAATGGCCTATGCATCAAAGAAATTATTCAGGACACACTCTCTCCTTGGTGAGTACTTTCGCTATTCCTCCATGCTGTGTCTAATAATTCATTGATTTGTAATCTTTGCTCGATTCACTATCATAAACAGCTTTGTTTACATGCACTAGAGAGACAGATAGTAAGTCTAGAAGAACTTAGAAAATCTAAAGGACACAAATTGAACTTCCGTCGAATAGACGAACTATTTCATAACTAACTTTTGTACTCGACTTCGTTTATCTGTCCGTAATATATACACTGGACTAGTACTATCACGCAACAATGAAGAACGATGTGCTCTTAATTTTGCAGTTGTACTATACAACCCCTTCATGTGTAAATTCTGCTTGCAGATCGAGTTATTCATAATGAGCCATGGGACATTCCTAAATTCAATGCTCCATCAGGAAAGAAGGATATCTGGGAAGGTAAGTCGTTTAAAAACTGAGCGGCAGTGCTGTGCACGATTATTTTGCACGATTTTTCAGTATTTTACAAACTTTACATTTACATATGTATACATTTTTCGCGAACTATAAAACGAAACTGAATCGTATGCATCATATTTCAGCGAGGCAACCGGAAATATAAACATGCAATATCACAGGAAGTTGTATTCTCGATGTAAAAAACTCGTACACTTTAAAAATCTAACCGATGAAAGGTCATCAGCTTAAGGGTAACTTGTCAAATGTTTCCGAACAAAAGTGATTTTTTTCTAGCGTAAATGCTCGCCCCAGCTTCGTAATTACTCGTGAATTTACGTCTGCGGGCAGGTTACAATTAAAATAATTACAGAAAACCTGTCGATATGTATAGCCCCACACTTTTAGACAAACTCCTTCCTATTCCTAGATCATTTCGAACAAGGTTTAAGACACTTAGATGAAAATGAAGTAAATCTCGCTGAACAATCGCTCAGTAAAGCCTTAAAAATCCTATCTGCTTCTCCAATGACAAAACACCTTAACAAAGAGAAAGCAACATGCTTCCACGCTATGGCGGAAATCTATTCAACCCGAGCATCGCAGCAGATGGATGATGACGGTTTTTGTGAAATGATGGTTAAAAGCATCGCTCTTTTCGAGGCCGAGCGAATTTACAAGCACGGCAGCTACAAGGCTGACGAGGAAATCGACACAGCCATCTTCGAAGCAGAAGTAAAGTTCATTAATAAAGTATTTGGGGCTGTTGGTGTCGATCATTACAAGAAGATGGAAAACAAAAAAAATCTGAATCGGGAAAAGTTAGAAGAGATTCGTTTGAAACAAACTAACGAATATTTCCCTGCCCTTGACAGACTTCCGGATTGGAACTCACGAGACGAAGAGAGACGATGCCAAGAAATTGAAAAGATATATAAACAAATTGATGATGATATGAAGTGCCTCGTGAATGAAATTTTTTCTTATTGTTGTGAAATTGCTGGTTCCGCACCCTGCAAATTTTCTATCATTGGTCTGGGATCTATGTCCAGACAGGAGATTACTCCATACTCTGATTTAGAGTTCGCAGTGCTGGTGGAATCCAAAAACAAAAGCCCTTCGTCAGAACAACGGCAGTATTTTCGATTCCTGACCTACTTAATTCAAGCGCAAATCATCAAATTAGGAGAAACCATTTTGCCAAGTGTTGGAATTTCTAGTTTAAATAATTTTTACAGTGGAAATATAGAAGATGATTGGTTTTACGACGATGTTATTCCCAAAGGATTTTCATTCGACGGTATGATGCCATGGGCCTGCAAGACTCCTCTCGGAAGGAAAGAATGGCGTGGACAACCTCGGCAAGAGTACATCATGACTGTGGATGAAATGCTGACGCTTCAAGATGTAATTCCCGGCTCTGCTCTCGAGAGTCTGAAAACGGCGAACGTTTTCAGCAGCGTGTGCCATCTCTTTGGCGATGAAGAACTGACAAAGTCCTACGAGCAGAAATTGTCTTCCCTGGTCACTAATACCGAGAGGAGGAAAAGTTTTCAAGAACAAGTCATAGAGATCATGCAAGGTTTGCTGAACACCTACAACCTGCGTTCACTGCTTTTATGTGACAGTGGAACGCAACAAGACGTGAAGAAAGAGGTCTATAGATTAGCAAGTCTTCTGGTGGAACAATTGTCAAAATATTTTGGAATTTTCGGGCGCAGTTCTTGGCGATGTATAGATGAAATGAATGTGAAGAAGATACTCACTGAAGATGGGGCAAAGAATTTGCAGGTAATGTTAAGTATTACCACTGAGCTCCGGTTGAAGTGCTACCAAAGGCAAGGCAGACAAAAAGAGGCATTACCTACAGTTCCACAACTGTCGGTCACTGAAGAAAAATGTACTCCTTGCTCATTCACGTCAGCCATCGTCCGTCTTTATAAGAGTCTTGTACCGTTGTCATCAACGATGTCTAATATCGTTTCGAAGATCAAAAACCCCCATCATCCGGTAGTTATTTCGCTGACCTCTAAACCAGACGTAAATGAAATCGCCGAATGTCTCAAGAACGTCAACTTAAGAGACCCTGAAAAGATACTTGTGAAAGCGCTTCAACAAGAAACATTTCTGGATGTTTCGTCGACGACAACAGCAATAGCATATCTGCGTGTTTTACAACTTCCTAAAGCGATCGATTGTTTGCTTTCCGCAAAAGATGATTCAATGGATTTTGTCGAAAGCGTAAGTATACGTCATGCACTCACACATTGCTACATGCACGTCGGAAAATTTCAAGAAGCTATTAACTGTTGCCGTGAGATGCAAACGTTACACACACTGGCGCCAGATTTCGTTAAAACAAGCGACGTAATAGATGCATTGATATCAATCATGGATGCCTATATCCACCAGGGTCTGTTAAACGAGGCTGTAAATGTGCACACACAAATCGTTAGCCTTCAAGACCAACAAGATTCAAAGGACACTGCAGTCGATGAAAGGAAAGTGAATTTTCTTACCAGCAGCGCGGTGCTTTTCATAGAACTCGAACAGTACGACAAAGCGGAAATCATACTTAGAACCATTTTGAAGGGAATAAAAAACCACCGAAAGCAATATCTCGTCCATTTTATGACCCTGAATAACCTTGCCGTCGTTTTACTTTGCGAAAACAAGTTCGAAGAAGCGAAGACCATCTTGAACGATGCATTACAGGTGGCCGGCGAACTTTATGGAGAAAACGCTGCTCATCCCGATTTTGCTAACTGTTTAACCAACCTGAGCGAAGTTTATTATTATCTTCAAAATATGAAAGAAGCAGAACGTTTTGTTCGTTTGGCCCTCGTAATTTATTCTCAATTACACGATTATGTCAAAGAGTTGGTCGAGCCTGGCATTGTGGATGCGCTGATTATCAAGGCAAGAATACACCAGTTTTATAAACAACGTGATGATGTGTTTAGCACTTTGAGCCAGGCAAACGAAATTTCTAAGAATTTGTATGGCGGCCAGCCACACCCACATATTGCCTCCATTATTCTCCATCTTGGCGTTTGTGAGCAAGAGCGTGAAAATTTCTCGGAAGCGTTAAACCATTATCAAGAGTATTTGAAAATTCACGAGAATCAAAGACTTGAATGTCAGGAAACTGGAGAGGATTGCAAAATGGCCAATGTTCTTGTTCGAATTGCAAACTTGGGAGCAGTTTGTTGCTATGATCCTTCGTATCTTCTCACATGTAACGAGAAAGCGCTAAAAATAGAGGAGAAAATTCACGGCAAAGAAGCCAATCATGTCCATTTAGCCATGTGCTTTGGATCACTCGGTTTTTGTTTGATGGCAGCAGACCGCGAGTCAGAAGGAGTGGATTATTTCTGCAGATTCTTGAAAATGTTTGAAGAGATTAATTTAGGAAGTAATAAAGCATTTGGTCGCGCACACCTATTAATTGGAGAAATCTTTGGACAGCATTCGCCGGGAAAAGCAGAAAAGCACTTGAGATCAGCAGAAAAAGTTTTAAAGAAGGTCTTAAAGGATGAAAGTGATGTATCATTGCTTCAGATCAATTCTTCCTTGCTAGAAATTTTTGCGCAGACAAGCAGAATGAAAGAGGGTCTCGAGCTTGCCGAAAAACAAAGACGCTTGATTGATATTATGTTGTCTAAATCCAATTCTCCTAGCGCTCATCAGCTCTCTCAAGTGTTCCGCCTTGCTTCGTTTTACGAAGACAGTGGAAGACGAAATACTGCAAGAGATTTGTTCATTGACCTGATTGGACGTATAGAGGAGCAGGTCGATACCGCTGATTCAGACCAGGATTATTTTGAGCTCCTGCTGTGGACTGCGGAATTACGAGCAGGAGGTATTTACCGAACTAATGGAATGTTCGATCACGCAGAAGCCATGTTTCAGCGTATTCTTTTGTCAGTGAAAAAGACAACTTCACAGCGACAATTGGGAAAAGAATTTCGACATGTTGCTCTGTATAATCTATCGTGTATTTTTACGCAAACCGGAAGGTATCACCAAGCACATGAACTGCTTGACAGTCTTATCAACCTCTATGAGCAAGACCCAAAGTCAATCGATCCCGAAGCAGCATCGTACGTTTTTCTCATTCGTAGTGAACTTAATCGTAAAACCTTATGTTTCAACCTTGCACTTGAAGACCTGGAAAAAGCCTTGAAAACAGCTGAAGTGTTCCGATTATCGAAGTCTACGATCACATCAGCAACTGAAATTCTTTATGCTAAAGTCATGAACACATTTGGATTAGTTCATGAGGAAAACAACAACCTGAGCCTTGCTCTCGACTATTATACTTGCAGCCTAAGCACTGTAGATGGGTTGCCACCCAAGATGGACACAGCTATATTTCACCAAAATAAGGCGGATGTTCTAAAAGCGCTTGGACGATTTGAAGATGCTACAATACATTACCAAAAATCTTTGGAAATCAGAGAAATGTTGTATTCCGAGGATCCAGTCAGAGAAGATATTGCTACGGTGCTCTATCATTTGGCTCTCACCCAGTATATTAGTCGACAGCCCAACGAAGCCTCCAAAACTCTGGAGAAGCTTTTACCCTTGAGGAGGGAACTTCTTAAAGAGGGTGGTTCGAACCGATTGCAAAATTATGCTGCAGCGTTGGTTCTCAAAGGTGGCTGTCACATCTCGGAACCTGACGAAGCTCAGCAAGCGAAAGAGGCCTTCGAAGAAGCAGAGAAAGTTCTTAAGTTGCTGACGGAAGGACAGCTAAACCAGGATTACGCTGCAGTTTTGCACAATTTGGGTAAGTATGATTCACAAAGAAGCACATATAAATCTTCTACTGTTAAAATATTTACATCGGTCTCTAGAAAGCTACATGCCACTATACAGATTTCCGGAACAGGTGCATATATAATCATCAGAAAAAGGTAGGAACTTGGCACTTAGGAAATGCGTAGAATATTTCATAAAGATTAGCAATATATACTGGAATTAGAAAGAACTGAGAATAACATTGTTACTAACAAGAAATATAACTGCATAATGATTAAAATGTTGACATAATGACTGGAATAAGACACAATCTGATGGGTTCAAGGATGGAAATTCAATTGTCTTTGCACGTGGAAATCGTGATCTTATAAGCCGCGTTCACACTACGAGGCTTTGAGCTGGCATGGACCAGGTCTAGGCCTATGTATGAAAGTTGTTTATCTTGTCTAGACCAAGCCTGGACCTGATCTAGGCAACAAAATGCCGACCAACAGTTTGATGCACTAAGAATAATCTAATTTTCCAAATTCTCTGTCATAGGTAGTGCTTGCTTTATGTTAAATCAGTGGGAAGAAGCAATACCCAAACTGAAAAATGCACTTGAGATGAGGAGAATTATTTATGAAGGGAAAGCGGTGCCAGATGTTGCCTCAACCTGCGAATTCCTCGCTACAGCGCTCTTTAAGAATCACGAGTACCAGAAAGCATTGACTTACTTTGAAGAAGCGTTGAAATATTTTGAAGTTTGCCAGTCCCCAGATAACGAAACCAAATGTGCTCTCCATATTGCTCTTTGTCACAAAAGTTTAAAGAACTTTGATCTTGCCTCGAAAGCGTTTGAGAAAGTCAAGGTGTTGTGTGCAAGAGAATCAGTCAGTGATGAGATGCGAGATGAGGTTCAAGAAACAATGGCAGAAAATGAAGAGAATACGAACAAACCCAAGGACAGTTAATGCCACCATTAGTTTTGTGCTGAGCACCGTGACAAATCGTATAGAAGTTTAAGGTATCCTGCATGTAGAAAGTGTTAGCTGTAATTGAAACAATTTATAGATTTATATATGCATGCCAATTCGAAGAAAAAAGTAATGCTTGCGTCAATGGACGACTTGCGCTTTAGACTAATATATCTTATCCCAGCGGTAAAAAGAAAATTTTCCGGCTGAAAGAGTTCACTAACATTAGTTGTAAATTACGGAAAATATAGCCATGCGAAGTTGTCGATTTTTGTATACCTTTGTATTATACGGCCGGAAGTGTGTAACTAAATTAGTTACAGGGTCGTTACACATTCCGTGCGTAATACTAAAATATACTAGCTAAATATGCATTTTACAAAATTTCACAGCCAAACTTTGCATTTGCACTAATTCAAGTACGCTCTTTCTAGCTGTGGTGATTTATTTTCTTCTTATTACTTCGTTTAAAAATTAGTCTAAAGCGCAAGTCGTCCATTAGACCTCGCTTGATATAATAACTTACCCGATCGACGCGTGGGTGATAAAAGTAGTCTACAATAATTTTGAATCCTTCCTTCACCCCCCATTTACCAGTAATTTTGCTTACTCAAATCAGATACTCACAATAAGCTATAATAAAAGTTTATTAAAGAAATTCTACTTTACATAAAGATTGAATAAGGGAGAGAGGATCGATAGTCTAAAATAATAGCTAATGTTGACAATAGATGGATAGAAGACGATACAAACGATATTTTTGGCTTGTTAGCTAAAGTGGAGGTTTTAGCACAATAAAGTGGTACGTTTAAGTCATTCAGAAATTAATTTGGCGGTTTCCTTTGCAATTCCGGTCCCTTATGACCGCAGGAAATTTAGTCCCTAGTCTCTACTCACACCGGCTAAGGGGATGTTAATTATCAACCAAGCTGGGTTGCACATGATACATCAACAAGCATGACTTCCGGTCTGGGAAGTGCAATTCCGAGTATTTGCAAATGCATTTCTTTCATGTAGACGTGTGTATGCTTACTGCATGCGGTAGTCAAACTTTGATTGAATATATCACTGCATAATACAGTGTACATTTATAAAGAAACTATTCCAAACCAAGTTCAATTCACTTCGCGTACCGTAATGGCCTATGTATCAAAGAAATTATTCAGGACACACTCTCTCCTTGGTGAGTACTTTCGCTATTCGCTATTCCTTCATGCTGTGTCTAATAATTCATTGATTTGTAATCTTATTCTTCGCTCGATTCACTATCATAAAGAGCTTTGTTTAAATGCACTACAGACAGATCATAAGTCTAGAAGAACTTAGGAAATCTGAAGGCCACAAATTGACCTTCTGTCGAATAGACTAATTAACAGTTATTTCATAATAGGCCGTTGGCTGTGACGCGAAACACTCAGTTTCGTCGCCCCCAACGCGGTGCTAAGATATTTTAGCTGGGTTTAGGAAAATAAAGTGTGCTGATTTCAAATATCTTTGTTCCCACACGCCAAACCGCGCAGTTTTTGCACAACTCACGGCCAAAGTTCTATATTTTCATATACTGAGAGCCATTATGAATTCCGCGGTATCTTTGATCTTTCGGCTACATTACTTGAAGTATTACTAGTGTTCGAGAAACGTGGGCTCATATTAAATAACTCAAATTATAAAATATAAATATGGATGAACCACCAAGAAGAACGCTTTCTGCACGACAATGTTTTATTCATTTCGAAGGTAAATCTAGGGAATTCTTCTCGTTCAAGTTAACACAGTTGATAAAACCTGAATGAGTTCAAAACGAGGGTTAGTTTGGATGAAAAACGTACTCAAATCGTGACTAATGTTGGACATCGCGAGCGTTAAACGCATTGTCTATATCTCGTATATCATAGAATATTTTGTACAATACGGGTATATAAAAGTTTCCATTACAGAAATATAACAAGATTATGTACTATAACTTCCAATATAGTAATTAATAAGATTTTCCAAGTATTAACTTGCTTATTTCTTCATGCACTTGGTGTTAGTATTGCTCAAGGACAAGCCAAGGTTTTATTATACTGTATATAGAAATAGGTATTTATAAAAGACGTGTAAAGGAAATAAATATGCTCATATTGGTTTAGTTCGGTGTGTTGTTATTTCCATTTTAATTACACATTTGACATAGGTCGATCTGAGTCGTTATTCCGCATGAGAAATCTAACAGTCTTTGCCTGCCCCACAATCCACACATCGTAGTTTTAGCCCTTATCAGGAAAACACCATTCACCAAACGGCAATGTTTTATTCGTTTTAAAGGAAAGTCTGGTGAATTGTGTCAGTTAACACCGCATACATTTGCTAAAATAAGCGAGTATTGTCAAAAGTGGGTCAATTTGGACGGCGAGCAAAGCAAAATCGCCGCAAATGTTGCTGAGTTTATGAAACATTGGTCACTTGATTCGGAAAATGAGCTAGTGCCAGAGGAAATTGCAAATGCGCGATATCACAAAGAGTGCTATGTTCGTTTCTGTGATAAAACAAAAATCGAAAGAGCCGAGAAAAGAATGAAGAAAAAGGAAATGACTGTTGAAGCATCCAGCCATGGTGAACCGAGCACTCCTGTTATCAACCGACCAGCACCTGCACCTGTGCGTATATCACCACGGACATTGATTAGCGGTAGTGAAGCGATTCCCAGACGAAATAGACACGTTCTACCAGAACGGTGCATAATTTGTAAAAGACAAGATGCGTACAAAGTGGACAAGGTGATCTAAAAGTTACCTTACAAAACAAATATATTTTTAAGTGGCTGCGAACGCGGCTCGACTACTTTTAAACCGTAATAGTTAATCACTGACGTATATTTTATAGGTTACTAGAAAACGAAAATTAGATAAGCTTGTTCTGGCGGAAACGTTCAACGGAGGACTTTTGAGGGAGGCTGCAGAAAAGAAAAAAGACGAGTCGATTTTAGCACATATTAGAGGTAAAGACTGTGTTGCTATAGAAGTACGCTACCATAGGCATTGTCATTTGGATTACTGCAGATTCCTGACCCGAAAATCCACAACTAGTAAGCCAACTGATGAACTATACCAATCAAGCTACATCGCCTTCTGTTCGAAAATAATTGACAAAAGGTTTATTGAAGAAAAACAAATAATGCGAATGAGGGTGTTACACGACATTTTTGTGGAACAAGTTATGAAATTTGAAAAGCTTGATGCATCCAATTACCGTCCTACTCGACTGAAGGCTAGACTACAAAGAGACTATCCACAACTTGTCTTTCATCGTCCTGCAACCAGGAATCAAAGTGAACTGGTCTTTGTTGAAGAGTTATCTGTAGGTGAAGTAGCAGAGACCTGTGAAACAGTAGATACTGAGGAATTTGAGAGCGATAGCGATGATGAAATGATTGCTGAAGCTTCAATGGATAATTCTACGATGTTTGCTTTGGCTTTAAAAGATGCCATAAAAAGAGCACCTGCAATGAATGCAACTTGGCCACCATCCTCGGTCGATCTCTCAACAGACCAAGTACATAAAATGGTTCCAATTTTGTTGTTTAATTTCATTGCTTGGACATTGGGCTTCTCAGATTATCCAACAATGTCGACTCGGCTTGAACTAGAAGAGTCACAGTTGACAAAAGTGATGTCGATCTGTCAAGACATGTTGTTTATAGCGTCAAATGGAAGGAAACAAACACCAAAGTCGTTAGGACTAGGTATGGCTGTAAGACAGCTTACGCGGTCATCACAACTCACGCAAATTTTGAATGGTTTTGGCCACTGTTCTAGTCACTCTGCCATTTTAACATATGAAACAAACTTGGCTAGGTTAGCTATAAAATCAGACTGCTATATCCCAAAAGGCGCAGAAAAACATAAGTTTACTTGTCTGGTGTATGATAACGACGACTTTTCGGAGGATTCTAGAACGCAAACCCATATACTTGGTGGTATATTAATTCAACGGGAGGAATCATTTGACAATCAACCAGCCGTAGTCTCACAGCAGCTGAAGAAGGGTGGGAGAACTTTCCAGGCTCCAAGTGAAGCTATGGTTCCGTACAGCCTTGGCAAAAAGAAGACACCAAGCTTCCTAAATACATCAGTTTCATCAACCATTTTCGAAACAGACGACCCGTTGCATCAAGAACTTGCTAGGAGGTTAGATATTGCCTATTTTGTGATGAAGATGCTGCAGAATCACTACGGAACGTTACTTCCTGGTTGGACAGGTTTCAACATTCTTCTAAGGCAATCAGCAATACCGCCAATGTCTCGAATCAGATACCTACCAATAATTGATGGATCTCCCAGTGAATACTCAACATTGTATACAGCGCTTTTAAAGAGCGTGGATATTGCAGATAAGTTGTCACTAGAGCACATCGTCCTAGTTTTTGATGAAGCAATCTATGCAAAGATTCAACAGATTAGGTAAATACTAAAGTGCCGAATGGCATTTTTACCAAACTGATACCTTCTTGAGTTATTAGAATTTCTAAGGAGCCTGTTTCATTGCATACCTCTCGCTTCCGTGCATTACATTCTTTGTTTTTATCTATATTATCAGGTGGAAAGATGCGACTTTTATGAAGAGGTTTGTTGTCAGGCTAGGCGAATTTCATGCGACAATGTCGTTCCTGAGTGCAATAGGGAACATGTTCAGGGATGCTGGGTTACAGGTATAAGAGCATATTTTCTCCATACCGTAACTTCCTTGTATCACAATATTTAATTGTCGATTTTTGAGATTAGGGCAGGATAGCTATATAGGTTTATGTAACAAATGTCTGTAATATTTTTAGGATATACTTATCGAATCTGATGTTGTTGGACAAGGACAAATCAAGGGTGTATTAACAGGAAAGCATTATAATCGAAGTATGCATTGCCACAAAGTAATGAGTGAAGCTCTGCATAGACTTCGCTTCCAAGCATTTTTGGATAGCCTCAGTTCTGAGGATTACAATAATGTCTACTCAGTCGCGTCTGACCTGCTGAACATATTTCCAGACGAGAAATTTCAGGATAGCCTTACAGCTGAACCATTCTCACATATTGTTGATAAATACGAGGATTTTGTTGTGCAGGAAAGTGAAGGCAACCCAACGTTTGCATTGTGGAGTACTTACCTTGAAATGACAGGCATATTACTTCAATTTGTAAGGTGAGAATATTAATCGGCCTAGTTCTTTTACTGTATAACAACTACCTTCAATTTTGGAAATTTGTGGTTAAGATATATTTAATCAAGAGGCATGCAACAACTGTTTTTTTGGGGAAATAAGTTGTATCGACTCCTATAGAGCTACACGAGAAGGAAATTGGGAACTTCATCTCTCGACTATGCGTTCAATGCTAACATGGTACTTCGGATGTGATCGAGTGAATTATTGCCGCTATGGAACGGCATATTGGCTTGAAATGACAAGATTACCAGATACACATCCAGGTAACACGCGCATCCTTATGGTTTTTTGCCTTATATTCCAATCAAAATTTGGCTGGTGTACACAAGATTAGTGTGTCGTGCTATTTCATCAATTCTTTGAATAGATACTTGTTTCCACTTTTTAGTGCAAAGTTTGAGAAACTTTGCAGTATTGTGATGAGTGGCGAAAATTCAAACGAGTCAGTAAGTCAGTCAGTCAGACAGTCAGTCAGTCAGTCAGTCAGACAGTCAGTCATAGTGTAAACTTTACGGGGGGTAGATTGATTTATGCGTATAGTACCTTTTTGTATATGATCAGTAATTTAAAGTTTTTAAATCAGTTTAACTTGCTTTATTTATTAATTCTCTGCATCCCTTTTGCTAAGTTCACCAAAATATTGAGGAATTTTGACCGTTACTGTAAATTTTGAAGCATTGCTTTAATGCTTTTCCGCGGTTTGGGTTTTGTTTCAAAGGGATTTGCGCAGATTTGCCCCCGGAACACCCGATTTTTTTCCTATACGTCGCAACTGCGCATGTGCCGTCGAGCCTTCAACATTATTCACGATGTAAAGAAACGAGGAGCGACGACCATTGCTTCAAAACATTCCGGGCGTAAAAATCGTGCAATTCTTTGAGAATCTACGCAATTTATGAACTTATGTTATGAATTACGAGCATTCAATTCGACACAAATATAATTTGGAAGGTTTATTCCATAAATAGAGCTACATAAGAGGTTAGGAAGAAACGACGCTGTGTTGTTTATGTATTGATAGATCTCTAATCTCTTACACGAATGACGAATATATATTATGTCGATGGCAAGTCGATACCTGGTATTCTGCATACAGTACATAAATGATACTATACAAAACGGGCATTTTGTGCAGTAATCAAATCATTTTGGCGGTATACAGTATTGATAATAAGTATATTGTTTTGTATCGATTTACGCGTCGAAGTATCCACATCATAGACATAATATATGCACCGCGGTTTATTTACATTATTTACAACGCAACTATTTTGGCTATTCTTATGAAATGACGGTAGATTGTTGCCATCATATAAATGTGGTGAATGTAGTCACAGTTGTTTGACGAAGAAAAGAGACTAAACTGAGAAAATCGCGCCCGGTTTACATGGGCAACTAAAATTATAATTTAATAGTGACAGTATTTGCGACTAACGTAACTTGAGTACTTTGAGTAATTTCCTTTTGATTAATGTTTAACCTAGTTCATTATATTTTTACGGGCATAAGTCAAAATGTTTATGTTGGGAAAACGTGTTGCTTAGGTATTACAGGGCATGAAAACTTTGCACTATCCTTGGATCCCTAGTTCTATTTTTAGCAATATTGGGAGATCTACGTCAGCAATGGACTGTGCAACGCCAACAGAATCATGGATTTTCCTCAATCGCGTGTGACATGACTATTGAGCAAACATTAAATAGAGATTCGAAAACTACGGGTGGTAAGACCTAATTGATTTCTAGTTCTCCAGTTGCATGTCCATGCACCGATTTTAAGAGTACACACTTTTTTTTTCAGGAATGGTTGGAATAACATTGAACCGGGGTGCGGTGCAACGATGGATTCTTTCTCAATCTGATAGATCTGCTATCACAAGAGAATGCATGAAGATGGCAGGCACTGACACAGTTAAAAGGTCCCGTATATTAATTTATTTCTTTTTCATAGAAGTCAACGTCGTTTTAATGTACCTCAACTTTATAGGAAAAGAAAGGAATTAGACATGCCACAAAGAACTCGCCATGAAAAAGATGTTTTGGGTATAGTGAACACGCTTCAGAATATGATAAATCCTTTTGAAACGGATAATGATATAACAGAAATGATTCACTTGTCCAGTTGTTTAGTTGCTACACAAGAAGTAAAGAATGACTTACTAACAACGAAACAACGAGGAGAAGAATGCGTGACTGCTTTTCTAAGAGACAGATTACTAGTTCAAGAGCCTGATATTTTTTCAACGATTCCCAAGCTGAAGTTGAAAACTTTTTCATCGATGACTAAGAAAGTTAAAGTTAGTTCAGCAAAAGGTGTTGAAGCCACCCTTAAGAATAACCGTAACCTATTCGCTCGAATGCTCTTGCTGGCACAAAGTAGAAATGTTGACATGAAGGAAGTTCTAACTTATTCCTTGGGTCCATTTCCTTTATCTCTTTCAACCGGGATGGGCACTTTGCACAAAACCCAGAAGAGCAAGTTGATGACATCAATTGAGTCAAGTGTGCAAGATCACATAATCGATAGTCTTCCGGCTGGAAACGCAGTTATTCTTGATGGAATGGCAATCATTCAGTCCACGAAGAAGCTACCTTCATCGTTTGGAGAACTTGCAGAGCAGTTGTTTTCAAGGATGATAAACTTGGCGATTTATCACAAGTCTTCGCGTGTCGATTTTGTGGTAGACCGATATCCAGATGTAAGCATCAAAAACCTCGAACGCAACAAGCGGGCAAGCGGTGGATTGGCAGTAATCAATATATACGGAGCTGAGCAGAAACTGCCGACACAATGGAGCAAATTTCTTAAGCATGGTCGAAACAAAGAAGATCTTGTTCGGTTTTTGTTTGAACAGTGGAGTACATACGCATCATTTATGTTTAGCGGTATTGTAGTCTACGTTTGCCATGATGACAAATGCCATCGCCTTAAGCCGGGTATTGAAGGTGCACCTCTCACGATTCGAGAAATAGCGACATTATCTTGTGATCATGAAGAAGCGGACACAAGAATGCTGCTGCATGCAAATCATGCATCTCAATCATATGGAAACATTTTGATAAAGAGCCCCGATACAGACGTCTTCATTATTATGCTTTACTTTTGCCATATTCTCCAATGCGAATTGTTCTTTGAGACCGGTGTGAATGAGAAAACTCGTATCATAAATGTACGATGTGTTCAGCAGCAGATTGGTGAGAAAGAAGGCAAAGCGTTAGTTGGATTTCATGCATATACCGGTAAGCAATAATTAGTCTGCAAATGTTTATAATGTTTATAATCTAAAATATATGAATAGTTCATATCATTACCAGCAAAAAAAGCTAGTACAATCTGGATAAATGTTCGTTCCTTTACCACCTTTAGGGTGTGATTCCACTAGCTCGTTTTATGGTCGAAGTAAAATATCAACCTGGAAGTTGGTTTCCAATGACGAAACAGCTCTTGATACACTTGCTCGCCTAGGAGATGATTTTACAGTAGATGAAGGCATCCAGAAAAACCTTGAGTCATTGACATGTATGCTATATGGGGCTAAGGAGACCGAATCCGTCAACGAAGCAAGGTATAATCTATTCAGAATGGGCAAATTCTCTGACGAATCCTTGCCTCCAAACGAGGACTGTCTCTTATAGCACATGCAGCGGGCAAATTACCAGGCAGCAGTATGGAAAAGGGCAACAACTCAGATTATTGATGCACCTTCACCTACTGTTTATGGATGGAAAATTGATGAGGAGGGAAATATTGATGTGGTGTGGATGACGAAGAAATGTGCCCCAGATGTGCTACTCAAAGATTGCAACTGTAAATGTAAGGCAGGGTGTTCAACCTTAAGATGTTCCTGTAAAAAGTCAAACAACAAGTGCAATGAAATGTGCCAGTGCGTTGGGTGCACAAATTGCCCCAACGCATCCAGCGAAAGCCTTGAAGATGATTCGGAGGATGATTTGGGAAGTGACATGGAGGATGAAAACTAACATTCTATACACCCAGTATTTGTTAAAATATATATATATATATATATATATATATATATTAATATATATATATATATATATATATATATATATATATATATATATGTGACCAAATTTTTGTCGTGATTTGATTTTGTTTCCCAGCCATGTTTTTAGCCGTTTTAAAATTTTTCCAAATTTTATCGACTGTACTAACTTGAATGTGAAGCTAAATGTCACAATTCGCCAGATTTATCTTCGAAATGATTAAAATATTGCCGTGAAAGAAGCGTTATTCTGGGAAATCATCCATATTTTCTGATTCGATTGTTTATGCGCCTACGTTTCGTGAGTACGTATGAATACTTCAAGTAACGAAGTCAAAAGATCAAAGATACCGAAGAATTCAAAATGGCGCTCAGTTGATAAAAATACTGAACTTTGGCCGTACATTATGAAAAATCTGCGTGGTTTGACGTGTGGGAACAAACATATTTGAAATCAGCAGATTTTATTTACCTAATTCCCGTTTAAATATGTTAGCACCGCGGTAGGGGCGACGGAATTCAATTTCTAGCCTTAATTTGGCCACACAGCCAACCGCCTATAACTCGTCTTTTGTAATTGACTTCGTTTATCTGTCCGTAATATATACACTGGACTATCACGCCATAATGAAGAACGATGTGGTCTTAATTTTGCAGTTATACTATACAACTCCTTCATCTGTAAATTCTTCTTGCAGATCGAGTTATTCATAATGAGCCATGGGACATTCCTAAATTCCATGTTCCAGCAGCAAAGAAAGATATCTGGGAGGGTAAGTCCGTTTAAGAACTGAACGGCAGTGTTGCGCACGATTATTTTGCACGATTTTTTATTTTACAAACTTTACATATACATATGTATACATTTTTCGCGAACTATAAAACGAAACTGAATCATATGCATCATATTTCAGTGAGGCAACCGGAAATATAAACATGCAATATCACAGGAAGTTGTATTTTCGATGTAAAAACCTCATACACATCATACATGTAACCGATGAGAGGTCATCAGCTTAAGGGTATCTTGTCAAATGTTTCTGAACAAAAGTGTTTTTTTCTACCATAAATACTCGCGCCAACTTCGTAATTGCTCGTGAATTTACGTCTGCGGCAGGTTACAATTAAATTACAGAAAAGTCGATATGCATAGCCCCACACTCTTAGACAAACTTCTTCCTATTCCTAGATCATTTCGAACAAGGTTTAAGACACTTAGATGAAAATAAATCAAATCTCGCTGAACAATCGCTCAGTAAAGCCTTAAAAATCCTATCTGCTTCTCCAATGACAAAACACCTTAACAAAGAGAAAGCAACATGCTTCCACGCTATGGCGGAAATCTATTCAACCCGAGCATCGCAGCAGATGGATGATGACGGTTTTTGTGAAATGATGGTTAAAAGCATCGCTCTTTTCGAGGCCGAGCGAATTTACAAGCACGGCAGCTACAAGGCTGACGAGGAAACCGACACAGCCATCTTCGAAGCAGAAGTAAAGTTCATTAGTAAAGTATTTGGGGCTGGTGGTGTCGATCATTACAAGAAGATGGAAAACAAAAAAAATCTGAATCGGCAAAAGTTAGAAGAGATTCGTTTGAAACAAACTAACGAATATTTCCCTGCCCTTGACAGACTTCCGGATTGGAACTCAGGAGACGAAGAAAGACGATGCCAAGAAATTGAAAAGATATATAAACAAATTGATGATGATATGAAGTGCCTCGTGGTTGAAATTTTTTCTTATTGTTGTGAAATTGCTGGTTCCGCACCCTGCAACTTTTCTATCATTGGTCTGGGATCTATGTCCAGACAGGAGATTACTCCATACTCTGATTTAGAGTTTGCAATTCTGGTGAAATCCAAAAACAAAAGCCCTTCGTCAGAACAACGGCAGTATTTTCGATTCCTGACCTACTTAATTCAAGCGCAAATCATCAAATTAGGAGAAACCATTTTGCCCAGTGTTGGTATTTCTAGTTTAAATGATTTCTACAGTGGAAATATAGAAGATGACTGGTTTTACGACGATGTTATTCCCAAAGGATTTTCATTCGACGGTATGATGCCATGGGCCTGCAAGACTCCTCTCGGAAGGAAAGAATGGCGTGGACAACCTCGGCAAGAGTACATCATGACTGTGGATGAAATGCTGGCGCTTCAAGATGTAATTCCCGGCTCTGCTCTCGAGAGTCTGAAAACCGCAAACGTTTTCAGCAGCGTGTGCCATCTCTTTGGCGATGAAGAACTGACAAAGTCCTACAAGCAGAAATTGTCTTCCCTGGTCACTACCGAGAGGAGGAAAAGTTTTCAAGAACAAGTCATGGTGATCATGCAAAGTTTGCTGAACACCTACAACCTGGGTTCACTGCCTTTACATCACTGTGGAACGCAACAAGACGTGAAGAAAGAGGTCTATAGATTAGCGTGTCTTCTGGTGGAACAATTGTCAAAATTTTGGAATTTTCGGGCGCAGTTCTTGGCGATGTATACATGAAATGAAAGTGAAGAAGATACTCACTGAAGATGGGGCAAAGAATTTGCGAGCAATGTTAAGTATTACTACTGAACTCCGATTAAAGTGCTACCAAAGGCAAGGCAGACAAAAGAGGCATTACCTACAGTTCCACAACTGTCGGTCACTGAAGAAAAATGTACTCCTTGCTCATTCACGACAGCCATCGTCCGTCTTTATAAGAGTCTTGTACCGTTGTCATCAACGATGTCTAAATCGTTTGGAAATCAAAAACCCCATCATCCGGCGATTATTCCGCTGACCGCTAAACTAGACATAAATGAAATCGTGGAATTTATCAGGAACTACGACTTAAGAGACCCTGAAACGATACTTGTGAAAGAGCTTCAACAAGAAACATTTCTGGATGTTTCGCCGATGACAACAGCAACAGCGTATCTGCGTGTTTTACAACTTCCTAAAGCGATCGATTGTTTGCTTTCCGCAAAAGATGATTCAATGGATTTTGTCGAAAGCGTAGATGTACGTCGTGCACTCACACATTGCTACATACGCGTCGGAAAATTTCAAGAAGCTATTAACTGTTGCCGTGAGGTGCAAACATTACACACACTGGCGCCAGATTTTGTTAAAACAAGCGACGTAATAGATGCATTGATATCAATCATGGATGCCTATGTCGAGCAGGGTCTGTTAAACGAGGCTGTAAATGTATACACAGAAATCGTTAGCCTTGAAGACCAACAAGATTCAAAGGACAATGGAGTCGATGAAAGGAAAGTGAATTTTCTTACCAGCAGCGCGGTGCTTTTCATGAGACTCGAACAGTACGACAAAGCTGAAATCATACTCAGAACCATTTTGAAGGGAATAAAAAACCACCGAAAGCAATATTTCACCTATTTTATGACCCTAAATAACCTTGCCGTCGTTTTACTTTGCGAAGACAAGTTCGAGGAAGCGAAGACCATCTTGAACAATGCATTAGAGGTTGCCGGCGAACTTTATGGAGAAAACGCTGCTCATCCCGATTTTGCTTGCTGTTTAACCAACCTGAGTGAAGTTTATTATTATCTTCAAAATATGGAAGAAGCAGAACGTTTGGTTCGTTTGGCCCTCGTAATTTTTTCTCAATTACATGATTATGAAAAAGAGTTGGTCGAGCCTGGCATTGTCCATGCGCTGATTCTCAAAGCAACAATACACCAGTTTTATAAACAACGTGATGATTTGTTTACCACTTTGAACCAGGCAAAGGAAATTTCTAAGAATTTGTACGGCGGCCAGCCACACCCACATATTGCCTCCATTATTCTCCATCTTGGCGTTTGTGAGCAAGAGCGTGGAAATTTCTCGGAAGCGTTACACCATTACGAAGAGTATTTGAAAATTCACGAGAATCTAAGATTAGAACGTCAGGAAAGTGGACAGGATTGCCACATGGCACATGTTCTTGTTCAAATTGCAAATTTGGGAGCACATTGTTGCTATGATGCTTCGTATCTTCTGTCATGTAACGAGAAAGCGGTGAAAATAGAGGAAAAAATTCATGGCAAAGAAGCCAATCATATCCATCTAGCCGTGTGCATTCGATCACTGGGTTTTTGTTTGATAACAGCAAACCGCGAGTCAGAAGGAGTGGAGTATGTCTGCAAATCCTTGAAAATGTTTGAAGAGATTAATTTAGATGCGAATGGAGCCTTTGGTTACGCACACCTATCAATTGGAGAAATCTTTGGACAGCATTCGCTGGGACAAGCAGAAAAGCACTTGAGATCAGCAGAAAAAGTTTTAAAGAAGGTCTTAAAGGATGAAAGTGATGTATCATTGCTTCAGATCAATTCTTCCTTGCTAGAGATTTTTGTGAAGACAAGCAGAATGAAAGAGGGCCTCGGGCTTGCCGAAGACAGAGACGCTTGATTGATATTATGTTGTCTAAATCCAATTCTCCAAGCGCTCATCAGCTTTCTCAAGTGCTCCGCCTTGCTTCGTTTTACGAAGACAGTGGAAGACGAAATACTGCAAGAGATTTGTTCATTGACCTGATTGGACGTATAGAGGAGCAGGTCGATACCGCTGATTCAGACCAGGATTTTTTTCAGCGCCTGCTGTGGACTGCAGAATTACGAGCAGGAGGTATTTACCGAACTAATGGAATGTTCGATCACGCAGAAGCCATGTTTCAGCGTATTGTTTTGTCAGTGGAAAGACAACTTCACAGCGGCAATTGGGAAAAGACTTTCGACATGTTGCTCTGTATCATCTATCGTGTATTTTTACGGAAACCGGAAGGTATCAACAAGCACATGAACATCTTGACAGTCTTATCAACCTCTACGAGCAAGACCCAAAGTCAATGGATCCCGATACAGCATCGTTCGTTTTTCTCGTTCGTAGCGAACTTAATCGTAAAACCTTATGTTTCAACCTTGCACTTGAAGACCTGGAAAAAGCCTTGAAAACAGCTGAAGTGTTCCGATTATCGGAGTCTACGCCCACATCAGCAGCTGAAATTCTTTATGCTAAAGTCATGAACGCATTTGGATTAGTTCATGAGGAAAACAACAACCCGAGCCTTGCTCTCGAATATACTTGCAGCCTAAGGACTGTTGAGGGGTTGCCACCCAAGATTGATACAGCTATTTTCCACCAAAATAAGGCGGATGTTCTAAAAACGCTTGGACGACTTGAAGATGCTACAATACATTACACAAAATCTTTGGAAATCAGAGAAATGTTGTATTCCGAGGATCCAGTCAGAGAAGATATTGCCACGGTGCTCTTTCATTTGGCCCTCACCCAGTATATAATCAACAGCCCAACGAGGCTTCCAAAACTCTGGAGAAGCTTTTACCCTTGAGGAGGGAACTTCTTAAGGACGGCAGTTTAAACCCATTGCAAAATTATGCTGCAGCGTTCGTTCTCAAAGGTGGCTGTCACATCTCGGAACCTGATGAAGCTCAGCAAGCGAAAGAGGGCCTTCGAAGAGCAGAGAAAGTCTTAAGCATGACGGAAGGACAGGTAAACCAGGATTACGCTGGAGTTTTGCACAATTTGGGTAAGTATAATTCACAAAGAAGCACATATAAATTTTCGACTGTTAAGATATTTACATCGGTCTCTAGAAAGTTACATTGAACTATACAAATGTCCAGAACAGGTGCATTTAACCATCAGAAAAAGATAGGAACTTGGGACTTAGGAAATGCGTAGAATATTTTATAAAGAATAGCAATATATACCTGGAATTAGAAGGAACTGAGAATGACATTGTTACTAACAAGGAATATAACTGCATAATGATTAAAATGTTTACATAATGACTAGAATGAGACACAATCTGATGGGTTCCTAGATGGAAATTCAATTGTCTTTGCACGTGGAAATGGTGATCTCATAAGCCGCGTTCACACTACGAGGCTTTGAGCTGGCATGGACCAGGTCTAGGCCTATGTATAAAGGTTGTTTATCTTGTCTAGATCTGGCCTGGACCTGATCTAGGCCACAAAATGCCGACCAACAGTTTGGTGCACTAAAAATAATCTAATTTTCCAAATTCCCTGTCATAGGTAGTGCTTGCTTTATGTTAGATCAGTGGGAAGAAGCAATACCCAAACTGGAAAAGGCACTTGAGATGTGGAAAATTATTTACGAACGAAAAGCGGTGCCAGATGTAGCCTTCACCTGCAAATTACTCGCTACAGCGCTCTTTGAGAATCACGAGTACCAGAAAGCATTGACTTACTTTGAAGAAGCGTTGAAATATTTTGAAGTTTGCCAGTCCCCAGATAACGAGACCAACTGTGCTCTCCATATTGCTCTTTGTCACAAAAGTTTGAAGAATTTTGATCTTGCCTCGAAAGCGTTTGAGAAAGTCAAGGTGTTGTGTGCCAGAGAATCAGTCAGTGATGAGATGCGAGATGAGGTTCAAGAAACAATGGCAGAAAATGGAGAGAATACGAACAAACCCAAGGACAGTTAATGCTACCATAGTTTTGTGCTGAGCACCGTGACAAATCGTATAGAAGTTTAAGCTATCTTGCATATAGAAAGTATTAGCTGTTATTGAGCCAATTAATAGATTTATATATGCATGCTAAAGCAAAGAAAAAAGGAATGCTTGCGTCAATGGACGACTTGCGCCTTAGACTACTATATCTTATCTCAGCAGTAAAAAGGAAATTTTCTGAAAGAGCTCACTAAAATTAGTTTCATTGCAAATTCTGTGCGTATATAAAAGTATACAAAATATGCCAACTTCGCATGGCTATATTTTCCGTATTTTACCAAATTTCGTAGCCAAACTTTGCGTTTGCACTAATTCAAGTACGCTCTTTCTAGCTGTGGTGATTTATTTTCTTCTTATTACTTCGATCAAAAATTAGTCTAAAGCGCAAGTCGTCCATTAGACCTCGCTTGATATAACAACTTACCCGATCGACGCATCGGGTGATAAAAATAGTCTACAATAATTTTGAATCCTTCTTTCACCTCATTTACCAGTAATTTTGTTTACTCGAAAGAGATACTCACAATAAGCTATAATAAAAGTTTAGCAAAGAAATTCTACTTTACAAAAAGATTGAATAAGGGAGAGAGGATCGATAGTCTAAAATAATAGTTAATGTTGACAATAGATGGATAGAAGACGATACAAACGATATTTTTGGCTTGTTAGCTAAAGTGGAGGTTTTAGCATAATAAAGTGGTACGTTTAAGTCATTCAGAAATTAATTTGGCGGTTTCCTTTGGAATTCCGGTCCCTTATGACCGCAGGAGATTTAGTCCCTAGTCTCTACTCACACTACGGGGATGTTAATTATCAACCAAGCTGGGTTGCACATGATACATCAGCAAGCATGCCTTGCGATCTGGGAAGTGCATTTCTGAGTATTAGCGAATGCATTTCTTTGATGTAGACGTGTGTATGTTTACTGCATGCGGTAGTCGAACTTTGATTGAATATATCACTGCATAATCAGTGTACATTTATAAAGAAATTATTCCAAACCAAGTTTAATTCACTTCGCGTACCGTAATGGCCTATGTATCAAAGAAATTATTCAGGACACACTCTCTCCTTGGTGAGTACTTTCGCTATTCGCTATTCCTTCATGCTGTGTCTAATAATTCATTGATTTGTAATCTTATTCTTCGCTCGATTCACTATCATAAAGAGCTTTGTTTACATGCACTAGAGAGACAGATCATAAGTCTAGAAGAACTTAGGAAATCTGAAGGCCACAAATTGACCTTCTGTCGAATAGACTAATTAACAGTTATTTCATAACTCGTCTTTTGTTCTTGACTTCGTTTATCTGTCCGTAATATATACACTGGACTATCACGCCATAATGAAGAACGATGTGCTCTTAATTTTGCAGTTATATATATACAACCCTTCATCTGTAAATTCTTCTTGCAGATCGAGTTATTCATAATGAGCCATGGGACATTCCTAAATTCAATGTTTCATCAGCAAAGAAAGATATCTGGGAGGGTAAGTCCGTTTAAGAACTGAACGGCAGTGTTGCGCACGATTATTTTGCACGATTTTTTATTTTACAAACTTTACATATACATATGTATACATTTTTCGCGAACTATAAAACGAAACTGAATCATATGCATCATATTTCAGCGAGGCAACCGGAAATATAAACATGCAATATCACAGGAAGTTGTATTTTCGATGTAAAAACTCTACACTTAAAATTGTAACCGATGAGAGGTCATCAGCTTAAGGGTATCTTGTCAAACGTTTCTGAACAAAAGTGTTTTTTTCTAGCGTAAATGCTCGCGCAACTTCGTAATTGCTCGTGAATTTACGTCTGCGCAGGTTACAATTAAATTACAGAAAAGTCGATATGCATAGCCCCACACTCTTAGACAAACTTCTTCCTATTCCTAGATCATTTCGAACAAGGTTTAAGACACTTAGATGAAAATAAATCAAATCTCGCTGAACAATCGCTCAGTAAAGCCTTAAAAATCCTATCTGCTTCTCCAATGACAAAACACCTTAACAAAGAGAAAGCAACATGCTTCCACGCTATGGCGGAAATCTATTCAACCCGAGCATCGCAGCAGATGGATGATGACGGTTTTTGTGAAATGATGGTTAAAAGCATCGCTCTTTTCGAGGCCGAGCGAATTTACAAGCACGGCAGCTACAAGGCTGACGAGGAAACCGACACAGCCATCTTCGAAGCAGAAGTAAAGTTCATTAGTAAAGTATTTGGGGCTGGTGGTGTCGATCATTACAAGAAGATGGAAAACAAAAAAAATCTGAATCGGCAAAAGTTAGAAGAGATTCGTTTGAAACTAACGAATTTTCCCTGCCCTTGACAGACTTCCGGATTGGAACTCAGGAGACGAAGAAAGACGATGCCAAGAAATTGAAAAGATATATAAACAAATTGATGATGATATGAAGTGCCTCGTGGTTGAAATTTTTTCTTATTGTTGTGAAATTGCTGGTTCCGCACCCTGCAACTTTTCTATCATTGGTCTGGGATCTATGTCCAGACAGGAGATTACTCCATACTCTGATTTAGAGTTTGCAATTCTGGTGAAATCCAAAAACAAAAGCCCTTCGTCAGAACAACGGCAGTATTTTCGATTCCTGACCTACTTAATTCAAGCGCAAATCATCAAATTAGGAGAAACCATTTTGCCCAGTGTTGGTATTTCTAGTTTAAATGATTTCTACAGTGGAAATATAGAAGATGACTGGTTTTACGACGATGTTATTCCCAAAGGATTTTCATTCGACGGTATGATGCCATGGGCCTGCAAGACTCCTCTCGGAAGGAAAGAATGGCGTGGACAACCTCGGCAAGAGTACATCATGACTGTGGATGAAATGCTGGCGCTTCAAGATGTAATTCCCGGCTCTGCTCTCGAGAGTCTGAAAACCGCAAACGTTTTCAGCAGCGTGTGCCATCTCTTTGGCGATGAAGAACTGACAAAGTCCTACAAGCAGAAATTGTCTTCCCTGGTCACTAATACCGAGAGGAGGAAAAGTTTTCAAGAACAAGTCATGGTGATCATGCAAAGTTTGCTGAACACCTACAACCTGGGTTCACTGCCTTTACATCACTGTGGAACGCAACAAGACGTGAAGAAAGAGGTCTATAGATTAGCGTGTCTTCTGGTGGAACAATTGTCAAAATATTTTGGAATTTTCGGGCGCAGTTCTTGGCGATGTATACATGAAATGAAAGTGAAGAAGATACTCACTGAAGATGGGGCAAAGAATTTGCGAGCAATGTTAAGTATTACTACTGAACTCCGATTAAAGTGCTACCAAAGGCAAGGCAGACAAAAAGAGGCATTACCTACAGTTCCACAACTGTCGGTCACTGAAGAAAAATGTACTCCTTGCTCATTCACGACAGCCATCGTCCGTCTTTATAAGAGTCTTGTACCGTTGTCATCAACGATGTCTAAAATCGTTTGGAAAATCAAAAACCCCCATCATCCGGCGATTATTCCGCTGACCGCTAAACTAGACATAAATGAAATCGTGGAATTTATCAGGAACTACGACTTAAGAGACCCTGAAACGATACTTGTGAAAGAGCTTCAACAAGAAACATTTCTGGATGTTTCGCCGATGACAACAGCAACAGCGTATCTGCGTGTTTTACAACTTCCTAAAGCGATCGATTGTTTGCTTTCCGCAAAAGATGATTCAATGGATTTTGTCGAAAGCGTAGATGTACGTCGTGCACTCACACATTGCTACATACGCGTCGGAAAATTTCAAGAAGCTATTAACTGTTGCCGTGAGGTGCAAACATTACACACACTGGCGCCAGATTTTGTTAAAACAAGCGACGTAATAGATGCATTGATATCAATCATGGATGCCTATGTCGAGCAGGGTCTGTTAAACGAGGCTGTAAATGTATACACAGAAATCGTTAGCCTTGAAGACCAACAAGATTCAAAGGACAATGGAGTCGATGAAAGGAAAGTGAATTTTCTTACCAGCAGCGCGGTGCTTTTCATGAGACTCGAACAGTACGACAAATCATACTCAGAACCATTTTGAAGGGAATAAAAAACCACCGAAAGCAATATTTCACCTATTTTATGACCCTAAATAACCTTGCCGTCGTTTTACTTTGCGAAGACAAGTTCGAGGAAGCGAAGACCATCTTGAACAATGCATTAGAGGTTGCCGGCGAACTTTATGGAGAAAACGCTGCTCATCCCGATTTTGCTTGCTGTTTAACCAACCTGAGTGAAGTTTATTATTATCTTCAAAATATGGAAGAAGCAGAACGTTTGGTTCGTTTGGCCCTCGTAATTTTTTCTCAATTACATGATTATGAAAAAGAGTTGGTCGAGCCTGGCATTGTCCATGCGCTGATTCTCAAAGCAACAATACACCAGTTTTATAAACAACGTGATGATTTGTTTACCACTTTGAACCAGGCAAAGGAAATTTCTAAGAATTTGTACGGCGGCCAGCCACACCCACATATTGCCTCCATTATTCTCCATCTTGGCGTTTGTGAGCAAGAGCGTGGAAATTTCTCGGAAGCGTTACACCATTACGAAGAGTATTTGAAAATTCACGAGAATCTAAGATTAGAACGTCAGGAAAGTGGACAGGATTGCCACATGGCACATGTTCTTGTTCAAATTGCAAATTTGGGAGCACATTGTTGCTATGATGCTTCGTATCTTCTGTCATGTAACGAGAAAGCGGTGAAAATAGAGGAAAAAATTCATGGCAAAGAAGCCAATCATATCCATCTAGCCGTGTGCATTCGATCACTGGGTTTTTGTTTGATAACAGCAAACCGCGAGTCAGAAGGAGTGGAGTATGTCTGCAAATCCTTGAAAATGTTTGAAGAGATTAATTTAGATGCGAATGGAGCCTTTGGTTACGCACACCTATCAATTGGAGAAATCTTTGGACAGCATTCGCTGGGACAAGCAGAAAAGCACTTGAGATCAGCAGAAAAAGTTTTAAAGAAGGTCTTAAAGGATGAAAGTGATGTATCATTGCTTCAGATCAATTCTTCCTTGCTAGAGATTTTTGTGAAGACAAGCAGAATGAAAGAGGGCCTCGGGCTTGCCGAAGAACAGAGACGCTTGATTGATATTATGTTGTCTAAATCCAATTCTCCAAGCGCTCATCAGCTTTCTCAAGTGCTCCGCCTTGCTTCGTTTTACGAAGACAGTGGAAGACGAAATACTGCAAGAGATTTGTTCATTGACCTGATTGGACGTATAGAGGAGCAGGTCGATACCGCTGATTCAGACCAGGATTTTTTTCAGCGCCTGCTGTGGACTGCAGAATTACGAGCAGGAGGTATTTACCGAACTAATGGAATGTTCGATCACGCAGAAGCCATGTTTCAGCGTATTGTTTTGTCAGTGGAAAAGACAACTTCACAGCGGCAATTGGGAAAAGACTTTCGACATGTTGCTCTGTATCATCTATCGTGTATTTTTACGGAAACCGGAAGGTATCAACAAGCACATGAACATCTTGACAGTCTTATCAACCTCTACGAGCAAGACCCAAAGTCAATGGATCCCGATACAGCATCGTTCGTTTTTCTCGTTCGTAGCGAACTTAATCGTAAAACCTTATGTTTCAACCTTGCACTTGAAGACCTGGAAAAAGCCTTGAAAACAGCTGAAGTGTTCCGATTATCGGAGTCTACGCCCACATCAGCAGCTGAAATTCTTTATGCTAAAGTCATGAACGCATTTGGATTAGTTCATGAGGAAAACAACAACCCGAGCCTTGCTCTCGAATATTATACTTGCAGCCTAAGGACTGTTGAGGGGTTGCCACCCAAGATTGATACAGCTATTTTCCACCAAAATAAGGCGGATGTTCTAAAAACGCTTGGACGACTTGAAGATGCTACAATACATTACACAAAATCTTTGGAAATCAGAGAAATGTTGTATTCCGAGGATCCAGTCAGAGAAGATATTGCCACGGTGCTCTTTCATTTGGCCCTCACCCAGTATAATAATCAACAGCCCAACGAGGCTTCCAAAACTCTGGAGAAGCTTTTACCCTTGAGGAGGGAACTTCTTAAGGACGGCAGTTTAAACCCATTGCAAAATTATGCTGCAGCGTTCGTTCTCAAAGGTGGCTGTCACATCTCGGAACCTGATGAAGCTCAGCAAGCGAAAGAGGCCTTCGAAGAAGCAGAGAAAGTTCTTAAGCAGCTGACGGAAGGACAGGTAAACCAGGATTACGCTGGAGTTTTGCACAATTTGGGTAAGTATAATTCACAAAGAAGCACATATAAATTTTCGACTGTTAAGATATTTACATCGGTCTCTAGAAAGTTACATTGAACTATACAAATGTCCAGAACAGGTGCATTTAACCATCAGAAAAAGATAGGAACTTGGGACTTAGGAAATGCGTAGAATATTTTATAAAGAATAGCAATATATACCTGGAATTAGAAGGAACTGAGAATGACATTGTTACTAACAAGGAATATAACTGCATAATGATTAAAATGTTTACATAATGACTAGAATGAGACACAATCTGATGGGTTCCTAGATGGAAATTCAATTGTCTTTGCACGTGGAAATGGTGATCTCATAAGCCGCGTTCACACTACGAGGCTTTGAGCTGGCATGGACCAGGTCTAGGCCTATGTATAAAGGTTGTTTATCTTGTCTAGATCTGGCCTGGACCTGATCTAGGCCACAAAATGCCGACCAACAGTTTGGTGCACTAAAAATAATCTAATTTTCCAAATTCCCTGTCATAGGTAGTGCTTGCTTTATGTTAGATCAGTGGGAAGAAGCAATACCCAAACTGGAAAAGGCACTTGAGATGTGGAAAATTATTTACGAACGAAAAGCGGTGCCAGATGTAGCCTTCACCTGCAAATTACTCGCTACAGCGCTCTTTGAGAATCACGAGTACCAGAAAGCATTGACTTACTTTGAAGAAGCGTTGAAATATTTTGAAGTTTGCCAGTCCCCAGATAACGAGACCAACTGTGCTCTCCATATTGCTCTTTGTCACAAAAGTTTGAAGAATTTTGATCTTGCCTCGAAAGCGTTTGAGAAAGTCAAGGTGTTGTGTGCCAGAGAATCAGTCAGTGATGAGATGCGAGATGAGGTTCAAGAAACAATGGCAGAAAATGGAGAGAATACGAACAAACCCAAGGACAGTTAATGCTACCATTAGTTTTGTGCTGAGCACCGTGACAAATCGTATAGAAGTTTAAGCTATCTTGCATATAGAAAGTATTAGCTGTTATTGAGCCAATTAATAGATTTATATATGCATGCTAAAGCAAAGAAAAAAGGAATGCTTGCGTCAATGGACGACTTGCGCCTTAGACTACTATATCTTATCTCAGCAGTAAAAAGGAAATTTTCTGAAAGAGCTCACTAAAATTAGTTTCATTGCAAATTCTGTGCGTATATAAAAGTATACAAAATATGCCAACTTCGCATGGCTATATTTTCCGTATTTTACCAAATTTCGTAGCCAAACTTTGCGTTTGCACTAATTCAAGTACGCTCTTTCTAGCTGTGGTGATTTATTTTCTTCTTATTACTTCGATCAAAAATTAGTCTAAAGCGCAAGTCGTCCATTAGACCTCGCTTGATATAACAACTTACCCGATCGACGCATCGGGTGATAAAAATAGTCTACAATAATTTTGAATCCTTCTTTCACCTCATTTACCAGTAATTTTGTTTACTCGAAAGAGATACTCACAATAAGCTATAATAAAAGTTTAGCAAAGAAATTCTACTTTACAAAAAGATTGAATAAGGGAGAGAGGATCGATAGTCTAAAATAATAGTTAATGTTGACAATAGATGGATAGAAGACGATACAAACGATATTTTGGCTTGTTAGCTAAAGTGGAGGTTTTAGCATAATAAAGTGGTACGTTTAAGTCATTCAGAAATTAATTTGGCGGTTTCCTTTGGAATTCCGGTCCCTTATGACCGCAGGAGATTTAGTCCCTAGTCTCTACTCACACTACGGGGATGTTAATTATCAACCAAGCTGGGTTGCACATGATACATCAGCAAGCATGCCTTGCGATCTGGGAAGTGCATTTCTGAGTATTAGCGAATGCATTTCTTTGATGTAGACGTGTGTATGTTTACTGCATGCGGTAGTCGAACTTTGATTGAATATATCACTGCATAATCAGTGTACATTTATAAAGAAATTATTCCAAACCAAGTTTAATTCACTTCGCGTACCGTAATGGCCTATGTATCAAAGAAATTATTCAGGACACACTCTCTCCTTGGTGAGTACTTTCGCTATTCGCTATTCCTTCATGCTGTGTCTAATAATTCATTGATTTGTAATCTTATTCTTCGCTCGATTCACTATCATAAAGAGCTTTGTTTACATGCACTAGAGAGACAGATCATAAGTCTAGAAGAACTTAGGAAATCTGAAGGCCACAAATTGACCTTCTGTCGAATAGACTAATTAACAGTTATTTCATAACTCGTCTTTTGTTCTTGACTTCGTTTATCTGTCCGTAATATATACACTGGACTATCACGCCATAATGAAGAACGATGTGCTCTTAATTTTGCAGTTATATTATACAACCCCTTAATCTGTAAATTCTTCTTGCAGATCGAGTTATTCATAATGAGCCATGGGACATTCCTAAATTCAATGTTTCATCAGCAAAGAAAGATATCTGGGAGGGTAAGTCCGTTTAAGAACTGAACGGCAGTGTTGTGCACGATTATTTTGCACGATTTTTTATTTTACAAACTTTACATATACATATGTATACATTTTTCGCGAACTATAAAACGAAACTGAATCATATGCATCATATTTCAGCGAGGCAACCGGAAATATAAACATGCAATATCACAGGAAGTTGTATTTTCGATGTAAAAAACTCGTACACTTTAAAAATTTAACCGATGAAAGGTCATCAGCTTAAGGGTATCTTGTCAAACGTTTCGAAACAAAAGTGGGTTTTTTTCTAGCGTAAATGCTCGCGCGAACTTCGTAATTGCTCGTGAATTTACGTCTGCGTTAAGGTTACAATTAAATTACAGAAATCTGTCGATATGCATAGCCCCACACTCTTAGACAAACTCCTTCTTGTTCCTAGATCATTTCGAACAAGGTTTAAGACACTTAGATGAAAATAAATCGAATCTCGCTGAACAATCGCTCAGTAAAGCCTTAAAAATCCTATCTGCTTCTCCAATGAAAAAACACCTTAACAAAGAGAAAGCAACATGCTTCCACGCTATGGCGGAAATCTATTCAACCCGAGCATCGCAGCAGATGGATGATGACGGCTTTTGTGAAATGATGGTTAAAAGCATCGCTCTTTTCGAGGCAGAGCGATTTTACAAGCACGGCAGCTACAAGGCTGACGAGGAAATCGACGCAGCCATCTTCGAAGCAGAAGTAAAGTTCATTAATAAAGTATTTGGGGCTGTTGGTGTCGATCATTACAAGAAGATGGAAAACAAAAAAAATCTGAATCGGGAAAAGTTAGAAGAGATTCGTTTGAAACAAATTAACGAATACTTCCCTGCCCTTGACAGACTTCCGGATTGGAACTCAGGAGACGAAGAAAGACGATGCCAAGAAATTGAAAAGATATATAAACAAATTGATAATGATATGAAGTGCCTCGTGGTCGAAATTTTTTCTTATTGTTGTGAAATTGCTGGTTCCGCACCCTGCAACTTTTCTATCATTGGTCTCTGATCTATGTCCAGACAGGAGATTACTCCATATTCCGATTTAGAGTTCGCAATTCTGGTGGAATCCAAAAACAAAAGCTTTTCGTCAGAACAACGGCAGTATTTTCGTTTCCTGACCTACTTAATTCAAGCGCAAATCATCAAATTAGGAGAAACCATTTTGCCAAGTGTTGGTATTTCTAGTTTAAATGATTTTTACAGTGGAAATATAGAAGATGATTGGTTTTACGACGATGTTATTCCCAAAGGATTTTCATTCGACGGTATGATGCCATGGGCCTGCAAGACTCCTCTCGGAAGGAAAGAATGGCGTGGACAACCTCGGCAAGAGTACATCATGACTGTAGATGAAATGCTGATGCTTCAAGATTTAATTCCCGGCTCTGCTCTCGAGAGTCTGAAAACCGCGAACGTTTTCAGCAGCGTGTGCCATCTCTTTGGCCATGAAGAACTGACAAAGTCCTACGAGCAGAAATTGTCTTCCCTGGTCACGAATACTGAGAGGAGGAAAAGTTTTCAAGAACAAGTCATGGAGATCATGCAAAGTTTGCTGAACACCTACAACCCGGCGTCACTGCCTCTATGTGACTGTGGAACGCAACAAGACGTGAAGAAAGAGGTCTATAGATTAGCAAGTCTTCTGGTGGAACAATTGTCAAAATATTTTGGAATTTTCGGGCACAGTTCTTGGCGATGTATACATGAAATGAAAGTGAAGAAGATACTCACTGAAGATGGGGCAAAGAATTTGCGGGTAATGTTAAGTATTACCACTGAGCTCCGGTTAAAATGCTATCAAAGGCAAGGCAGACAAAAGGAGGCATTACCTACAGTTCCACAACTGTCGGTCACTGAAGAAAAATGTACTCCTTGCTCATTCACGACAGCCATCGTCCGTCTTTATAAGAGTCTTGTACCGTTGTTAGTAACGATTATTAATATCGTTTGGAAAATCAAAAACCGCCATCATCCGGTAATTATTCCGCTGACCGCTAAACCAGACATAAATGAAATCGCCGAATATCTGAAGAACTACGACTTAAGAGACCCTGAAAAGATACTTGTGAAAGGGCTTCAACAAGAAACATTTCTGGATGTGTCGCCGATGACAACAGCAAAAGCGTATCTGCGTGTTTTACAACTTCCTAAAGCGATCGATTGTTTGCTTTCCGCAAAAGATGATTCAATAGGTTTTGTCGAAAGCGTAGGTGTACGCATACGTCGTGCACTCACACATTGCTATATGCACGTCGGAAAATTTCAAGAAGCTATTAACTGTTGCCGTGAGGTGCAAACGTTACACACACTGGCGCCAGATTTCGTTAAAACAAGGGACGTAATAGATGCATTGATTTCAATCATGGATGCCTATATTCAGCAGGGTCTGTTAAACGAGGCTGTAAATGTGCACACGGAAATCGTTAGCCTTCAAGACCAACAAGATTCAAAGGACAATGCAGTGAATAACATTAAAATGAGTTTTCTTACCAGCAGCGCGACGCTTTTCATCAGACTCGAACAATACGACAAAGCTGAAATCATACTTAGAACAATTTTGGAGGGAATTAAAAACCACCGAAAGCATTTTTTAACCTATTTCATGACCCTGAATAACCTTGCCGTCGTTTTACTTTTCAAAGACAAGTTCGAGGAAGCGAAGACCATGTTGAACGATGCATTACAGGTTGCCCGCGAACTTTATGGAGAAAACGCTATTCATCCCGCTTTTGCTTACTGTTTAACCAACCTGAGCAGAGTTTATTATCGTCTTCAAAATATCGAAGAAGCAGAACGTTTGATTCGTTTGGCCATCGCAATTTTTTCTCAATTACACGATTATGAGAAAGAGTTGGTCGATCCTTGCATTGTCAATGCGCTGATTATCAAAGCAACTATACACCAGTTTTATAAACAACGTGATGATTTTTTTAGCACTTTGAACCAGGCATACGAAATTTCTAAGAATTTGTATGGCGGATAGCCACACCCACATATTGCCCTCATTATCGTCCATCTTGGCTTTTGTGAGCAAGATCGTGGAAATTTCTCGGAAGCGTTACACCATTACCAAGAGTATTTGAAAATTCACGAGAATCAAAGATTGGAATATCAGAAAAGGGGACAGGATTGCAAAATGGCCAATGTTCTTGTTCGAATTGCAAACTTGGGTGCAATTTGTTGCTATGATGCTTCGTATCTTCTGTCATGTAACGAGAAAGCCCTGAAAATAGAGGAGAAAATTCACGGCAAAGAAGCCAATCATGTCCATCTAGCCATTTGCTTTATATCACTCGGTTTTTGTTTGATGACAGCAAACTGCGAGTCAGAAGGAGTGGAGTATATCTGCAAATCCTTGAAAATGTTTGAAGAGATTAATTTAGATGCGAATGAATTCTTTGGTCACGCACACCTATCAATTGGAAAAATCTTTGGACAGCATTCGCAAGGACAAGCAGAAAAGCACTTCAGATCAGCAAAAAAAGTTTTGAAGGAGGTCTTAAATGATGAAAGTGATGTAACATTACTTCAGATCAATTCTTCCTTGCTAGAGATTTTTGCGAAGACAAACAGAATGAAAGAGGGCCTCGGGCTTGCCGAAAAACAGAGACGCTTGATTGATATTATGTTTTCTAAATCCAATTTTCCAAGCGCTCATCAGCTTTCCCAAGTGTTCCACCTTGCTTCATTTTACGAAGACAGTGGAAGACAAAATACTGCAAGAAATTTACTCATTGACCTGATTGGACGTATAGAGGAGCAGGTCGATACCGCTGATTCAGACCAGGGTTATTTGGAGCGCCTGCTGTGGACAGCGGAATTACGAGCAGGAGGTATTTACCGAACTAATGGAATGTTCGATCACGCAGAAGTCATGTTTCAGCGTATTCTTTTGTCAGTGGAAAAGACAACTTCACAGCAGCAATTGGGGAAAGAATTTCGACATGTTGCTCTGTATAATCTATCGCGTATTTTTACGCAAACCGGAAGATATCAAGAAGCACATGAACTGCTTGACAGTCTTATCAACCTCTATGAGCAAAACCCAAAGTCAATCGATCCTGAACTAGCATCGTACGTTTTTCTCATTCGTAGCGAACTTAATCGTAGAACCTTATGTTTCAACCTTGC